GTAGAGCATGTGGCGATAGAGGAGCAGAGTTCGAAATCCGGCAAAAAATCCGGTTGGCCTAATCATAAAGACTTCTAAAAATGGAGTCAGTAGTCAACAAATAAAGTACAGTATTTTTATTGGGAGTGTAGAATCCCCTGCAGATTTAGAAGATCTCAAACGCTAATAGTACAAAGTACAATATTTCTATTGGGAGTGTAGGATCCCCTGCAGATTTAGAAGATCTCAAACGCTAATAGTACAAAGTACAGTATTTTTATTGGGAGTGGAGGATCCCTCGCAGATTTAGAAGATCTCAAACACTTTTGGAAGCCGCCATGGAAGCGAAGAGAGAAGCAGAAGAAAAAATAACAAAACAGTATACAAATATAAACAAATGTTACATATAGTCCAACAAAAACAAAAAGCTGTACTTTCCCTCCCTATTTTATCCTATTATACATATGGCAACTTTCCCATCTTGTATACATTTTGGGAGCATGATCAACAAGTACGCGTCAATGTCGCCCAAAAGAATCACCACATGAAGTAGGGTTCCACAACACCTATTATGGAATCGTAACAACTTGTGATGATTCTTTCGGCGATATTCAGACGGCGACTTATTGTCATTGCTCCCCTCCCTGCCTCTAACAAAGACCCTGCATGGAGAGAAAAGGAGAAACAATACAACGAAGGATTTAGTTTAACAGTCATGATCTAACAATGACATAGTGAAAGGAAATGAGATCTAAAATAATACGCAGTCTCATCATTACCACTGCACCCGAAAATAAAGCATGGGATAGGAGGACGAAGAGGCGGATGGGGTTGATTTTCGGAGCATGATCAACAAGTACGCGTCAATGTCGCACAAAAGAACCACCACATGAAGTAGGGTTCCACAACACCTATTATGGAATCGTAACAACATGTGATGATTCTTTCGGCGATATTCAGACGGCGACTTATTGTCATTGCTCCCCTCCCTGCCTCTAACAAAGACCCTGCATGGAGAGAAAAGGAGAAACAATACAACGAAGGATTTAGTTGTACCACTGCACCCGAAAATAAAGCATGGGATAGGAGGACGAAGAGGCGGATGGGGTTGATTTTCGGAGTTTCATATTGAGAAGATGGAAGAAAGGGTTCTTTTCAGGGATTGAGAGGAGGAGGAACGAACAGCAGCAGGAGATGAGTGCCACTCGGGTTTCGGAGCACGGTCTCTCCTTCACTCATTAACGAATTTAAAGATTGACTCGTAATTACTTTTACTTTCCCTCCCTTCACATTTACTGAAAATTACACTCCCTACCACTGCCTCGGCCTTGGTATCTGATTGGGTGACACGCACGCGACAAGGATCGAAGGTATTTCACCATCGGATTAAGGGAAAAGTTTAGGAATTGACGGTGGGAAATGGGTATGTGCTTTTATAAATAGTCTGAATTTGTAGATTAACCAACTTTTTCGTTTACCAACATTACTCTATTGATCTGGTTTATGTTATTCTAGCTTGAATCATAACCCTAAACCCTAAACCCTAAACCAAACCCTAATACACGAACCAATCAATACCATATACTCTATAACAATAACAACACCTTATAGGCTTATACCGTAACCAATCAATAACATATATACTTTAAACCATCAACACCTTGCTCCTCCCTTATACCATAACCTTCAAGACCTTATACTGTATACCAACAACACCTTCTTCTATCTCCATCCCCAACTTTCAATGTATAATAAGTGTTTCCTTTGAAATATAAAATGGAACCCACCTTGGCAATTGCTACCATAATTTAGGGATGTAGATGAATAGAAATTGATAAGTGATGAATTGCTAAAATTGATGATGTGGCGGTAGGGACCTCGTTTAGAAATTGTTGTTCAATTTTAGGGATGAAGATGATCAATACACTAACCCAATACCATATACTCTAAACCATCAACACCTTATACAATATCGTATTTTAGGGATGGAGATGATCAATACACTAACCCAATACCATGTACTCTAAACCATCAACACCTTATACAATATCGTATACCTATACGCTGATAAATTAAAATTATAACTTGTTTTTCAAAACATAAATTAAAAATTGATACTCACTAAGTATCGAACCACAAACCTCTACTTTATTGACTAAGCAAATAACGGACAATTAACCAATTAAGCTACATCACATTGATGACCATTTTGCATAATTTCGCTTTCTTATTAAGTGAAGGGTTAAAATGAACGATAAATATATCACAGGGGATTGTTTCAACTTCGGCGGGGACTGAGAGAGTGGAAAAGGGGTAATTATTCTACCAAAAAAGAAAAGAAAAGGGGGAATTAATGAAGAGTTAAATTGGACGGATTGTCTTTACCACGCCACTACAAAATCATTCGGAGCAAAAACACGCAGGTTCAAATCAAACAATAAATTATCAGCATTTATAAGCAGATATAAAGAATTATGTCTAAGTACTGATAAATGTGTCACGCTACAATAATTATGTCTACGTTTTTTTAGTAATAAGGCATGATCAGCATTTATAAGCAGATATAAAGAAAATATAAAATCGAGAAAAAATAAGACAACACCTACCCTCACCCTTTAACCAATCGATACCATATGCTCTAAACCATCAACACCTTATAACCTACCCATATGCCATATACTCTATACCATCAACAACCTAATACCCTAAGCAGTCAGTAACCATTTCCTTTAACATCAACACCTTATACAACAATTGTATATCTATACGCTGATAAAATTTTACATTTTGAAAATACTTGCCCAACTAAAGTACATAGGTACTTCAAAAGTGAAATTCTAACTTTCGTTTCAAAACATAAATTAAAAAAATATCCTCACTCAGTATCCAACCACAAGCCTCTAATTAGTCTACAAGAGGTTTGTTATGTACGAGTGCATTGCATAAAGAGGGGAAATCGGTGAGAGAGTGGAATGGGATCTCAATTAATGAAGAGTTAAATTGGGCGGATTGTAGTTTACCTCGTACCGCTAAATGTGTAAAGAGACACGCTAGCATTTACCAAATCCCAAAAAAGATGGAACACAGAATTATGTTTAAATTGCGTGAACTCAATGAATGATCAGGATTTTAGAAGCAGAAGCAGATGAAAATAAGTAAAACAAAGAATCGCCACTGAGATAGACAATTATCAAAGGCCCAACCTAATGACAATCCGGAACTCAGTATCTATTATCAACAAACTAGTTGTCATGGGTCCATGTACAAGCCCACGTTTGAATGTTATTTAAAAGCCTGCAAAAATCAATGATCAGACCCAGTCCAACTAGAATTAGTCCTAAACGCACCGTTAATACATAAACACAAATTAAGGAGACCTCTCCATCTGATTCGAATCAAATTAGGTCTTCTTCATCTCCTTCCTCAATCCTCTGGGCGAGATGAACATTGCATATCAGGAAACCTTAATTTCACCGAGTGATAGAAGTTTCGAGAAAATGACAATAACGCTAAGACAAGATGACAAAGCACTAGCGACATGAACCCTAGGGTTAGCAAACCTCTTTCAAGGGTTCTTTTGCAAACGAAAAGTTTGATGAACACAATAATAGACATGGTCGCCGTAATCGTGTTAGAAAGAGATAGGCGAGTAAATTCCGCACGGAAATAAAATGGCGATGAACAAAACGTCGATTTGTGGATAAAAGGATTTGGGGTTCAAAACGATGATTATGTGAGGATTTCATATTGGATGGGGATCTTCTCTTCGAATGTGGATACATAGATTTGGCGTATGAAACATGATGATGTTGGGGATTTGAGATTGGATAGGGAGCTAAATCGAATGTGGATAAAATAATAAAAGGATTTGGGTTTCGGAACGATGATTTTGTTGGAGATTTCAGATTTGATAGGCAGCTTATGATCGAACTTCGAACTTAGAGGGGACCCTCCAAGGCGAATGAGGGATCGTGGAAGGGAGACTGGAAATTGGTTAGGGCGGCGGGTCGTATCCATAGGGTTTAACCTCTTAATCGATATCATTAAACCGGGTACAGTTAGGTTGAAGTCCAATTAATAAAGCATAAACGCTTCGTGATGCTTTTGGTAATTTTCCTTGCCCCCGGTTACCCGTACCCCGGATTTTGCCCTGGGCACCGTAGAACTGCCCATATATATAATCTATCTTAACACAATCTACTTATAGTTTACATCCATATTTAAACAAATCACCACATCACAAATACAATGATGAATCTTCATATTTAAATACAACATTTAATATCAACATTCAAACGTTTATATCCGAATCCAACAAATTCCTTTGTTGTTAGTTAATTCCACCAAAACGATATTATTTTGTTTAGAGACCGAAAATTGATAATTTTGATTAGAACACTTTTTTTTCCGACTTCGACCTTTTTTACCAATTTTGACTACAACTTTATACCAATGGTCTTCCAGGCGGTTTGTGTCAATATCGGCTGAACCTGATTATGCTGGCCGGCATACCAATGGTTTGACAAGCAGGACGACTACTGTACACATGCACAGTCAGTGGCGGAGCCACTTGTAGAGGAGGGGGTGCTTGCACCCCCCTAGTGTTTGGAGAAATTTTTTTCGAGTAGGGGTATATACAAATTCGAACCAATGACCATTCAGTTGCAGGAAGAATTTCTTATCATTTCGATCGAGTGAGTTTTGTTATGCAATGCACTTTCGTCTTTATTTAGAGTAATAAATTGTTGTCTTTTGTTTAAACTCGCTCATTTTTTTTTTTTTTTTGTAGCTCTACAACAGAGAAATTTCTTATCTTTTGTTTAAACAAAGTTGAAAGTGAAGAAGTACCAATTGAAGTTCACTTGTTTGTTTCACAAAATCAATTCCAAGGTACTTCTGAGTTCTAATTTGTAATATTTGATGAATGGAAGTCTTGATTTGTATGTACTGAACTTATTTGTTTGACGTTGTAACCGGTGTACGTGAAACTATTTTAATGTAATTGTATGAATTTAGAGTATTGCGTTGTTGACTTTTTGTTTAATTTAAAGTTGACTTTTCTATCGTATATGTGATTTTTTATGATATGATAAAGACACCCCCTTGACCAATTTTCTGGTTCCGCCACTGTGACTGTGCACAGTCACTGGTTATAGTAGTCAATGCTAACTCATAAATAAATCTTCATAATGTATAATATCAGGTCATCCCGAGATCTAAATGCCATAATGGTCTATAATACTGCATACTGTATAATGTTTAATGTCATACTAGCCCAACGTCTTTATACTAGCTGCTCCATATTTAATGTCACATATCTATGGAATAATTCACGCCCATATTGGTGCTGCCGTCGTCTGAATGTGCTGACACCCGCTGCTGCTGCTGCTGTTTTACATTTGTTTTGCTTTGTTTGAGAGTTATTGAAGCCAAGTTCAACACGTGATTCGGAGCATCCGTGGATGCGACGAAGCTCCGAATCGTTGACTGCCGTCTTTCTCCATGATTAACACCTGCAAAAAAGTCCAGAAGGCGCTAGCAAGCCCTTACAACTCGGATTGGCATGATCATTAGACCCAACTTGTTAACGACATCCCAGCTCCGATAAAAAAATCCAGCGGTACAGCAGTTGGCGGTGAGAGAATCAGAGTTGGCATCTTCATGCCGGACGAAAGCTCAGATAGCCTTCCCAACCATGATCTTAAACAGAGGATATATCATCACCAAGGGCCAATATGCAGCGCAGGCAACTTCAAGATCCAATCAGGCCCTTGTACCGTGCGTAGGACATGATTCCCAGGAACACAATTAGACACAATATACCTGTTAATACTACCACCTAGCACAAACAACACAGTTCGTCATTCGGCGATGAAATTGGAAAGGGAAGATGGAAAACTTGGCAAGTTTTTGAATTAGTAATATCATTACCCAAATGAATATATATCCATAGCCCACATTCCATGTGAAAGGGATGTTCATGCCAAATATTCCGGCCACCAAAGAATATATTGACGAACATACAGTTGCGGCGCTGAGAAACAACTCCAGCTGCCATGCAAAGAGACAATGTTCATAGAGAAATTCTATGTACAGACTACAGAGTAAAGCAGGAAGCAGGTTTGCACTTGGAGATGCAAAAGATGGATGGAGAGAAACAATGTACCTGAATAAGCTCGTTTCGATGGTTGTCAAGCTGCAAGACAAGAAGGATGATGCATAAGATTTCACTATGAGAAATGCATCAAAGTAAAGCTATTATTTCAATGATTACTGAGTTTCAATCATCACACAGCTCACCCGAATGTTGATGTAATCCTCAGTGTCATCTATGTATTCTCGCAACTGTATGTACCAACAACAAATGATTGATGAAAGTGTGTAGAAAAACAGCATCACAGCCTTGTCACGAGTATGTCACTGAAATCTTATGAATGACCAAACAAAACAAGAACAAAGACTAAGGTGCTCACCGTGGTTAATTTGTTCAATGTGCTATCAATTTGCATAAAGTAAGCCTGGAAAACAATTATGACCCATGAGACATTACTGCGACCAGAAAGGAAAAAATCAAATAAGCAGAAGAGTATCATAATAACCTCCAACAACATTTCAAGCTCCTCCACATCATTCTCGTCACTATGAACTGTCACCATGCTTGCCCTGCTAGCCCTAGAGATTTTTGAACCTATGGTGGGGGAAGCAGCAAAACAATTGACACCAGAGCCACTAGTTGGTGAAGAGCTAGCTAACTTCCTCGACAAGTAAAGGTCAGCCATATCATCATCATCATCCAGTAATTGTTCAAGCTCATCTCGGACCTACAACCAAAAGTTATTACCCATTCCCTCATCAACACAATCACGGTCAATTCAATAAGCATGTAAATGAACATTGCACACATGCCTGGAACATATTGCATTTGGATACACAAGGGGTATGCCATATGTATGAAGTAAACTTAACACACAGGAACCCTAGACAGTAATTGGTATTTACACTACGAGAATAGTCACATGTTCAAATCCATTGATTCGCATACTTTCTGGACCCGGGCAGTCAACCTTGTCATTGCACTCTTCAATTTACGAACTCTATCCAAATTGCGACTGCTAATCTGCATATGAAGAGGACAAAGAATAAATAAGAGGAAAAGGCTCCCACAGTAATCCCTCTTCATCATCTCCCAATTCCAGGACGTTCAGTCAGACTGTAAACAGAAGTCTTTACCTTTGAAGTTAGTTCATCCAATGCAGGGTAAGCAGCAGTCTCTAATTCTGTTGTCCTTGCAGCTAGAAAGCTACAAATGGCTTCCAGAGCGACCTCCAGAGCACGGAATTCAAAAGGAGATTCTGTGATGATACATAATGTGCACTCAATCAGCAAAAAAAAGAAGCAGAAAAACCTGAAGTAATTGCTGAATCAAACAGTCTAATGACGAACTTTTTTTAATGGATCAAAATGGACAGATACACTATGCAGCGAAAAATACCATCTTCTTCACCCCCATCAACATCAGTTTGCTGGGTGCCATGGTTTTCTCCACTCACTTGACTTTCTCTTGCATGCGGCAATCGCCTCTGAAGCTCCTCGACAACAGGAACAACATTTTCATCCGATGGATCTCTCAGCAAGACCTAGGCATGGTTTAGTGCTTATCAGGGATACAAACAATTCATAGTCTCAGAATCTTCAAGAGTTAAGGGACAGAGAATAGAACAAACATTGAGCTTCAGTAGAAAGAAACCCCAGCCAGACAATTCCATTCACCATTTTCATAAACAACAACCACAATGCAGCAACTAGCTTCAATAAAGATGGCCAGCCCATAAAAGTGGCAAAGACTTCCCAATTAAGTATCAAGTTTTCAGCGCAAAATTCACACTTCTCCATGCCTCTCTTCGAATTAATTCAGCAACCAAAAATACTATCTAAAAAATCACTAACCACCTCAGCAGTGATGATCGCCTTGATGTGCTGCAACCAAAGACGAAGCAAGAGTGCCGTCAGTGGAACCAGAGAAGAAATTGAACCACTAATTTTACGACTGAATTACTCGAGCTTTGACTGAACCAGACAGAAAGACGAACCTCCAAGTTGAGAACGATGGCCCTCTCACGGCCGAGAATTGCGGAAGGGTAAGACAGCAGAGGATCGAGAATCCGGAGATCGCGAGCGTGAATCTGGACGCGGTGCATGATGGCATGTTTGTCGGCGTCGAGAATGGTGCCTTCGCCGGCGGAATCGACGAGAATCCAACTAGTCGCCGGCTGAGTCTTCTTCTTCACGGCAGCGATCACTACCGCTGCAGGAGGCGGCGGTGTCATCTCAACGGCCGGGTCCGCCGGAACAACGTACCCGTCCATTCCCATGTGGCCGTTGTGGGTTTAGGTCTTAAACCTCAAAATTTAAGAACCTAAAAGTTATTGGGTTAAAACATGAGGGTAAATAACAATTAGTAGTCAATTTTTTTTGTATTTTAAAATATTAGTTAAAATTTAGAATATGAAATATTTTTCAAATCTGTTTGTAACGTATGAAAATAGTATATATTTTTATGTTATAGTTAATAATTTTATAACTGTATTCTTAGTTAAAATAAAAAAGTTTTGAAATGTTGAACTTCACGTGTCTCTTCCAATTCAATAATATGTAGTTGTCAAACCAATATTACTAACAAAACTACTAACTGAAAATTAACATTTGGCTAATATTTTGTATTTTGAAATGTTTGGCTAATATATAAAATTTTGGAAAATGCTTGGCTAATATTTAGTAATTAGCCTTACTTTAAATTCGACTGAACTTTACACTAATAAACTAGGGTAAATAACTAAATTCTAATTATTAGTCAAATATTTCTCGCCTTCTTTTTTATTAGTCAAATCTATTAAAATACTAATAATTAGTCAAATGTTAATTTTCAGTCAGCAATATTGTTAGTAATATTGACTTGACAACATGATGTTGACTTGGAAGAGACACATAGAATTCAACATTCCAAAACTTTAGTATTTTAACCATAAAAAAGTTACAAAATTATTAACGATAACAGAAAAATATCTAATATTTTGACGCGTTACAAAAGATTTGGCTATATTTAGTATTTCAAAAGATTTTACTAATAAAGAAGAATGCGGAAAAGTTTTAGCCAATAATTAGTAAGTATTTACCCAAATAGTTTATTTTGGTATGTAGTTTATAAAATATCCAATCTGCCCTCAATTATACACCATGCCACCATCTATATTAATTTGTTCGAACCCGTTGGTTGATCATCACGTTGGATAATCAACATTGTTTTTTTTTATAATGGTGATGAACTTAGATTAATAAAAGGAAGTTCCAAGTTGTTCCTCTCACAAGGAGTGAGAGATAACAAGATGAGAAAAAAACCGAAGCACAAAAAGGAGGAAAAAAACAAGCAGGGGAAAAGAAGAAAGAACCCCAAAATGGAAGAACATCCAGGAACAGAAAAGGTTTGGGAAGTCAATCAATCCTATTGAGCTGAAGAAGGAGCCTCCCCTGATCGATACTTAACTTGTCATGAGCTGTAGTCCACTCGACGATTGCTCTTCTAATCTTCTTAGAAACCACCTGCTGCGGGCATGAACTTTTCTAAAAAATCCTTTGGTTTCTTTCTTTCCAAACATACTAGCAAAAAGCATGGGTAATACAGTGTTTGGTTTCTTTCTTTCCAAACATACCAGCAAAAAGCATGGGTAATACAGTGTTTGAACCATCCCTCCACACCATTCAGGTCCATTGTGTCATTCTGATTTATATCTATGGAAATGTCAGTTGATGAAAACACTGATCCGGAGGCCCCACCCAACAAGTCTTCCTGCAAGCTTCTAGCGAACGGACAGTTTAAGAATATGTGGTTCATTGATTCTTCATCCTTTTGACAAAGCTCGCAACGATTTGCCAACACGAAACCTCGCCTCTTAAGGTTGTCAATAGTGAGGATCTTTTTGTGTCATACCAGCCAAAGGAATCCGCAAATTTTTGTGGGAACAATGTTTTTCCAAATAGCTTGATGCGGAAAGCCCTACATCCCAGTATATCGATCATCAACCTGCATTTTGTGCATAGAGCTAACAGAGAAATTCTTATCAGAGCACGGGTTCCATACCCTACGGCATGGACCAATCAAAAGACGATGAGAATTCTCGTTCACCTTTTCCAAAAACTTATTCCTCTCCCTCTTAGCCCCACCCCGAAGATTAATTGAAAAAGGTATATCCCACAATTTATTCTCAACTGTCCAGGACATAGACTCTGAAAGACTGCCCGTGGAAAAGATGCAGCAAGCAGCTCCCCTGGGATCCAAGTATCGTGCCATAACGAGATTCCAATACCCGAGCTTGGTTCCACGCTAGCCCCTTTCCAGAAAATGTCAACAACATTGCAAATATTTGCCCACACAGAGCTACTAAACCCTTATTCAACTCTCCTTGGTCTCCATTCAGATTTTGGGTGGTGATACTTTATTTCAATGAGCTGTCTCCACCAATTACCTCTTTTTGTGGCATATTTCCACAGCCATTTACCCAGAAGGGTATTGTTGAAGCTTTCGAGATCAACAGCCCCTAAGCCTCCTCTTTGTTTTGAAGCTTTGCATAACTCCCAACGAGCCAAATGCATCTTGCCTCACTGCTCGTACCGCTCCATAAGAAGCTTCTTTGACTTTTATCTAGACGATTAACGACCGTCTTTAGGGCTTTACCAATTGAAAAATGGTACACTGGAAGGCTGTTAAGCGTAGAGGAGTTTAAGGTCAGCCTAGCCCCGAAGGATAGACACTTGTTCTTCTAGCCTTGCAGTCCCCTTTGATACTTATCCACAACTGAATTCCAGGCAGAGACGACAGTTGGGCGGTCTTCCAAAGGTAGCCCGAGATAGCTTGAGGGATCTTTGCTCCATTTACACCCAAATATTGAAGCAAAATACCCAGGTTCAGGAATATCCCCAATTGTGTACAGGGTAGACTTGTCGAGGTTAATCTTCAATCTTGTGATGGACTGAAAGCATACGAGTACGGCAAGGATGTTAATAACATGCTCTGCAAAAGCATCACAAAAAATGAGGGAGTCATCCGCAAACAATAGATGTGTGACTTCGCCAACACCCCTACTCTCGTCCATGAAAAAACCTGAAATTCCTTTATCCTCGCGAAGCTTTGATATTAGGAAGGATAGAACTTCCATAACAAGAACAAAAAGACTCGGAGAGAGGGGGTCTCCCAGTCTTACACCTTTCCCAGAATTGAAATACCCATAAGCCTCACCATTTACCAAAACAGATGTCTTCAACGAGCATATGTCACCTTTGATCCATTACCGCCACTTTGGAGGGAAGCCAACACTTTTCATTAGATTAAATAAGCAGTCCCAGCTTACATTATCGAACGCTTTTTCAATATCCAGCTTGAAAAGGAGTCCCGGTTTTCTGCTCTTCTTTCTGCTGTCGACGAGTTCATTTGCGATCAGCGTAGCCTCGGAGATATGTCTACCAATGACTGAGACATGCTGATTACGAGAGATTAGCTTGGGGAGTACATTACTCATACGTTTTAGGAGTACTTTACTGACAATCTTGTGAAAGCTGCTCATAAGACAGATCGGACGGAGATCTTTAATGCTTTCCACCACGTCAACCTTTGGAGTAAGACAAATGAAGGCGTGTGTGACACTGTCCGGCAAGAAACAATCTCTATGAAAGTCTTCAAAAGCCGGCATAATTTCCTTTTTGCATAAAGACCATCATTTCTTATAGAAATCCAAGGTGAATCCGTCCGGCCCATGTGCTTTGAATCCATCACAATCTCTGATGGCTTCCCATATTTCCTTTTCTGTAAAGGGACAGGTGAGCAAGTTGCAGTCCACCTCATTGAGAATTTTGTTCGAGTAGTACTTAGGAAAAGGTCTCCTACTGATGTTTCCCTGATAAAGAGACTTGTACTTGCTGGCAATGCCCTCCCCCAGTGCTCGTTTCCCCTCAACAAATTGACCATCAATCTGAATGCGATTTATAAAGTTCAGTTTTCTTCTATAATTTGCCAACCTGTAGAAGTATTTCGTATTTCTCTCACCTTTTTTATGCCAGGATTCCCTTGATTTCTGTCTCCATGACAATTCCTGAAGGTTTAGAGTGTTCTTCAACTCAAGTCTCTATTCCTCTCTTTCAGCAACTTCTTCATTCTAAAGATTCATCTGCTCCTCCTTGATGTCGAACTGTTTGATGCTGCTGAGGAGATTATCAATTCTTACTGTTAAATTACCAAAGGTCTCCTTATTCCATATCTTTATATTGCGCTTCAAGAAAACCAGTCTTCTAGTCCATATAAATACAGCTCCCTTGCCAGAAACCGGAACCCGGAACCACTCTTCAGCACATTTGAAGAATCTTATATCCTCCAGCCACATGTTTTCAAACATCCATGGTCTTTTTATATTCCCAAAACCACCCCAGCAGATGAGTAGAGGGTTATGATCAGATTCGACTCTTTCCAACGGAGACAGCTTACAGTCAGGAAAAAGGTTGTCGAAACTGCGTGATATGAACACCCTGTCAATTCGCGAGAAGGAGGGATTAATCCAACCATTACACCATATGAAACGACTTCCATTCAAGGGAAGTTCAAGAACAGCAAGTCCATTAATGGTATCATTGAACTCGTTCATCAAATCCGAACTCCTGGTAGCACCAGAGTAGTCATCATGATTTCTTATGAGGTTGAAATCACCTGCAATACAGTAAAGGTTTTGAAGTTGATTGCAAAACACCTGTAGTTCAGACAGGAAGCGTAGTTTTTCAGCTCTACCTTGAGGCCCGTACACCACCACAAGAGACCATATATTGGAGGTAGCTACTTCTTCAAAGTCAACCGAGATAAAAATAGGAACCAATGTAATTCGAAACTTCTTTGTAGAACATATTGTCCCAATAGACTGCAATACCTCCTGAACTTTCGATAGCATCTTTCGACTTCCAGCCAACATCTCTTGTCCCACTTATGCTTGAAATTATATCGACGCTAGAATTGTTCCATTTTGTTTCAATTAGTGCGACAATTTTTGGTTTTCTCCTTCCCACTATGCCTTTGATTCTTCCTCTTTTCTCCTCGTTTCCCAGCCCTCTGACATTCCACACAAAGATTGAAGATCCCATTGATTGATAGTAGAAATGTTGTCCCAACTTTTGCTTTTGCTTTTGCTCCGTCGAGGGTCTTGTGGAGAAGGCGCCTTGGGGCCTAGTATGAAATTTTCCATCTCGAGTTTGGAGCGGGGAGTACGAATCTTTCTTCTGTGTGTAATTCTTGCAACTTCAGCTATTATAGTTGAGTCTTGCTCTTGATTCTCTTCTGATATCAACTTGAAACTCCTGCCAAGGATGAGACTTCTTTGATCAAGGGTATCAACATCGAAGGAGTAAGAATCAAAATCCCATTCCCAGATCGGGCTAGTTTGGGTACAGGAGGGTGAAGGCAAGTTATTTAGGCAGGCTAGGTTGTTTGAGGGTGAGGATGGAGGGGTAGTGGGGGTGAATGCGGGAGGAAGGAAGACAAAGATTGTTTCCAGAGGGTGTGCATGGTATCATTTTCAAGCTGGGGGTGGGGGATCGAGGAGGGGTGGCAATCTCTGGCGAGGTTTTAGGGGATAAGTGAAGGTTGGTATGATGTGGAGGGTTGCAGGGTAATGTTTGGATTGATCTTGATTCGACTCTAAGGGCTAGGTTTTTTAGTAAGGTGGCTAGATGGGCAGGTAGGAAGGATTGGGAAAGGCTAAGGGAGATAAGACAGGTATCCCACTGGGTTTCCTCAGTAATGGGATTGGGGATGGTCATTGAGATGAAGAGGGCCGAGAAGTGAAGCCCACTTTGTTGATTATGAGTAATTCCACCAGTCCTGAGTGGCAGCCCATTAAGAATGACAAAAACTTGAATATAAGAGGGCTCGATTTGCTGATTCTCACTGCATTCTTGGGCCCAGGAGGCAGCTCGACTGGTCCAACAGGGTTGTTACCACTAACGTTGGTTGAGAAAACATTGTTGTAGTTCCGTAATGGGCCTTGTTTTCTGACCCACGCCTGCTTTTGATGACCGTTTGCTCGGGACATACGCTGCATGAGGATTGATTTAGAAGATGAAGGATCGTTCGCCGCCAAAACCCCATCACCCAAGGAAAGGGGAGCCGCATTCCATTGGGACTCCCGTAGCGACTCAATGGACGAGTGGCGTCCCTTCCCCTTCCATTTTGAAAGACGTTGGTTACGAGAAACTTTCGTCGGAGAGTTGACTATCGGCGGTAGAACAACCTTCGTCGAGAACATCTTGTTTTCAAAACAGATGGGGACTTCTTCAGGGATTTCACAATAAGCTTTTATTCTTATTTTAACAAAGGACGAGCTCCAAGAAGTCCATTCGGTATCAACATATTTCCCGCAAGAATTTTCGATGGATTTGAATAGCTCAGCACTCTTTAGGTGAAGGGGGGGTTCCAAAGACCAGGATCCAGACTACCTCTTCATGTGTGAGAACGTTACGCCCTTTGTCTGGAGTCCACATGGATATCTGAATGCTGAAATTTTGAAAACGAACGTGATCAAGCTCTTCGATAAGAGCAGCTTCAGATGGGCAAGGGCTTATAAGCATCCAATCTCCGTCAGCCAGCTCTTCAAACCCGAAATTTTCATTTATAGCCCAGGTCTTTTCTGCCCACGTGCGGAGTTTATGAAGATGTATTTTGGAGAATATCTCGTTGTTGGATCGAAACCTTATAACCAGGCTTCGGCCGAGAAGATTCAGCCTTTTGTCCACTCCTTCAGGATCAACAGAAATGAAGCGATTTCTTCCTTGAGTTTTAATGGTACATCTCCCTCCCCCATAGAAACCCCTGTATCTGACTGCGTCGGTATAGGAGACCCCATGAGTGATCATTTTTCTGAGATCAGGGGGCGTCTGAGGTCTGGTTTGGAAGGTTGCGAGCTTGGAGATCAGCCTAATAGAAATCCTTCATCAAGCTGGTGAGACGGGCCCAACCAACGGAGGTTTCAGCTTGAGGGATTATGATTTTGTAAACTTTTCCATTAGTTTCCTGCTCAGAGACTTGAAGGAAAGCTCCACGACGGTTCAGTCCTTTCCCAACATTGATTGTTCTAGGACCACTTTTCTTGATGCACTTGCTCGGGAATACCCATTTTCTCATTGCCGCCGTTTGGAGAACCCCTTGAAGCCAGGAGATCTGCAAATCATCCATCACAAAACTCCATCTTCTCGATTCCACTTCAACCTGCAACTTGTTCAACCATGTCGTTCCTAATCTGACTTTGGAGAGTGACACTAACTTTGATCCCATTCGATCTTACCGCCGAATCGAAGCTGTCGAACTGCTGCTGCGCTGCCCATCACAAGATTGTGTCCTGCAAAAAGAAAAACCTATCTACATTCACCACCCCTGAATACTCCTTTCTCCCTCCGCTCTCTCTCTACGTTCTCTCTCTCTATAGCGAGTGATCATTTTGCTGAACTCTTTTGAATGACTAACAGTCAATATGTCAAAACATTGCCACGTCAGCATGTAATAAAATATATAAAATTACAAAGGATAAATACAATTCATTTGCCAAACCTTTCTAACTTTTCCAAATTATTAGTCAAAATGTTCGAAATAGAAAGAGAAAGGATGTGGAGCTACTATAGGAGGAAGGAGTAATGTTGGAGGAGGAGAGTGATTTTCAAATATGATGTACTTTATATATATATTTTTTTTTTCCTTCAAATTTCTAATGTTGTGGGAGTCTGGGAGAAGATTTGGTTTTCCCTCATAGTTTCTAAACTATGTTCATTTCATGTTTACTTTCAACTTTATTAAGGTTTATGAACTTAGCATGATTAAGTGTCAACAAAATGTTCTAGGTCATGAACAGATCGTTGGCCTAAGTCGCGATCCAGCTGCATTGGCTTGCGCTCTAAAGCGCAACGATCCTTCAATGTTCGCATATGTTGCAATCGATCAAATAATAAACCGCTTCAGTATGCAATGAGTATATAAAATCGCTCGAGTATGGAGTGATTTTCGTTACAAAAATCGCGAGCTTTTTCAGCTACCCGATACTTGTTCGCCTTTGTTTGGAGCAATATACTCCGATCGCTCCGATATGCCGCGCGAACTGCATGCTTACTTCGGTTATGTCTGGCTGTCTATAGCGAACCATGCCAAAATTGAATATTTCGAGAAATTCTAGTACAAGTGCGGTATTGTGAGAATTTTCGCTTGTGTTTGCGATAGGTGGTAGGTAATCTAATCGCAACAGTTGGTAGTACTCTGTGTGGCCTGAGGGTGTACATGGGCGATGGGCCGTGCTTGGGCCGGCACGGCACGGGCACGCTTCGGGCCCATTTATTTCGTGTCGTGCTTGGCACGGCCCGTCAGTTTTCGTGTCGTGCCATGCAAGCCCATTTGTCAACTTTGCTAGGCCCGGTCCAGGCTCGAGCACGGTTCGAATCGTGTCGTGCCTATTCGTGCTCGTGCCATGCTCGTATTCGTGTTTAATGAAAAGGACGAAAACAAAAGAGAGAATGAAAAAGAATGTGAAAATTGGACGGGGGAAGATTGTATTAACCGATAATGTTTGAGAAAAATAACAAATAGGGGGGAAAAGAAAATTGAAAGTATAGCGAGTGTGATTTGGCTTTGTTTAATTCTTTGTCCATTTTTACTTATGTTAGTAATTACGTATATATCTTTATGACAATTCTAACAACAACAAATAATTATTTTTCTACTTGTGTTTTGTTATATTTGAACCTATAATTCTTTTTATACTTATTTTCTATCAAATAAATATTATTTTCGTGCCATGTCTGTTCTTATACTCAATAAAGTCTCAAAAATATTAGGCCCGACACGGCCCACTTATATACCGTGCCGTGCCCGTGCTCATGAAGTTTAGGCCCGACACGGCCCATAAAATATTCATGCTCGTGCCGGGCTGGCCCATTTATTTCGTGCTCGTGTCGTGCTCTAACCGTGTAGTGCCGTGCTAGCCCGTGAGCGCACGGCCCAGTGACCATGTACACATGAGGGTCATCTCAGTCTTCTGTTCCTTGATCAGTTGATTGGATTGGGTACTGTCTAATATACTTTGGAGCCTTAATTAGTCGATATATATACCCTTTCTTTGAGCCTTAATCGAGTTTTTGACCGCTGACCCGCTTCCTTGACCACCTGGGTCTCTGGCTGGACGGCTGATACGCGCCGTTTCGAACGAGGCGGCTGAGAGGGTGGTGGAGGTTAAGCACATGCGCCCCTTGAGCGCACCCTCTGTTCTCTCCCTGTGCCTACAGCTATCCTATCTACGAACCAAAAAAATAACACCAAGATAGAAAAAGGCCGGAGCTTCCGAAAAACCAGTGCATACGAATTAAATCAAAATTCACACGGCAAATAACCAAAAAACAAAACTAAAAAAAAAAATAGAATAATAAGTCCGGGAGCTTTCATGGTTTGCGAAAACCCACCACAGCACAAACAAAGAAGCAGAGAGAACGACTGTGACGAGAGGAGGAGGAGGAGATCAACATAGGATCGAAGGAAGGCGAATAGGGTGGGGCGCGCGAGGCCATCATTATTATTCCTTCAGTGTTCTTCCATCTCCTCGAACCCTCCATTGTCTCTTGTGCGTCTCTGGAATCAATCAAGAGGAAGAAGCAAACCCCCGAAAGCCCGGCAGGCAAATAGAAATTCCCCCATTCTTCCCTGGCTTCGTGATTTGGAAAAGGGACAAGAGAGAATTCCCTCGTCCCCCCCTCTCTCGAGATTTCTGCTCGACCCATCTGGATTTCTGTCTCATGCACCGTCTCAGCGGCGCAGCCCGCCCAGCTACGTGAACCTTCTCCCTCTCTGTGTGTTTGGTTTGGTTTGTCGCGGGATGGCGGAGGAGCTGCAGCAGCAGCAGCAGGCGGAGGTGGTGAGGGTGGAAAGAGCCAAGCTAGCGGCATGCATGACGTGCCCACTCTGCCACAAATTGTTCCGACGCGCCACCACCATCTCGGAGTGCCTCCATACCTGTATGTAAATACTGTTACCACTATTCCTTAAGATTACTCCCTTCTATCTCCTTCCTTCTTTCTCTGCTATGTGCCCTCTTCCCTATCATGGGAATTCGATTTCTCCCCTTTCGACCCCCTGCTAGCTTTAATTTCTTACGTGGCATTACTCTTGATTATAGTTTGTCCACCACTTGTTGATTCTTTGTTATCGGGGGTGGATGAATTGAATTGGGTTGATGAGTCGCGCGTCTAAGACTTTAAACGGGGCTACAGCTTGTTATTGCTGCCAGGACTCGCAACTTTTTTTCATGTAGTAACCGCTAGCTAATCCGAATTATGAGTACTAACTTGTCTTGTGGCTTGTGCAATGATTTTATTGCTGCCGTGTGGAGTTTCATCGCAAAGCTAGCTTAGCTTCTTTTGTTGCATGAAATTATGCAGAGGGCCGTTTTGAAATCTTAATCTGGACTGGGTTAGTAACTCGGTTTCTGGCATTATATATATCCCAACAGTGAAAATATCATAACGTGACGAAAGGGATCAACGAAAATATGAATTTGCTTTCTTCCCGCTGGTTGTAATATGATGTTGTTGTGCAGTTGGGTATGGCCACGGAGCTAGGCCAGTTTAGGAATGTTGTAAGGAGTGGGGGGGAAGCGTGTTTGTGAATATGGCTTCATTGGTTTTCCTTCTTAAATGTCTGTGCAGTTTGCAGAAGGTGCATAACCAGAAAGATAGAATATGAAGATTTGGACACTTGTCCAGTTTGCAACATTGACTTAGGCCCCCTCCCTCTCCACCAACTCAGGTTTCTCCCTCTCTCCCATTTTTTCGCCCTTTTTTCATAATATATCATGATTCATGCAGCAAAAACAACAAACGAGTTTCAAGTTGTATGTAGAATAATCCTTTCCAATGTTGCATGAGAAAGCGCTTTGCATGCAACAATACAATCTATTTACTGATATTTGTTCATTCAGTGGGTTTCCGTGCTGATTTCTTGGTTCAGCTTGTTGCTGAATTCCAAGTTGCCACGATTCTTTTATTGTCAACTTTGCAGGCCAGACCATTGTCTCCAAGATTTCCGGGACAAGATTTTTCCTTACAAAAGAAAAAGGGTCGAAGCTGAAGCTGAAGCTGAATCTCAAGCACATGAAACCATGCCTTCACTCCCAGAAGTCATGCCACCACCTTTAGTACTGAAACCTCCATCAGAAACTGTGGCTACTGTCCATGTACCTGCCAGGAGGAAAGAAAGATCTCTGTCTTCGTTGGTGATCAACACACCTAAACTACCAGACGAACCTATTCAGCCAGCAAAAAGGGCTAAATATAGCACAAAAAAGGTTCCTGTTGTTAGAGAATCGGTTACATCTGATGATGAAGAACCTATCAAGAATGCTGCAGATGGTGACAGATTGAGCTCGCCCGAGACTCTTATCAAGATTGCACAAAGCAGGAGACAGGTAATTAACATGCATTCAAACAGTAATTCTGTTTTAATGCCATCTCACTTTCCAGCTGCTAACAAAGGGTCCTGTTACATGCAGAATGGTACTGCTTCTGGGACATCCAAGCGGCTTATGCTGGATAAAAAAGTCGAGGAAGGAATTGAAGAAAGTGAGGAGAAATCTGATCTATTGAAACCATTGAATCACCTGGTTGAAGAATTAGCCGCTGCAAATAAAGTTAAGTCAAACAAGTCCAACCCGCATGGGGAAGTTTCGGTTCCAGTGCTTGTAGATACCACCGTTAGAGCAAATGATATTGAGTTGCCGAATAAACCCAATTTAAAGGAGCAAGAAGATAACAAACCTCAAGTTTGTTGGAATGAAGTTGATTCTGCTGCATCAACATCAAGTTCAGTCAGACCTACAAAGTTGCCTACCGTGCGCCCAAAGAAAGCTGCAACTCCAGAAGCCCTTAACGTTTCGGCACAAGCTACTGTGGATGCAAATAGTAGACAGGAGCAAAGATTGGTCCCTATCTGGTTCTCCTTGATTGCGGCAAATACCCAGTTGAGATATCTAGTTCAATTTGTTACAGTATTAGTTATTCTCCTGAGAACAGCTTTTTGACCTTTTTCCGGTGTCGATTTCAGGGGAGGAGGAGCGCCCTTGCCGCAGATATCTTCACCATATTTGAGGGTCAAGTGAGTTCCATATACTCTGCTATAGTGATTAGGCCTGTCCATGAATGAATTTACAATCATGCTGATCCTTCAAAGCTGGTTAATGTTGGTCTATTTAAATCTGTCACAGGGATGGTACCTTACCCATTTCAGCAATCAAAAAGTACCTTGCGCAGAAGCTAGGCCTCGCAAGTGAGGCTGAGGTAAGATGAATTTTGACAGTTCATTTAACTACCAAGTCAATGAGCTGTGTTTCTATGTATTTCAACTTTCAACTCCGATGCTGAGTTGGCTGGGGGTGATTGATGCAGGTGGAGCTTTCCATTTGTGGTCGGCCTCTGCTTGCCACATTGCAGCTACGAAATCTAGTTCAGTGGTGGCTGCAGACAGTTCCAGCACCTGAAAGAACCCGCACAAGTGTCGGCAGCTCGGCCAAAGATTTCGTCATGGTTCTATACTACAGCCGCAAAGCAACTTAGGGCGCCACAGCACATTGAAACAAGCGTTTCTTTTTAGTTTTTAGTTTTTACTACTTGCCCTGCTCTTACCGGTTTTCTTCTTTTGTTTCTGAGGCATTCAGTCGAGCATGTGGCGAGCGTCAACCAGCATTTTCATTTTGTTTTCCCTTTCGGTGGAAAGTTTCACAATTTGTCGATCATATTTTCACTTTTCCATTCGACCCAAAGCTGAAAGAAGAGCGAGTAAGTCATTCGAGTATAAAGATCATTTTTTTTTTTTTTTTTTTCTGTTACCTTCATTCTTCCTTTCACCTTTCATGCATTGATGCTCAAAAGAAGAGCAAGAAGAAAGCAAAAATGTCAAGATTGTATTCAAATTGAACAATTAGGGTAAAAGAAAACCCAATTCGCTACAAATTTGACCAAACAAAATCCTGTAAAATCCCTATCCTTTCATCACCAAGCAGTTACAAAGAAGAAGAATCGAAGTCAAATCAAATCTGGCTGTAAGCTCCGCCTCCTGGTGTATCATCATCGTCGGAGAGCAAGTTTCCATACGGCGACGCCTCGAATTCATCCGCCACAAGATCATCCGTGCTCCTCAACGCGGCGTGCAGCAGCACCAATCCGGCGGCGATCGCCCCGGCGACAATCACGTTGACCCAGATCCCGGCGACGGACAAGACCACCACCGACGCGATTACGAGCCCAACCAGCACCACCAAATCGTTGATCTCGAACCCGAAAATCGACATCGGCTCATCTCGGGAGAAGTAGAGGACGAGCCAGGCGACGAGCACGATGAAGAAGGCGAGCAGCGCCAAGGGACGGGTGACGAGGCTGAGGAAGAAGATTAGGAGGACGATGATGGCGTAATTGGCACGGAAGAAGGTCAGGTTCTGGGTTACCCGGGCGTTGGCGTCGGTGAGGGGGGAAGGGAAGTTGACGGCGGTGAGGTCGAGGAAGAGCGGCCAGGGACGGCAGACCGATGTTAGGGATTGGACGGTTCGCTTGAGCTGGGAGAGGAGATCGGGAGAATCCGACATTGCTGAGTGGAGTGGAGTGGAGATTCGGGGCGAGGGATTGTCGGATTGACGATTTCTCGTGTGGAGGATTCGCCGTGAGAGAGAGAGAGAGAGAGAGAGAGAGAGAGATCTCCGACGCGAAAACGAGGGAGGACTGGGCTGGGGCGCTCGGATTTGTGCGATTGCTAGGTTAGCTTCGACATTGTCGTGACCCGGTAGAATTCTGATTTCCTCCCCGCCTCGGAATATGAGATTGGGCCTCGGATTTATCATTTTTTGTATATCAAGCCCAAATGTTGCACCTAGCCCAAAATGGAGCTCTACCTCGCCTGCCCCGTTGACTCAACGACGACCACCATTAGGTGATAATTTAGGGGTCGATTGGTTTTGGTGTAATTTAAATCAATGTATTTAGGATCAATGCATTGCAATAAACATGCAATTAAAAAAAATGGTGTAATGTTAATTTGCATTGTTTGGTTTTGGTAATAGTTAAGTTTTTTTAGTATTCAACAAGTTATATTACTTTTTGTGGGAAGGATTACTTTTACCCTTGCTTTTATTAGAACATATATATTTAACTAGGAATATAATTGGAATAAAAAAGAAATTCAACAATCTCCTCAAAACTATCTCAAGAATCTCAAGTTTTAGTAGAGATAATTCTATCACTCAAGATAGTTTCTATCACATCAAACGACTTTTAGTAGTTGGTGTTGGTTTCATTTTTTGCAAACAGTTGCAAACCTCAAGCTAATTTATTTTAGCCATCGGTGTTAGTCTCATTTTACTCACCTGCTTACTAGCCGGTTCGTATAATTGTGATTCGTTATTAACTAATATTATTTTTTGAGTTGAATTGGAAGGGTTGTGGATGGTTATGGGTTAACTGCAAAAACAATTCTTCAATTATCCATTAAGAAAGTTGAATAACATTTAGGATAAATGCCACATTTGGTCACTGGGATTACTAAATCGTGTTATGTTTAGTCACTAGAAAAAATTAATATCAATTTTGGTCACTCGAATGACTAAAACTGGTCACATTTAGTCACTCTCCCGTTAGCCTCCGTACAACTCCGGTCACTCGAATTACTTTTTTTTTATGAATGTCACTCGAATTACTGAAACATGTCACATTTAGTCACTCTCCGTTAGTCTCCGCCCAATTCCGTTAGTGGAGTTGGACGGAAACTAACGTGAGAATGACTAATGTGATATGTTTCAGTAATTCGAGTGACCAAAATTGATACTAATTTTTTCTAGTGACTAAACATGATATAATTTAAAAATCTCAGTGATCAAATGTGGCATCTACCCATAAGATTTATAAAAATATCCTCGCAAATTAGTAAGACTATATCAATTTAAACACTTCCCACTTTGTCTCCTATAGAGCTTTATAATATTTACATCAAATTTTTTTATTACTCCATCAACCAAATGCATCTCAATATCTAATCGACATTATACAACATAGTAATCAATCATATTAGTTAAAAAGTTTCGTCTATTCTCCACCTTTAGAAGTCGATGGACAGTGTGTAGTGCGTGCGACTATGAAACATGATGAATATTCAATAGTATAAGATGGGGGGAAAATTGTCACGTGAAAATATAGTGCAAGTTGTTCGGATGACCAACAATCCATTCATCTAAGTAAGTGTGGATAGAAGATTTATCAATTCGCAATCCACCCATTATATTTCGAGTTATTTTTGAATAGATCGATATCAAACCACGAGCTAATCACTCACGTGTCCACCCCTAATTAGCAGGGGGCGGACCTACATGATGGGAAGGGGTGTCGTCCGGTACCCTTTCAACAGAAAATTTTGTGAAGAATCTATATTTTTTTGGTACAAAAAGTTTTAATACGAGATTTTCGATATTGCATTAACAAGAATAGCCGATACTCTTTTCATTAAACGACACCCCTCTTCAACAATCTTGTATCCGCCACTGCTAATTAGCACCCTACCACTTCCCAAATCGAATAGTGATAACAATAGGAACCATCACCGATCCGAATGCAAAAAAGTCTTGCTATCTTGATCTTTAGGTGTGGCTATACGGTCCGGTCCGGTTAAATTGGGCCGAATTGATTCGGTCCCAGTCCGGTCTTTTCGGGAATATAAGGACCAAAGATTGGATTGGATACAGTCTGGTCTTGATCCGGTCCTGAATCAGTCTTGATTTTAGATTGAACTTGTAGGGATTTGAGTGGCCTGAGGACTCAAAGAATGAGAAGTTGGTTTAGTTTTGGGTGTTGGGCTTCTTATCCGGTCTTTATCCGGTTTTTGATCCGGTCCCAAACGCTTTTTTACCTCAAATCTAAACTCGAAAATTGGATTGAATTGTTTGCTTTCCAGTCCCGGTCCGGTCTCGATCCGGATTCGGATAAAACCAAATAGCCGGGACCAAATAGCCAGCACTATTCATCTTCCTCCCAAGTTCGACGAGTGGAAAGAGGGTCCTCCCTTCCTAAATTCCCCGCGGCTTCCGTACAGCCGAGAACTAAAATATTACGACCACCACCACCATCGCCACAGCACTCTGAAATCAAACTGACCACGAACCTTTCCTGTAAAAGACAACCCACAAAACGAGGAGAAAAAAAAACCCTCGGGTTGATTGAGAATGATACATCTTGTGTTTGACCAGACCCGCAGGCCGCAACTATTCTATTCTTCCTGACCGATCTTCAAAACGTGCGCAAATTGACCCCCTTTCCCTCCTTTATTGCACTTTAAAATGACAAACCCGATTCCTTGAATCAGCCACCGTTACGTTGTTCATGACGGCTTCCTTCAGGAACAGAACCATCGAAAAGCTGAAAGCTTAGCTGCTTTTCCCTGAGATGGACGATTTCCTCTTTGGCAGCGAGCTGATCCCGGTCGTAACTGGTCCGGCCGGCCGAGCTACGCCGAACCACTTGAACAGGGGAACGGCAGAGTTCGACGATGGGGGAACAGAGAGGAAGGCAGAGAGCAGCAGCAGAGAACAGTCGTTTCGGCATATGATGACCGAGCGGTTGAGAAGGGAGAGGGAGAAGGAAGCCTACGCTGATCTTCACTCACTCTTGCCCCCTAGCACCAAGGTAAAACTTGGGAAAACAAGTTTGAAACTAATTACAGCAATGTTCCTGTCAGAAGCTTGTGAAATCATTTTTCTTTTGTTATGTAATGTGCAGAACGAGAAGAACGCGATCATGCGAGGGGCGATGTTGAGGATCCAAGAGTTGCGGGGGCACAAACAAGCGCTGGAAAGAAGAATCACGGAGCTCCAAGATGCAGGCATTGAATCCGATCACAGGGAAATCGATAGCAGAGTTGTGAAGAAGATAAGGATCAAAGTCGAGAATCCGACATCTGGGTTGGATTCGATATTGGATGTTCTGCATCTTTTGAAGAGGTCGGGAGCTGAAACGACTAGCATCGAGTCCAGGTTTTCGCGTCAGGAACTCGAAGCTGCCATGGATGTAAATACCCAGGTAACTGAATTGGCTGAGAAAGTTCCACTGTTTGCTGAAAACATTCTTTACTGTACTTATTCGCTAATTTTTTTGATAAAGGTACTTATTCACTAATTAACATGGTGATCTTGTTTCGTGGCATGATCAGATAGAGGCAGGTGAGGTGGAGGAGGCCGTACAAAGATCGCTTTACGATACTGAGAGGAAACTTCTTTCTCGCGGGTCTCCTAGAAGCTGTGTCTCCCAAAATTGACTGGAAAAAAGAAAGAAATGTAAAGTTCGACGCCTGTGGGTTGGTCGGATTCCTGTTGTTTTTAAACAATGTAACCACTTCATTATAAAATGAATATGTTTGTCTGTTTAATTAAAACTGTACTGTTTTTACCATCAAGTTACAAAATCGACAGTTATCCAGCCATCGTGCTATAGATTTACAAGAATAGAAATGTATTCCAAATTTCGTTCATGTTAGTCTAACTTTATTTTAAATCACTTAAAAGAATTTCAAAAGCATCCAACTTGATTTTGATCGATCCATAACGACAATATCTACACCAGAAAGCATTCCCGAACTCAACCATATATAGATTCCATGCAAGATTCATAGGCATCGGTCGAGGTCCTCGAGGACAAAACTACACCAGTTAGCAGATGTTGCACTAAAGCAATGTCTTCAATAGTTAGGACCATAGATTCCATGCTGGAACAACAATAATCCATAGGGGCAACATTCAGACTAACGACCAAAATGAACTCAAGAATGCCGCCATACAACATAATACTGTATAGATCTGAAGATCAAAAGTCATAAGAGACATCCACCAACTAAACTGAGATAAGTATCATCAACATAGATCGTCTTGGCAAACAACAACAGACTTGAGCACTGACAACATGTAAGAAAAACCAAACCCTTCACTTGAGGGGGATGAATCTCGAAGAGTGAGTAGCACCAATACCAGGCCTACCATGCTTCACAGGCTTGTATGAGATGGAGAATTCAGCCAGGTAGTGACCAATCATCTCGGGCTTGATTTCGACTTGGTTGAAGGTCTTGCCATTGTACACGCCAATGACGCTTCCGATCATTTCAGGGACAATGATCATGTTGCGGAGGTGGGTTCTCACTGGCTCTGGCTTCTCACCTGCTGGTGCCTCCCTTTTCTGTTTCCACAGCACAGGAATTGAGTTTAGAAGAGAAACATCAAACCACAGCTCATATGAAAACCCGACAGAGTCAACTATTGCATATCACATGAAGACAAATACATTCATCGTATATACAAAATGGAACAACATGCGAATCACAAGGCTGCATCAATACTAAACAAGTTAAAGAAATTGATGTTGGTCCATTGAGAGCCTTGACTAAAGCAACTAGTAAAACAGAGCATGGAATCAAATAAATGAAAAACAGTGCTACGAATTATCAGGCCAATCATATTCTCAGAGATCTGCCTAGGAAGAGTCATTCACAATCCAAATTAGGGTACCCCAATATCTTCTGAATTATCAGGCTACGATGTTGTCAGAGATCTGCCAAGGAACTAATTCACAATCAAAATTAGTGTACTCCTACTATCACAATTAATATCAAATAGCTTCACAGAAGCAAAAACAAACGCTTACTACTCATAACATCATCAAATGCGCAAACATTTCAATGTCCGTGGATGGGAACAACAATACTGATAGCTCCAGATTCGATTATATCGCCATTCACCACGAAGAAGAGTAAGATTAAAATGGCTTACCGCCTTGCGGAGCTTCTTGATCAAAGCCATGGGCTTCCTGGTCAGACCTCTCTGGAACCTATCACAACAACAACGAACGAAGATTTGTTGACATACGCAAATGGTCCTCGCAATTCACAAACCCAACAAACGTATTTACACACAACACGAGCGTTACCTTCTGCGAGCACGAGCAGTGAAGAGCTTGACGAGATCATCAGTGGACATATCGAGAAGAGCATCCAAATCCACACCTCGGAAGCTGAACTTCTTGAACGTTCTCTTCTTCGGCTGTTCAGCGACAGCAACCTCTGCCTCCACATCCGCCTGCAAAAGATACACACACGGCCACCGCGGGTCAGATTTGTCGGAAAACTCTACGAACGACTGGAAATGATAACAGGAAGTGGACTGGGAGAGGGACTAAGAGGCTCGCCATGATTGCAGGTTCGAGAAATGGAGATCCGAAAACCCTAATCGACTGGTGGTGGTCTGCTCTCTGCTGTGTAGATCTGCGGCAGGTAGGGTTTTTCGGCAAATGGACGAGAAAGTCGGGATTATATATGACGTGACTGCGGCCCTCGGATTTATCCACAGCCCTAGATTGTAGATACAGCCAATTGGGGCTTAAAACGTCCCCACATGAGAACGCCCCTTTTGGGCTTTAAGCTCGGGCCCAACGATATGACCCAATTGGAATTATAGGCCTGGCCCAAATACCATGAAGTTAGCCTTATGCTAGGCTGAGTGCCCTCTTTTCTTTTGCAGACTTGCAGTCCTACATAGTTCCTCCAATCTCTTACACCGGTCACAATGGGTTGGAGAAAGTAGAAGGGATGCGTTTCCCAGATCTCAGTAATCTTCTTCTCGTCGTCATTTAGAAACCTATAGAGGAGTATTGGAGCCTATTGCTTTCACAGAGATGTGAACTTGTATGACCCTAGGTTTTACTACATTGTTTGATTTGTTTCTCAATTCTCATTTTCGGAGAGGCCAATAGTCTGTCTGGCACACTGAGCTTGATGTGATTTATATATGGGAGAGCAGATGCATAACAGGAAAGGTAGTTGAACGTAAAGGTAGGAACAGAAATATTGTGGGTTGTTGGAGTAACAGAAAGTAACAATGTGGCCGAAGGACTCGGTCAACGTACCAACGTGGGGTTTTGAATCTCTTAGTTGTAGACTTGTAGTTCACCTTCTAGAATGTAACGGAGGGTTTTGCTTATGATAGTTCCTATTTGTCGTCCTAATTATTTAAATTTATCGCCCTAAGATATGTAAAATGACCAAAATGCCCTTGGGTGGGTTTGAGGGTTTAAAACTCATATATTGTAGTAGGACATAATGGTCCTACACTTTTCCACTCTTTGTAGAGACAAAGAGTGGAAACTTCAAATAAAAAACTAATCAAATCCCACACCACAACAATTCTCAACTACTCTCTTCTTTATTGGTGAGTTTTATTTGAATTCGGCTAGACCATCGGAGCCAAAGGCACACTCAGCTGTCAAGTAGTCAAACAAAGGTATGCTACATTATTATTCTTCTTTTTCTGGTTTTACGAGAACAAACGGGTTGAAATTGTGTGCGCGCCGCCGGAGAGGCAGGTTGAAAATACGTCTCTCCATGGAGGAAACGGGTAGACAGCTTGTCCGTTCCTCTCGCTGAGCATGTAATTCACATGCTTGATCCATCAGACAGGCGGGTAGACAACATGCCCGCGTCAGTGGACAGGTGGGAAGACTTTATGTCCGCGCTGATGGAGAGGCTTGTAATCGACCTGCCCGTCCCGCCGTCAAACCCTTTCGGCCACATGTCTTTCCATGGACGAGGCGGGTAGACACCCCGTTTGGCATACGGCGTAATCCCGTAAAGAACATGCCCGCTAACTGGTAGAGGCACCTGCGCAGCACGTTTGAACCATTGGCGGGTCTTTTTTGTTTTCTGCCTTGTCGATGGTCGAGTCATGTTTTACACATGCTTGGGGCCGGTTTTTGTGATTTTTTAGATGGATTTTTGTGAATTGTTAGACAAACTTTGATGAAATTCACTAGAAATATATTATATGTTCATTAAAATTTGTTTTTCGTTGTGCTTGTAGGAGGGAGGACAAAGTGTAGAAGCCTCTTTTGTTATCATCATCAAATAACAAGTTTAAAATGAGTGATTCGGTAAATACCTTATTTCTTTGATGTTTAATAGTTAAATTATTGCAACATAATTGTTTCAAGACTAACGTAAATATTTATACTGTGTATTTTTTGTAGGGAGGTTTTGGAAATGATAAGGGTGACAATGTTGATTACACATCATTTTTCATAAACGATGTTGTTTATGATACCCATGATGATGCTTGTGTGGCTGCAAGGGAGATTGCCACGAGAAATAGGTTTTTCTTGATTGTGGGATCAGTCAAGCAAAATCACTCATCAGAAAAATATCCGCGGTACTATATGGATTGCAACCATGGCTATAGGAACAAGTCATATACTCCTGATTTGGCAAAAACAACACGGAGCAAATCTAAAATAGGTAAGTCTGATTGTCGTTTCCGAGTGGTAGTGCGTTGTTCATTGGTAGATGGCAAGTGTGAGTGGAGAATTTTTGGTGTTAAGGACAAAAATAATCCGGGTAAGTCAAGAGGATTTCACAATCACAAATTGGAGGTTTATTCTGAAGGAAGTAGGGAAAGGAATTCTCTTTCGAAAGAGAGAAGAATAGATATTAAGGAGTCTGGCTGAGATATTAGGAGTTTTGTGAATATGAAGTACGATGCTCATCACCATATAAAGCAGATTTATAACGAGACAGAAAAGATTAGGCGTGAGAGATTGGGTGGCATGAAACCTATGCGGTGGACATTGATAGAAGCTTAACGTCTCGAGTACTTTGTTGAGTGCGAGTTTGATGATGAGCGTCGTGTTTCTAGACTCTTCCTTTGTCATCCAGAGTCTATTCGGATGTTGAGCACATGGTATTTCGTCATTTTGATAGACTCAACTTACAAGACCAACAAGTATAAGCAGCCACTAGTTCAGTTGATTGGTGTTAGTCCGGTGAAGAAGAACTTCAATATTGGGTTTGCATTGGTGTCGAATGAGACGAAGGAGACATATGCTTGGGTTTTAATGCAATTGAAGCATCTGCTTGGTGATCGAACACCAGATGCGTTTGTTACCGATAAGGAGGGAGGTTTGGGTGTCTCATTGCGACAGATCTTTCCATCTTCAGCTCATTTACTATGTGTGTGGCACATGAAGAGGAACATTGAAGCTAAAATGTTGTCTTTTAGGATCAGTCGTGATTCTACCAAGTGGTTTATAGAAGGTCCATGGGGGAGAGTCTTGAATGCCAATACCGAGGCAGGGTTCCAACGGTGTTGGCGAGACTTGCAAAATGGTCATTGGGCTACAAACGAAAAATTGATGGACTACCTCAGAAGTGAGTGGATACCATACGCGGAAAGGTGGGCTCATTGCTACACCAATCGTGTCTTCCATATTGGTAACACAAGCACAAATAGGGTAGAGTCAATGCATTCCTCTTTGAAGAAATGACTTTCCACTTCGACCCACAAGATCGATACACTCTTCCTCAGATTTCATACATCCGTCGAGGGATGAGTGATTGAATTGAAGAAGGACTTAGAGGCATCACTTTCCAAGGTATTTTCATTTTTTTTGCTTATTTAAATTAGTACTTCCCTATATCCTCAATTTTATTTTGACTTAGAAATTCATGATTCGGAAAGGTATTTGCATTAGCCTATGGACCGCCATATGGAAACTTGAATAAGGAAGTAAGCTTGTGGGCGATTGAGTTGATGATGGAATAAAGAGGGAGGGAAATCGTTCGGCGATGTGAATGTCGGCTACCTGAGACACATGGTCTACCATGTAAATGTAAGATGGATGAATATAGTGTTGTCGGCGTAGAGTTGTATCCCTACCACTTGCATCAATTCTGGTCATCTTTGGTGCATGAGAGTCCTTCCGATCGTGCCGAATCGGAAGACCATGATGCCATTGAGCGTAACATTTTTACACCAATGGTGGAGGATGTGTACAAACAAGGGCCAGCTGCTATTCGAAAGGCAACTCAGATACTAAGACCCCATATTCATCCTCAAGTTGAAGGCCTACAAAAGTCTAGGGAGTCAGAGGCTCAAAGGGGATGACCAACTAAGAGGACCAACGCCCGAGATCCTTCTTCGTTTGAGCATGAGAGGGCAAGGTCAGCAAAGAGGAGCAAAACAAATCAGAGCCCGAGGACACCTAGGAACAAAACCCCTGCAGGTTAGCATCATTTTAATATTTTTGTGATGGTATCTTGTCTCATTTGTAAGGTTTTCAATATGTGACCATTTATATTAGTTATTTTTTCCATTTGTTGTAGGTGCACAAAAAAGTCAGCATATGCAAGTTCACAATGAGAGAAATGTTTGCCCCTATCTTCGTTATGTCCCACCCAGCATCCACCCTCTTGTTAGAGGTTGGTTTGGCCCCCCTCCATGAACGGGACCCTCCCACCTCCTAGCCAATGGGTCTCCCTGTGTCACGATCTGTGGTGCAGCTCTGTTAATGCGTAGCGATGGAAAATACTCATAGATCCAAGCCTGTAACAAGGTCAAGCACCCAGAAAATCCTCTAGATCCTGCTCGACTAGATCTCCCAAGCTGCCTATACATCCAGGCAAGTGCACCATCACCCCATGCATACTTACTAACCATCTTCAAATCTCTGAAGTAAGAGTACAACCATCCATGAACACGATCAAAACTCTTGTCCACAAAAACGTGGACCCTATCAAACACATTAAATAACACCGTGCCTCAGCATCCCCATCCTCCCTAGCATGTAGACGTGTCATGGCCTCATCTACCAACATCCCACCACCGTCATACCAACGGATGCCACGCGCTGCCACTGCATTCTTATCTAGAATCCCAAGAAGATCAACAATCCCACTCACAAACGACGGATCACCCTTAGCTGGTGCAACAAGTAACTCTCCATCCACTGGAATCTGGAGCAGGAATGAAACATCGTGAAGAGTGATCGTCATATCCCCGAACGGCATGTGAAACGTGTTGGTATCCGGCTGCCACCTCTCAATAAACGCCTCCAAGAGAGGGTAATCCACACTATGCATCATGCAACTACTCAAGTGGTACAAATCAGATGCCCTAACCAAGTTCTCTACACGTGGAGTCGAGAACTTGTACAACCTCAGTCGATCCACTCCACCCTGCCGAGTGTAGAACTGATACTCAAACATCACTCGAAAATCCAAACCCAAAGTCCACAAACGATGGCTTATGTGACCACCGAAACTAGGGATCAAACTGTGGTCACTCGGACCCCCGGGACCTGCTCCTGTAAGCAGCCATGTCTGATCCACCAACTTCTTCTGTGAAGGGACGCTCCCACTAGATGACGAAGCAAAACGCCCATCCTTACCACGTAGCGGCCCAACCCGAGTACTAACATGGGTCGAGCCAGTAGACACGTGATCGCTCGAACCCACAGGATGGCTTTTGTAAAAAGCATCAGGAAACGACAACAAATCACCCTCCTCATCACACTCATTATCACTGCTCGTGGCATCCTCCACCAAGTCATCATATGTGTTGATGACTCGCATCTGCCGAGAATCATGGCTAGAGGGGGCAGGATCAACTACAGCTTGACGAGCAAACTTCTCCTGACGCTCCAGCTCAAGAGCTCTATCCTTCTCCTCCTGACGTTTTTTGTGCTCAGATCCAGTAACATTGCGTCCGACAACCCTCGACTTTCCCTTTCTTTCGTTCATTTTTACCAACTATCAAGAAAATAATTTTTTTTCGGAATTATTATTAATCATCCTAAACTTTTTAACTATTCCTAATAATCATTAACAATCATAAACTTTATCAATTGTATACTACTTATATTGTCAAAATAACAAAACATCATGCTAATTATAATTAACAATTCAAATCAAGTTGATCAAAATTCACATTCTAATGTATGTCGCATAAATAATCATTCACAATTATTATTAATTAAAATCAACAATTCATAAACCTATGCATTTAAATTAATAAAAAAAATTGGTCAGAACAGAACTGGGTTGGTTGGAAAACCGGACCGAATCGGGCGGGTCAGATACCCGACTAGACCGGGTCGGGGCGGGTTGGCGACCCAGCCACCGCCCGATGCTGGCGGATACCCTGCCTGCCTCACCCCAGATCCAGGCCTGGGAAGAAGCTGCTCTTGACGGCGACGGGCGGGTGGAAAACCTGCTGGCCCACCCGCCCCATTTACATTCACGAAAAAAAAAGTGGAAAGAACGGCAGAAAGGGCGACTCACCTTCTCCCGGCGACGACGACAATGGCGAGCAGAGGAAGGCGTGGATCGTCGTAGATTCTGGGCGGTCGGCGGCGTTGCAGGGAGATGGAAGGGCGGCGGCGTTTAGGTTAGGTTAGGGAGATGGAAGGGTTCCTTTCGTTTGAAATGGAAATAAGGAGGGAGGAGGCGGGCTGCTGTGCTGCGATGGGAGTGGGGCGAGTAAAAGAATAGGGTAAGTTTAGGTTAGGGTTACTTTTTTTAAGTTGGGGGTAAAATTGTCCATTCAATAAATTTAGGGCGATTAATTTGAAAACTTAGGGCGACGAATAGAAGTTCAGTTTGCTTATAACCCGGCCCGTTGGCGGCAATGTTAATATTTATATATATATATATATATATATATATATATATATATATATATTTATAATGGTGACAAAGATTAATTAAAAGAAGTCCAGCTTATTTATATTTTATTCACAATCCTTCGATCGAAATTTTACATAAAGAAAGAATATATAGGTAGAATATTTAGAGAAACATCACAATAATTTAAGAATATGAAATATAAAAAAGTATAATTTATCTCATTTTATATTGATAATTAAGTCCCGTTAAAATGCTATAGGTTAATTGATTGTAAAAAAAGATAGAGTATAAATCAATCAATGATTCCTTCATTGTTTTAAGATAGAAATAGGTTGTGATAGTTGCAAAAACCATAAACCTAAAGATCCAAAAGCCACCACTCTTTGTAGTACTACCAAAATTTTCTGCACTCTATCGTCAATTTCAAGAGGCATATGTTTCAGCCAAAAAATCATTCTCTAATCCTCCTTCTGCAACTCCATTTATTGAACTCGATTCTATTCTCCATGGAATGATTTCGAAGTTGAAATCTTCTACTTGCCCAACTTAAATCCCCAACAATAAAACCGTAGTGCCAAGAGATACCGGAAGAATGATTTTCAATGATGACCTTGTACTGGGAAGTGCAAGGGGCGGAAACTATTGCACGATATAGGGAATTTCGGAGGAAGTTAGAAAGAGATAAGAACAAAGATAAAAAAGCACAAAATTTCTATTTAAATTGAAAAATACATATGGTAAACTTAGTGGGCTTGCTAATCATGATATAAAAGTCCTCAGAATTTCAGAGTTTAACTTCCTGTATGTTTTGTATTAAAAAAGATACCACAAATTTGTTTAGTGTAATTGGTTGTAATTGTCGCTTTGTTTAAATGGATCCTGGTTCAAATCCTGATATTGAATTTTTTTATATAAAACAAAGGGTTATTTGTACAATTTGTCCCTTTACTTTGTATTTTTCTTAAACTTGCCCCTCTATTATAAATCACATCAAACCTACCTCTTACTAATAAACACTTATCAAACATACCCTTCCATCTCCTTTTCCGTCAAACTGCCGTTAAATTCCCAAAATCCCCAATCCCTCTCTGGTCGTCCCCAAAAGCCACAATCTCCCTTCCGGTGACCACAACCTTTAGCGACTTCGATCATTTATTTCCCCCTAATGTCGCCGCCGCCACCGCATCACTGTCGTCGATCTTCGTAGTCGTAGCCCCTCCCCAATTAGGTCTACTCTTTGCTACCCTCTTGGAACTATTGCGCTGCAATTTTCCCTAGCCCGGAGTCACCTGACTTTCTTCCACTACGAGACCTCTGTCCACCCTCCACTCCGTTCAGCAACGCCATCTTGCCCAAACTCTATACTTCCTTCAATCTCTAATTCTTCAATTCCTAAACTATAATTTTGCAATTAAATCTTATACCCAGTCGATAACAAGACAAATGAAGAAAGAATTCAGTTTCGTCAATAACAAAATCCTTAAGTGAACAAATTGAAACCCCCTAATTTTTTATTCTGCTTGCAAGCAACATTAATTTTTGGTGTCAACAAAATGATTCCCATTTGCAAAAACAAGAAAGAACGAGCGAACCAAAAGCAAAGATCCCCTATTTTTTAATATGAAACAAATCCTCTGTTTTCCATCTCAAAAGCGATGGCGGCTACTGGCGATTAGCAGCGGTTGGATGGAAAAGAGAGAAGCTTATCGAGGGAGTAGCGTTGTGGAACTATGAGCGACGACCGAAAATCGAGCTAGTGATGCTAGAAACAACATGGCAAAGAGGTTGGGAGACGAGGCTTAGGGGACTGTCATCTTAAGAATTAGATCTGACCAGTGACCAGTGATAGGTGGCCTATATAGCAAAATAGAGGAGAAACTGGATCGGAATTGGAGTCTCAGGTTTGTTGGTGGGAATTGGGTGTGTGAATGGGGGATTGTTGGGACGATGTTAGAGCTATACTGGGGTAAAATTGTCTTTTACCCACTCATTTTCAGGACATTTTGTTGACCAAAATCCGGTTGGACAAGATTTAACGGCTGTGTGACTGAAAAGAAGATTGAAGGGTGCATCTGATAAGTGTTTATTAGTAGGAGGGTAGGTTTGATGTGATTTATAATAGATGAGCAAGTTTGAGAAAAATGTAAAGTAGAGGGGGCAAATTATATCTATAACCCTAAAATAAATAATTAATTGTAAAGACCAAATTATCCTTCCTACTTTCACTCTCGTTGCAGGAAATTTGAAATGAAACAAATTACACAAAACTCTACTATTTATTATTGGAGGATGAGTAGATTTTTTTGCTGTAAACCAAAATATATGCCAACAAAATATAGTTTTGTGGTGCAATTATAACACTTCCATTTTCACAATCATTTTCTTATTAGTGTATTGCCTTGTAAACTTAGCAGTTAGCAGTGTTGCCACGCCATTGCAAGGGTGGGGTGTACTAAATTTGGTTGTACCCAATAGGGATAATGTAGTTGTGTTAGTAGATTCAATGGGAATTTGACCAGCACAAATTTGATCTGAGTAGTTGTAGTGTCGGTTTTTTAACCCAAAAATCCTAGTATCAATGCTTGTAGTGAAGAACCTTACTCATCTATCCCGACTTGAGGCACCGTATCGATTGCATTAATGAGGTTGGATCTAGTTTCCTTTGCTCATATTCCCCCGTGTCTATCCCATGGAGAAGCGTAAGACTTGAGATCCAACAATCAAGAAAAATGAGCTTATGCATTACAATGGTTGGTCATTTCTTCAGCCTACAGCTATTTGCTAATTGCAGTTGCAGAAATTTACAATTTCATTTCCATACTTTCTAAACCTTCCCCATCTCTTCACTTCACTTCACAAGGAGTGCCAACAAACTTCGCCGTTTCATTTCAAGAACGCTTCAAAACAATAAAGCCCCTAGTATTTTCAATGGGCCGCTGCCAGTGGGCTTTCAATACTCTGTACAACAGTCTTCAGCTCCGCCTGAACGCTAGGCCTGGACGGGTCCAAAACGACATCTCTCCAAACCGACCCGGGTTCTTGAACCGGACTCGGGCTACCATAGAGCTCGTAAACCGACTCCGCGCTCGGGTTCAACCCAGCCACATTGCTCAAGCATTTGAAATCCTCTGGGTCAATCAACATCTTGTCGTCCCCATCTTTCCTCGCAATCAACTGCATTTACAGCAATTTGGCCGATCTCAACGTCAATTTCACCATCCCCTTAAAAAGCATATCCCAATCTATATAATTAAACCGATGAATGATTGTTACCTTCGGCGGGCCTCCAACGCTGTTCGTACAATAGAGCCTGGCATTATCCACAATCTCGCAGTAGTTCGGAAAGGCGTCGGCAAATCTCTTGTGGGACTTCAGCTGGGAATTCACCCTCACTGCCCTCCCAGTGATTATAGCTCTCCTGATTCCCCTGACGACGGCTAGATAAGCGTCGCAAACGACGCCGACCATCTCGATTCTGTAGGGTCTCCTCGCCAACGGCGATCCTCCGTTCCCCGTCCGGCCGCCGTCCTGGTCGTCGTCAACTGGTTCCCAGTAGTTTTCGGTGATGGTGCCGTCTTCTTCGACCTTGTAGCCGACTCCCATCCGGTAACGGCGTTTGTGGACGTTACGCGCCATCTCGATGGTTTGGTCCACGAACGGCTCCCAGGACAGGGTGCCGTCCATTACCACGTCGCGCCCTTCGTTGAGTGCCGTCACCAGCAGCGACGACGCCGCATCGGTTGACGATTGGTGAACCTGGGTGATCCAACATCTATTAGACCACTAATGATTCATTTCCCGAACTTAAGATTATGATCGAGACTTTGTAAATCGAATTAAACGAATTGTGAAATACTCGTACCAGTTCAGCGGTTCGAATCATGTCGTCGTGGTGGCCCATGGAGTTGAGAGCTTTGTACAGAACGTCGGATTCCTTGAACGCATCCGCCTCCACTACGACGGCGTTTGCTGCTGCGCCTCCCCAAAACGACCTGCACCCAGATTGTGGGTGTGCTTGTCAGTTAATTTTATCATGGGTGAAGTTCCCAAATCAAGATTTAAATGGCCTACAGATCCGTTTTTCAACTTACTCTTTGAGGATGTCCTTGATGACGGTGCTCTTGCCGGCGCCCATTCCGCCGCCCATGAGCAGCAGGACGGGGCTCCTCTCGCTGTGGGCCGCCGGAACCATGACGTCATTGTTCCGGAGGGACTCGGTTTTGCCGATGGCTTTCATCTCCTCAACTAGGGTGGAAAATACCCTCTTGACCTTCAGGCTCCTGCTCATTCTCTCGAATCTTTTCTCCCTGAGAATTAGAGCCAAAAATAATATTAAAATAAAATAAAAGATTTAAAGTGGTTGAGGGGTAGTGCTCGACCATCATACTAAACTAATAATTAATGTCCAATAGTAGCAGCCACGCACGCCTAAGAAAAAATGCACACGGATTTGAAACTTCAATTTAAAATACAGGCTCAGAAATTCCAATTCGATTCGACCACTTTTTCCCCAATTGAATAAGTCGTTAGGGTTTTCAATCAATTATGGGAGGCAGCTACTAACGTCCGTTTGTTTGGATGGTCACTCACAGACTTATGGATAGAGATTGTACATTTTGGGTTTTTTCATTTTTTAATATTTTTTCCCCGTCAGCATTGGCCCCCCTTTCTAGAAAAAGAATGGCATTGCCAACAGCTCACTAAATCACCATTATACAATTAAAATAATAATATTGACCAGCGCAGCCGGCAAACCGAGAAAATAACAACCGAGGAATTGGATTTGGGGGGAAAAGAGAAGAGGGTGGGAGACCGGCGTCTACCTGGTGGCAGCCATTACAAAGCTTTTGAGCTTCGGCTTCTTCTCCGATTGACCGTTCATCACCTGGAAAAAAAAAATGAATCACGAATTATTACAACGGAACGGAAAGCGAATTCAAATTTGACGAGAATTTTCGAAATCTAGCAGACAGGGGAGTAAAATTTAATTTGGAAAACCTACCTGAGAGACGATCGAAGCGGCGTGGTTCCAGTGGAAAGCGAAGTAGCTCAGGATGCATTTCTCGAGTTCAGCCACCATCTTCCCGGAGAGCGATTTCGCCCCTTCGCCGCCGTCGCTTTTGGCGAAGTAATCGTAGATGTTGTCCTCGCATCCCTCGATTTTCCTCAGGTAGTCGTACGCCAGCTTGCACAGCTGCGGGCACTCGCTCGGATCTGAGAACCCTAGCTGCCTCGCCACGTAGTGTGAGAATCTCTCAACCTTCCTACCGCCGCTACCGGACTCCGTCGCCGCCTCGTCCAGCCTCGGGATGAGTCGCTTGCTGACTTTCGGTCTCCGGCGGTAGTACTCGGCCGCGGCGGCGGCGACGAGCACCAGGGACGACGCCGCGACTACTCGCGTCAGGACGACCTTCGTGTTGCCGTTTTCTGGACAAAAAAACAAAGCAAGAATAAATTACACGATTCAGAAGAAAAAGTCAAACGGCGGAGGTAGAGGATCGGACGGCGGTGTACCGTTGTTCATCTTCGGAGAGGGCTTTTACAGGTTATTAATGGTGTGAGATTGATGAGCGGAGAGAGTAAAATGTGATGAGTAATTTATTTTGTTCCTTTCAGAGAAGAGAGAAGTGCTGGTGAGGGAAGCACAAGCACTGCTCTGAATCTCTGCTATGGCTACGGAAGCAGTACTTTGTATTTATATTCGTTCCAGTAAGCGAAGGACGATTTCCACGTAGGACTTCACTATCTTCTTCTTCTTTTATTATTTATGAATCTTTTCCTTTTTCTTTATTCAGTAATTTCTCGTCTTTTTCTTGATTCCCATTTTTTATTTATTTTGCCGATATCCAAAATATTCGAAATAATGTGATAAAGGGAACGGTTACGGTGTTAATTGTACAATAGTTAGCACCGTCCTAACCAAGGGAAAAACTACTACTAGTTTGAATTAGTAGTGATTTAGCTTAGATGTTGTATTGATTTTATAATAATCCGTAGGGATCTCGTTATTTTTAGTAGCGTTTTTTGCTAATTATCACGGTGCTAACCCCTATAAGGGTTAGCACCTAATCCCATCCCTGTGATAAACGTTCCAATCATACCTCTCTATCCTATAAAGTATAAACGTTTGAAACATTTTACCGACCAGTCATTTTAGTTTTTTTTTTATCCTTCTAATAATATTTATGTCTCTTGCATGACAAGACTATCGAGCCATTTAAGTCATTTGACACAGGAAAAGTTAATCTGCTAACTTGAAGATTCGTTAGCAGATACTAGCTGATATCCAAAATACATGAACTAGTATCTAAGTACTAAAATATCTAGAGAGCACATACTAGTATTTAAAGTTTGCTAACTGATATCCACCATGAATCAACTATTATCCCAAATTCACAAACTAATATCTAGACAACACAGAATAGTATCCATATAACACATAATTAGTATCCAGATAACACATACGAGTATCCAGATAACATATAAGAGTATCCATATTGAATACTAGTTGGTTGTTTGTGAATATTAGTTGGTATTTGCTACTTGGATACTAGTTTGTGATGTTTTGATACTAGTCTGTGCCATCTAGATACTCAGCAGACTTGGATATTAGTTCATACATTTTGGATATTAGTTAATATATACTAACGAATCTTCTAGTTAGCAGAATAACTAGGTTGATTTGACACAAGGCATGTATTTTGTCTTTCACAAAGAAAAATAAATAAAAAACGGTGAGACCTTTTTATTTCGTTAGTTGTTGATCCCAAATTACCACTAGACTAACTCTTTGGTGTTAAAAATGTAATCAAATTCTCTTCACTGAACCCGAAAAACAAAGAAAAACGTTCGACAACGATGGTGCGATGATCTATTTCCTTATGCTTGTTTTAGTCTTTCATTTGAACTCTTATTAGGTTTGTTTAACAAATACAGGCTAACCAACTCATATGATAGTGATAACTTAAACAAGAGATATATACATTGTTCCACATTCAAATATTGACTTAACACTTTTTTGGGAGATGGATTATGTCAATCTCGAGGGTGGAGTTTGGTTTTTTTTTTTTTTTGCACAATTGCTCGATCTCTGAAGAGTTTCTCGCTGACTCTTTTACTCGAGTTATTGCTATCACATCGAGTCAAGATACCTACCTAGATGTATGACATCACGACCTGCCCAGTGAGAATTTTTGGTGTGCTTAACTTTGAGAGGGGGAGGGGGGCTAGCTAAGGGAAATTATTTCTCTTTTAAACTTGTTGCACTCAGTGGATGTTTACAAGGTGACTAGCGGGCCGTGTTAGCTCGTCTGGTCTCCCCAACTAGAACCGTCATTTTTTTGTACAAACTTATGTATAGGGTATATGACCGAATATGAGTTCGGGGGGATGCTGCAATTTCCTAGTGATTTAGTCTAGACTCCAGAGAGGCAAATCATTCCCACGAAGGTATGCCCTTTTGTCTGGATTTTATCTAAGAAGAAAGCTCTTACTCTTGACAATCTCATGAGAAAGGGTGGTTAGTCATTAGTCAATCGATGCAAGACGTGCTAGAACAAGAAAGAGACGATTGATCATCTATTCATCGATTGCGAGTTTGATAGGAAAGTCTTGAACATAGTGAAAAAGGGTTGCAACAACTTCGATCCTCTTTCACGAGACGCTGTATGTCTTGGATACAGAGATGAAGTATTATGCCTTGTTCGATATTTAAAAAAAGGTCGCAATCGCATTATGTAGCCATTTGTGGCATCCAACGCCTATCTAACTTGTACCAACTTTTCATTCTCTCTTCTCCTTCCACATAAAAGATTCTATCTTGTTAAACTCCTAAACTTCTTCCCCATTACGTGGGTAAGTGGGAACTAATTAGTCGTTAAATTACGAGCAGATGGAGTAGTCTTTACCCTTGAAAGTGGATTTCCAACAATGAGATAAAATTATCAACATGGATTTGGAGGAAGGAACACTCAAAGATCACCATCTCCTCGAAGCTCCTCCCTCGCTTAAACACTTGGACCATGTAAAGGTTCTGGTTCGTTTCGCTGTAAATGTTGTTGTAAGTTATTGGTTGGTTTCGGAGATGGATGACTAATTGAGTGGGGTCAACGTGTGAAGAGCAATAAAGAAGGCACAAAGACTCAGTGCATCCATGTGTTTGCCTTAGTCTGCAGACTTGTTGGAATATTTTTTTTTTTTGGGTGGAGGATGCAAATAGAATTGACCCGCATTAATTAACAACAAAAGAAAGGAACTTCCGGTAAAAGCGTCCCCCCGCGGAACCGGGTCAACCGTTTCGGCAGTCTACTTTAATTTTCCGGTTGAACTTCTTTCAGCTTGTATTTTTCAAGTCTTTGTAAACGCAGTGGAGAAGACCATGACTACGTAACCTACTTTTCTGATTTTTTTTTTTTAATGTAATGAACTGCTATATTCTGTCTGGTTAGACTTAGGCAGAATGTTATTTATTTAAGCAAAACAATTAACGATTTTTTTCTTCCGGAAGAAGATGGGGTTAAAATGCACTGGTTGTCGTTTAAGTATTGCGTATGTTGCACGCTAATTATCTAATTAGTTTTTGTTGCAACTAAATCACATGAGTCGAATTGTGGCTGTAACTAAACCATATAAATTTGAATTTTAGTTGGACCATTACAATTTTCATCCATAGATGAGAACTTTTTTTTGGTAAACTTTATGAAATTTATGGTTAGTTTTGACCTTTTTTGGTCAGATTTATGATTTTTGTTGTGTGGTGAACTTTTTATATGTTTTATGAGTTTTTTTGGTATGTTTTATGTGTTTCGTGGTGTGATTTGTCGCATTTTTTTTGTTCCGAGTTTTCTGGTATGCTTCATAATACTTGTGCTCGTTGCCAGCTAAGGACGAAACGAGGAATAGATGAGCAGTACGTCAGTACCACATACGTGTTGCTTTGATAATTTTTTTTAAAAATGACAAGCGCGCCCCTTCTTTTAAAAAACCAACATTAAAATGCGGTCAACTCCTTCGACATAAAAAAGTAAGCAAAATGAAAACCTTCTACTGATTGAAGTTAGTATTAACACCATTCTAATAATCTAGTTACCAGCACCCTAACTCCAGCCAATTGATCAGCAACCGAAACGTTTCCAGACTACTATCTATAAAGCTAGAAATGGAACAGATATGAATGCCTACAAACTACAAAGTGTCCATTCAATCTTAATCAGCTTTGCAATTGATTAGCACTTTCGCAGCAAAGTTAGGTAACATCTTTTCCTCAATGGAGAGCGGTCGGTCCTAATTTCCATGATTGTGTTTCTAGAAGAAATAGTTATCAAATTCTACTCCTGTATGAACTAAATTGCAGTATTGTCAACAAAATGAGGTCAGAATATGTAGATAGAACTTAGAAGGAGCAGACTAAGAAAAACCATCGCCGTTCTGGTAGGTAAGCGCACAAATCCTGCCGCGGTTGAACTTGAAATTAATATATCTTCCTCGGCATGAAAATGTTTTAACGTTATTCAGGCCCTAGAGCTGGTCGCAGCTAACCCAGCTTTAACATGCTAAGAGGGACTAAATAGAGTGCTATACCCTCTCCTAGAGTTAGCATCATCCTAATTCCCTAGTGGCACGAGTAATCAAGGCAAAATATTTTGAGGGTGGTGACCCTCTGGAGGCTGAAGTAGGGAGGAACCCTAGTTGGATATGGCGAGGCTTAATGGCCTCAAAGAATCTAGTAAAGAAAGGAGCAAGGTGGAGAGTGGGGGATGGAACCAAAATCGACATATGGCTGGATAAATGGTTACCCTCAAGTGATAATTTTAAGGTGACTTCCCCAACAGTCAACTGGGGAACGTCAACTTCTGTAGCAGAACTGATTGATCCTGATACCAGGAGCTGACGGATAGATCTAATTCAAGCACATTTCAACCCTACGGACTGCTCCAACATTCTAAAGACCCCTATTCCAAGACAACCAACTGAGGACAGAAGGATTTGGGGAAAAGAAAGAACAGGGGAGTACACTGTAAAATCGGCAAACAAATTATGGGAAGGAAGAAATGCGAATGAGGAGGGAGAGCCCTATATACCAGTTAATTGGAAAAAGGTTTGGAGCCTACAGATCCCCCCTAAGGTGAAGGTATTTGTGTGGAGATGGCTGCGGAATATTTTACCCACAAGGTTTCGAATCTAAAACGCACCCAACAAAGAAGTGATGATTGCCCTTTCTGTGGCTTAGAAGAGACCCAAGAACATGTTCTTCGGGACTGTGCATGGGCTCGCAGGGTTTGGAGGTACAGCACAATGGACTTATTGGTGAGTTGGGGGGAAAATCTTACCTCGGAAGAATGGTTTTGCGAATTGCAGGAAACGGAGACTGAAGATCAACTGGGATCCTTTCTCGTGGCGCTCTGGTACATCTGGGATCAGCGAAACTGTCATTTATGGAACAAAAAAAAAATAGAAGAGTGGGAGATCCTACCCAGAGCGAGTGAATGGTTACAAGACTACCTGGAGAAGTAGATGAGATCCCAGGCGGAGCCGAAGGAGGAGGATCAGCGATGGAAACCTCCGACGGCAGGGGCGGTGAAGATTAATGTGGATGCGGCTTGTTTCGATGGACAGGGAACGGGATGGGGAGTGGTGGCTAGGGATCAGAATGGGCATTTTCCGTTTGGAGCAGTCAAGAGATCTCGGATTCAGTGGAACCCAGAAGAGGTAGAGGTGCTGGCGGTGGATTTTGGTCTGGAAATGGCGAGGAGGAGAGGAATGGGGGAAGTGGAAATGGAATCTGATTGCCAGGGTATCGTTCAGCAACTACGCCGAGAAGAGAGAAGGGAAACCGAGGTTGGGCTGATGTGCGAGGACGTCCGGATCAAAGCTCAGGCTTTGGGCTTGGTTCGGTGGTATTGGGAAGGCCGAAATAAAAACAGACTGGCCCATAAAATAGCCCACCTAGATTGCAATTGGGATAGTGAGGAGGTTTGGGATGATAATCCACCTCAAGTACTTGTACCTCTCCTTAGAGAGGATGCTACTGGAAACTTTGCTACTATTGATTAATAAATGAATATAGTTTTCCTTAAAAAAAAAACATAATTCAGAAAGGAAACTATGGTAACTACCAGAGTTGAAAATTCATTCCCATTTTTGAATTTCGATTAAACTAGAAATCGATTCGTTTGCAACCGAAAACCAGATGCTATTAATCCAATCCAGTCTCCGGTAGGAATGGCAATGGGGCGGGTTTGCCTAAACCATCCCCATCCCCATCTTCAAATACACAAACTCATACCGGCCACATACCCATGCGGGGAAATGTTTTGCAAACCCATCCCCATATCCGTGGGTTTCGGGTACCCATGGGTAATACTCATATCCGTACATCCAACATTATTATACCTAAAACTTACAAGAAAAGTTTTAATTATAACTTTCAACGAACATATTATATGATGAAGTCAACAAAACACAATCATTTTTTTAATATGGTTCAAAGAATATGATCCTGAAATATCCATTAATACATAATATAGAGTATAATATTTTTCAAATTATTATGTTCTAACTCTGATACATCTACTAATAATTAACTAACATAATCTTGTTGACAAGGGGGAAAGTGAAAGAGTGAAATGAGAATTGAGAGAAATGAATTAGGTTTTGATTAAGATGGTCACTCAATTGCATTTCTACTATTTATTTTCTCAAGTTATCCTCATCATCATTGATAGATTATAATTTGATGCACATATTTTTTTATATACGAAGAAATTCTCTTGGTGGGGCGGATATGGATATGAGTATGGAGCGGGGGAGGCTAAAACCAAACCCGCCCCATACCATTAAACTTTTTACGGGTTTTACCCATACCCGCCCTATACCCGATCAAAGCGGGGATTCCTCGCGTTGACTGGGTCGGGGGCGGTCGGATACCCACGACTATGGGTTTGATTACCATCCCTAATCTCCGATCATGCTTATAGGGAAAATCGACTTGGTTTGATCAAGTTAAGAATTAGGACCACTTAAACATTACAACAAGCCCAACCCACCACCCACAACAAGCCCAGCCCATATATCCATAGCCATGCAGTAGAACACAACTAAATAAGGCCCGACCCCAAGGAAGAGAACATCCTTCTAAATCTAACATAATCGCTTCCTACATGTGCAACTGTTTACCACTAAAAAATCACTCAATACCACATTGATTATTTTCAAGGAGTGGTAGTGATTTTATAAGACCAACTTAACCATATTAATTAAATTGGTTTAAGCTGGGCCTAAATGATGGTATTTTGGGCTTCATATCAGGTACCTCAACACACACCACTTGACCCACCAAACACCCACCCGTCACGCAAGAGGGGTCAAGTGCCAAACGTGTTGACACCCTTCAACATCAACCACCCAAGTCGGCATGGTGGAGGCAAAATTTGGCTAAGTGTTAAGACCCAACCACCAGGGGGTTCAAGCATGATGTCATGCAAATGGGTCATCACGAGTACCCGTAGATGTGATGCGGCAAAAGAAGGTCAATTGTGCCACCCCATGGGGGTCAGTGTGCATCCATCAACCCCCAAGCCCCTTGGTGTCGAGCACGCGTCATGTCAGGTTGGTTAGCACGAGTACCACCAAGCGTGAAGCCTTCACTCACTAAACAAGACACCTCCATGGCACAAGGGGCTAGCTATCAAGTGAAGTCATCAAGGTGCAATGTGTCAAATGGCAAGCACGTAAGACAGTCAAGCAGGCTACATCAAGTACCAAGCATGGAAGGTAGCAGTTACAAGAGGCATTTACATGGCGGTTACAAGTGATGTCTATAAATAGGAGAAACGAAGACGAATTAAAGGTTCCACAACCAAACATTTGACACCACATGTCAAACTTATATTTTCTCTGCAATGTAGCCATAGTTGTAGCTTTTAGTTTTTGGAGCTCTCACTGAACCTCCATAGGAGTAGAAGTAATTTAACTTAGTTTTATCAGCCATCAAAATCATCAAACACCCTCGTTCGAACATTGTTTGGAGAGGTGTGAACCGTGTTATTAATCGTTGTTCGAGAAGTCAAGCTGCATTAATTGAGTTCAAACACCAGATTTTCCTCGCCGGAAAACAACAACACTAAGACTTTTAGTTTTAGGTTTAACCACAATAACGATATGGTAGGATCGAGGTTAGGTACGAGAACTCAAACCAAAATCAAAATGAGCCACAGTCGGTCAATCAATCGATTAACCTACAACTTCAACTAATTAATGCATTTTCATCTCAACATTAAGTGATTTAATTAAGTGCCATTATAGTATCCCATTAAGAGTTCAAATTGGGTGACATTATAGTTTTTAATTAAGCTGCTTAACTCGGGCCATATTGGTGGATCGGGTACTCCCATCAAGAAGAAGAAGAAAAGGCAATGGAAGGAAGGAAGGAATAGAGGTACTACATATTTTCGTGTCAAAACAGGGCAACGAGTTCAAGAGAGGATTCCAGGAGAAGAAACCATTGGATTGTCCTAAAACTTGGAGGAAGGGTTTCACACTTCCTTAGTTTCGATCCAACTTTATGAATTATCATTCTGATAGCTGATTCGACGGGGGAGGTTGCTGGACAGACAAAGTACGAACTTGTTTTCCTGTGGTTGGGCTGTTGGTTCCTGTGAGGATTCCAGCGGAACCAACCGTTGGATCGTTCTCAGACTTTGAGAATGAGTTCAAGACTCTTTGGGGGTTGATCGAACATAGGGATCGAGGTTCTAATCGCTATTTTGGCAGGAGACTCCAAGCGTCGGTGACGGTTGAGGAGTTGTTGTTCGAGGAAGAGCAATTGTGAGCCGAGTTTGGTGTTGGAATCGAGAAGGAAAAGGAAGGGAAAGACGATAGAGGCAGAGCGGAGGTAAGGAGGTCGATTTCTAAACGTTTAGATTTAGCTACGTATAGAGATATACGTAGATGCATAATTCTATGAATTTAGCGCGGATTTACCGTCTTTTAGTGACAGAATAAAACTTGTCATCTAAAGACTGCCATGAATGTTTATAAATAATTTTAAGAATTTCACCCTTGTACATTGATTATTTTCGGGATTTGATCATTTTAGAAATTAAAAAAATTTGTATAATGTTTGAGAATTAATTTGATAATTTTTGGAATTGATTTACTATTTAAAAAATTGATCAAAATTCATTTTATTTAAATAAAATGCTTTACTAAAGATTTTTGTTGATTTGCCGTTACTATGATTATGGTTTGATGTTACAAAATTATCGGGGAATTTAAAGATTTGTAATAAGGTAATGAAAATAATATATGATTTACTTTAATAAGAAAAAGTTTATTTAAAGTTTTTAATTTAAAGTTTTTAATTTATATTTTTAATTAGTGTTTTTTAGCTACGTAAGGTCAGAATTTTAGGTTTGAAATGGAAAAGGAATTTTGAAATTTTTTGGAGGAATTTATGAGAATTTATTTAAGGTTTATTAAGTTCTTTGTAAGATTTGAGTTTTGAAAAATGTTTTGAAAATTACGGATTTGAGAAAAGTATTTGAAAGAGGAAAACGAGCCATTTTTAAGGAATTTGTTTTTACAATATTTTTGAAGATTTTGGTACTAAGTAATAACTAATAAGGAGAGGAAAACCCATATTAAAGGCGAATAGATTAAAGGAATAAGAAGGAACTGTTTTCGGTTATTAGGTTCAAGAGAGTTACTGAATAGAGGAACTATTTTTCGGTTTTCAGTTGTTAGTATCTAAAAAATTATGTCTTACATTTTGGTACCTAAACTTTTTAAATTAACAAATTGGTCCAAGGTTATGAGGTTTTTTATATACTTTAAAAACTTGTTGCCTGGTTTATGAGTTTCTTATATGTTTAATAAATTGAAACAGAGAAAGAGTATTCGCGAATCGACATCCAACAGTCAAGTCTAACAAGGTAGTCGTCGTCCACCTCTTTGCATGCTTTATGTCTACTGCTTGTCGCTCGTCATCGCTTGTAAACGGAAGAAGAGGATCTCAAATTCTCGTCGTCACTGGATCTCGACGACTACCAACTATAGTTCCAGCTCACGCTACTCGTCTCCTGACTCGCCTTGACCCTCCACGACCACTAGCTACCTCTTGTCTCGAATCTCGCTGATTACGGTGACAATATCCACGAATGGCTCACAGTGATGATGGATCCCGCCTCGATCTTTCTTTCGGTCTCCGTCGACAACTCCCTGGGCAGCTTTTCCAAGATGAGAGCAGCGATTGATCGATATTCGATAGTAATGAAAGAGGGAATCATGGATTGTGCGGTCGGGGGTGATGAACTGCTCTCAATTGTTTGTTTTTTTAATCCAATTTGTCTTCAAACGACAACGTGTTGGGAAGGGAATAAACATATTCGATTTATGGGATTAAAATCGGACCGAACTCATTACAATCCGGTCACAGTTTAAACCTAATTCAATCAAATCTAACTTCCAGTTACATATTTGACATCATTAGCATTTGAAAAGCTGGATAACATAGATCCAGTCAGATCGAACCGAACCGTTTTCCAACCCTACCGGATATAGCGATGCTTACGAATGAAATGGAATGGCGATGATTACGATGTGGGAGCTTGTCTCGAGAGATTTGGCTAATGCCCAATTGTTTTTTTTAATTTGGTCTGTTTGAATAGTAAAATAAATAGTAAATATTCAACAAAAAATAGTATTATAAATGGTTTATAATTTATTTTTTAATTGTATTTAAATAATTTTTCTATTTTATTAATTTCTTCTTGACATCCACATCAACTATATATGCTTGCGTATTAACATTTTTGGTCAAATTATTATTTAATGGACATTTATGAAAAGATCAGTAAAATTAATCATTTAGGATAAAGTTCTAAGATATTAAGGCAAATAAAAATACCAATTTTTTTTTTTTACTGAGTTGCCAATCAAACCAGAGAAAATCTTCATTTATCAAACCAGAGAAAGTCTTCATAGCGTTACCGTGGTGCGTGCACGGGCAGCACGGCTACCATGTATGTATACCTAATTACCTAGCAATCCCATAAACTGTTAGAATAAAACAATACCCCAGCCAACGAGGGTTAGCACTCAGCACTATCGTCAGATTAGTTTCCAACTCCTCTCGGTTACTGTAAACAAAATAATTAATGGGATAATTTGTAAGTCATTATTGGTTCCTATATACCCAGACCATATTACACCTATCCCAGCTCCTTTTTTTGCTTTATCTACAAGGAAACAAAACCCATTATTGCACTTGAACACCTTTCTCTACAGCATATATTCAGATCAAAGTTCTCTCAAGTAAAAAAGCCTTTCTGGTATCTCTGTCAAAAAACAAGACAGCAGGGGGAAAAGAAGCATGGAAGCAAGCCCTCTTCAGCAGGTGACTCAAAGCCCCAGCAGCATTTGCTTTTCTTTAAGCTTGACTCTCAAGTCTTCTTCGCATGGCACCTTGGTACCACCATCTCCCATCCGCGCTGCAGACCACCACGCCGTGAGCTCGTCCTGATGGCGATTCCGATGAACACACATGATAAGTTGAAGGACAATATTTACCGTGCCATGGAAGTAAATTGGCCGAAATGAGTTGAGATAGGGAGTTGGTTGCTTTTACCTCACGGAAATCCTGGTTGGAAACGTATGGAGCCTCCACTACACATCTGATCCCACCAATATCTACAGGTAGAGAAGTAGTCCTGGACTTTGGTTGTGAACTCTCCCCTTCGGCTACTGGAAGTTTGAAACAATGTTATTTGGTTGGTTCATTCTGACATAAACACAGCAGTGTGGTTTTAGTTAGTCATACCTGCTATACGAGCTACGTGGTACCCGGTTCCCCCAAATCCTGCTTGCCATTTTCCTAGTCTTAGACGAAGGAAAAAGCCATCGAGCCGCTTGAGTGGCACCCCAGAATTCATCCATCTGATGTAGCCCAGGAAACACAGTCATCATTTTTATAATCAAGGACATTAAAAGGATGAACTAAATTGCAGGTTGAGCAGTAGCCTTGCTGACTAACCTGAGAATGTCTGTCCGAGACAAGCGAAGGCTTTTCACAGCATCAGATATTCCTTTTGGGACACCAAAAATGCCTCCACTGGAAGACTTGAGAAAAGGGTTCACCTGCCTTTCCTTTGATCTGGTTCCTCCCGGGCTTGAAACGCCTTTGTCTATGCAGTTTAACTCGACCAATCGAGGTTTTTTACTGCTAGTGGTAGCTTCATGAGAAACTTTGTCTACTAGATAATTTGTAGCACAAGCTGTATTCTCACTGGCAACTGGATATCGGCTAGTTGAGGATGGTTCTACTAGCTTTTCTTTGTGGTTGTTTCTCCAGTTAAGCTGCAGTTTGACTGCACCACCAAGTTCATTGAGCCGAGGAGTTACACTGGATGGTGCATTAGGGCATGCAACAGCCCAATGGTTCAGCTGAAAGCATCTGATGCAGAAACATGGTGGCTCTTCTCTTCCTTCGTACGAAGTAATGTTCCTGAAAAGTTCTTCAAGCTCGCCATCTGTCATCTCCAAACAATCTCTCAGATGGTGATCTCTCGCTCCACAGAAGAAACATATTATGGCTGAGTGAGCTTTATCATCCGATGGCATGATCTGTTTTAGGGCGTCCAATCTCCTAGCAAACACGGAGGCCATTGCTTTGGAATTTGTGAACCTCTGGGAAGGAAGGACCGGGTTCTGCTTAATTGAGGACGACTCACCAAGGTGGTGGCTCTTCACTTTGTAGAAACTAAATGAAGCATCAGCACTACTAGAACAAGCCTTTACATGACGCAGACCTTCATCCGACTGCTCATCGCCTTCGATTATTGCACGGGCTGTGGATGAAGTAAGAAGGTTCTGTAAGTGAGACTTGGCTGGCATTCCCTTATGAATTGGAGAACCAGAAGGTTTTGGTATAAACCGCATTATCCATGCACTTGCAAAGGGGTCAACTTTGTCACAGATATTATCAGCAGCGTTTATCCTTGCTCTACCATGAGAGGAATTGGAGCTTCTTCCATTCTGCTCCTTAAAACTTCCTGAACCACCTGAATCTTTTGCTTGAGTTAAGTTATTATTCTCGACCCCATTGCTTGGTGTAGAGTCTTTGAATTTTTCCAAAGATGGGAGAAATGGTTGGAAGACATTACCAGTCACAGGACGACATGCAATTGGAGTGGCACTAACGTCACACATTTGGCTATCTGGTTTGGTGAATTTTTCAGCTTCCACTTGATGATCCAGATCCACGGAAACATTATCTTGAGCCTTGTGCTTTGGACAGTACAAGGACTGGAAAATGGACTGGAATCCAGCATCTCTGCTGCTGGAATCTCGGCTCCTATTGTTGCATTGGAGAAGATTAGGACCACCGGAATTACCATTCCCAATATTATCAGAGTTCCCAACAGTGAGAGTAAGTGAAGGTGCCGTCTCCCCCTGCTGTGTTGTTTTCAAGAACCCATTATTCACCATGTTTGAAATCCAATTCATGAACGAGCTATCTTGTCTAAGCAATGACGACGATGAACCAGCGGTGTCTTGGACTGGCCTTTTCCCTCTTTTACTTCCAAGCATCAACGGTAGGTCAAAGTTTGCCCTCCTCTTCCCTTTGGAAAAGTGGCGAGCACTAGTGCAGCTTTCAATACTTTCATCACTTTCACTTCCATCATCTAACTGCTTCCCACTCACATCTCCATCGGACAAAGCTTTGGCCTTGCCTTTCCTTCGGTAGCTTTTGTTTCTGCTATTCGTGGGCGACTGTTTGACTGCTTGTTTCACCTCTCTAGGAGAAGACTCATCCTCGTCATCCTGGATTGAGCAATGCTCCAGTCCCGCCACATGTTTACTTTGGCCTAGTAGAGGACTTCCTATATCATTCTCATCCGATGATTCCTCCCTTTCGTGGCCATGAGCTTCAGCCTCGACTTCATCTTTTCTCTCGTTCTCCACAAAGTGAGCTGATGCTTCAGGTATTTCCTCCAAGGAGGCTTCAGCTTGCATTCCAGGGCTGCAATCTTTGCAGGTATCCTCACCAGAAGCTAAAACAACTGGTGGTGCCACTAACTTGCTTCCATCAGCGATATTTTCTACTCTCTTACCAGGTTCCTGAGAAGTTTGACCGTGTTGTGCCACATCAGATTCGTGCTCGGCTATTTGGAAAAAATTGGAGAGATGTCAATGCAAAGATATAATTTAGATTCAGCCATCTTTAAAAGTAGCCAAAGTAGCTTAGTCTTAAAGACATAACGCAACTTTTGGAAAATGATATCTGTGGCATAAACTTTGCTAAATGACTTTTGTCGTGATCCATATGTGGCATGAACTTTGCCAAAATTGCCATTCATGTATTGTAAGGTATCCTCGCCAAGGGCTAAACTTTTCGAAATGTCAAACAAGCACAAACCTAATGGCCACAAATGTCAAGTTGGCAAAGTTCAGGTCTTCCATTGATATAGACCCTAAAATGTCCATGTACTAGTTTGAAAAGAAAGGAATTTAAATGAGCAACTCACTTCTCCAAAGGATAGTTGAGTTACCTTTTTTGAGGTCGTGAAATGATCCACTCAATGGCATGATCTCCATGCCATTTGGAAGCTGATGCATGTCACCAGCTTCACTCTTTACATTAGCATCCCTTTCCATAGAATTCTCTTCTTCTTCCTTCAAATTCTTGTCAATGCTTGAACCCATTACAATATCTCTAGATCTCGAAACCAACAAATGAGAGGGCTGTCTTCTGCCAAAGAAGCTGCGATCAGCACATTTGATGCTCAATCCTTTCCTTGGGGACCAAACTAGCTCAGACAAGGGGTCAGTGGCTGCTGCAAATGTCATTTCTACATTTGGGCCTGCATTTGTACCTGCACCTGAACCTTCGCCGTTATTCAATCTCCTTTGACCAGAACGATTCGAGTAACTCAGAACAAGTCCCAAGTCGTTCAATGCTATGCTGCTGCTCTCATCAGCGTTCATCTCTCGCAGTACGGAATCCTGAAAACACAAAGAAGATGTTTACTAGAAAAACGTTGGATTTCCCTCTCATTTGACAAACATGAATCTAGCATAATCAACCTCTCCATACACTCCTATCAAGGCATATCATTAAACCAGGACATCTTTTAACAAACAAATGCTCAACCTCATGGTATTGTGAAAGAAACAGGCTTTATGACCATTGATGTATCATGACCATCCACAGCTTCACCAACTTCATCCACACCAATACAAAGCTCTACACATTTTGGGGCCTTGGAAACCTGACCAAATTTCAAGGCTTCTTGCAAAGGTTTACCAGACCCTTGATGACGTCGGTGAATTTAGAAAGATGAAAAGACTTGGGCATGGATCACTCAACTGCTAGGGACTCTCTACCTTAGCATCAACAGTCAAAAGCTGCTGCCTAGCAAAATCGTGATCAGGACAAAGATATCAAGCAGCCAGATTTTTTTTTTTTTTTTAAAGGGACTATTTTATTCAAACAGTTGTCTGGATATACATATAATAGACCAGGCCAAACACTAATTTAACTGCTAGAAGCTAGAGCGCAACTAAAAATTAATTCGAGAGCTAATCATTCACAAGCTTAAAGCAAATCAGAAGGCCATCCTGATCAAATCATTTGAAAGCACCAAATGCATCCACGAAAGGGAATTGAGCATCACAGTTACACCAGGATGAAACTAACAAGACTACAAAGAAAGCAATCAACTTTATGAGAATTGAGAGATTACCCAGCAGAGGAGAGTCTGAATTACGGAGACCCACTTACCTATAATCCCTCGAACCCCCTGAAAGTTGCGTTCTTTCTCTCATTCACGACCACAAAAAAAAAGCCTCCGATGAGAGGAAGGGAGAAAGCCGCTAAAGACTAAGAAAGCTCACAACAAACGAAACAAAAGCTTTCAATTTTGCCACATGGAATCCGGAAGAGGAGCGGAAAAGAGGGGAAGGGAGAGGAAACTGCAATGGAGTATTTATGAAGGTGAAGAAAGGAAAGGAAAGAGTTTCCGTTTTGGGAAGGGGAGAGGAGAGGGCCGCTGGCAAGCATGCGGTGCTGCTGCGGCAACAAGCGAATGGAATGAAGGAAGGAAATTCTGAAGCTTGCAAAAAGATAAAAAGAAAGAAAGAAAAGCAACAGAGTAGTAAAGATGGAGATTCTAAGGGAAGCAGTATGAGGTGAAGAAGATGCCACGTCGGCTAGTCAGATTGCAACAGTGATCGAGGAGTGATTACTGCTGGCGGCCCCGGCTGCTACTTTCGTCTGTCCAAAACCCACATTAAAAAAATCTTGAAGTTGCTCTGTCCGTTTGGGTGCTCTGAGAAAAATACATCTCTTTTGGACGTTGGTTAAGTTTGGCGACAGACAGTGCCACGTTATTGGGATTTCAATCCCAATTTAATTAATCAGAAGTATGTGACCATCATGTGTGGAGAGGATATGGAGTTAGGAGTTCCAAGAGATTGGATTAACTGTTGTTGATGGAGAAGAGAAACCCTTTGCTATTGAACCTAACAATTATAAAATAATGACAATCTTTTTGTCGGATAAGAAGCAGAAGACACTTTTTTTTTATTCATTTGACCTAAAAACAGTCGCAAAACCTGCACTTAAAGCTCATTACTTTATTCGACTGGTGATCCCATTCTCATTAGGGCGGCAAATGAGCGAGCTGAGCCGAGTTTTACCCCAGTTTGAGTTTGACTTGTTAACAAATGAGCTAAGCTCGAGCTCGAGCCATTTATTAACGAGCCGAGTCAAGTTCAAGATAGGCTTGTTTACTAAAATTTTAGCTCGTATTTGATACATTCATTTTGTATGTCGTGTATGGTACATGTGATTGATGTAATGATAAAAATCAAAATAATAATCAAATTTTCAACATTAATTAATCTTATATTATAATTTGTAGGTGTTATATTATTTAGTTCATAAATATTAACTAGTCCAAATCATGCTATTTCATAGTATCGAAACAATTTTATACATAATTTCTTTATAGAATTAAAAATAAGACGTATTTTCTTACATGTTCAACATGTTAACCTTAACATGAGGCGAGATATATAATTTAACAATCCTATGAATTATGAAAGTCTTAATTAGATGATCCATTCATAAGTTAGTGATCAAGTTGGCCCTCAAACCACAATGTTGAGACATCTCACGAGCTCTAAATGAGCCAACTCACGAGTTGAGCTCAACAAGCCACCGAGTCGAGCTAGCTTCACGAGCTGAACAAAGCTAAGCTCAAGCTTGGCTTGTTAGTAAACGAGTCGATTTTTGAACGAGTTTTTCCCGATCCGAGCCTCGAGTTGCTCGCGAGTAGCTCGGCTCATTTGCAGCCCTAATTCCCATACTACTAGTAATAGGCTATTATATTGAGAGAGTGCACATAGTTACATTTCATTGTTAGAGAAGAGCGACTAATTGATTACTTTATTGTTAGAGGAAAGAGCGACTATTTCATTAACGATTTCAAATTCAATTTGAGATCGAGATTGATACCATCACTAAATCTAATAGAATTGGGGTTCAAATATGAAGGCAGTTCTATAGCATGCATCAATTATGTCATTGTGCTTCATATCGTCCAACATTTGTGAACAAAAAAAAAAAAAGTTAGCTTATTGCTATGTAAAGAGCTAGCTACAAGTAACGACTTCAAGTTTGGAGTGTTCTGTCGGGTGAGCTTGAGTATCGTGACGATGTTGTAGCTATTGATTATGAAACCATATTGAAAATCGAATGATCAGGGCAAAATCGTTCAAAGTATAGTAGAATTGTAATATTAAAAAATCGATATAGTTACTGATACCAAGAGTGATCGCATCAAATACAACGAACTGAAGAAATTCATCCATTGTAGTGACTGTTACATCATCTGTGGACAATAATTTGGAGTAAACGAGCTGAAGAAGATTCAGGAATGTAATAACGTGTGTGTCAGCGCAGAGGGACACTAATACATCCAATCAGGTTGAGATTGTTACATATCTAGTTGGAGGTTAGAACTTATTAGAAAAGACTAAAGAGTCGACTGCAGAATGGGGAAGAGATGTAAAAGTGGACTGCTGGGAACAATAATAAGAACTTGACAGCAGAATGGATGGACGAATGAATGAATGGAGTGGACCAGGTCCAGCAGTGTGTCCAAATGAGAGATGGATGGGGTCGCAAAAGGCTACATCTAGTTAGTTGTATTTGGTAGCTTGCATTTATAGTGACCACCCAAGTTCCCAATCCAGAGAATAGCCACCATCTTGGACCACAGAACCAATCATACGCCCCATCTTTCAAAAGTGGGGAAAAAAGTTACGTAAATAGATGGGTTAATTGCATGGTTGATTAATGAGATTACAAAAAACGTTCAAATTTGGTTACTCGAAATATTTAAATTCATTAATGGTACTTCAGTTTACTGAAACCGTTCATGTTTGGTCACTCTCCGTTCAATTCCGTTAACTTTCGCTGATATGGCAGTCAACTCTCAAGTTGACCGTTACCTTAGTGACGTAACAATTAAAAAATAATAAATAAAATAAAATTTTATCTATTTTAATGTTCAACTCATTTTTACCATAAAATAAATAAATAAATTATTTTTTATTTTATTTCATTTTTTCCACCATTGTCACTTCCGCCTTCCCTGATGACAATGCCACTCTGCCGCCTTCCACCGACGACGAGGATGGCGACGCTGCCGGCGACGATGAGCCTTTCTTCGACTTGGAGTTTGCGGTTGGGGAAGTGGGAGACGACGACAACAAGGAAGAGGGGCAGAGGAAGGGGGATTCCTCCGCCGATTCTGATTTCGACGGCGGTGGTGGCAACGGAGAAGAGGGAGAGTTCGATTTTACGCTGCCGTCCGCTTCCAGCTGCAACGACCGTGCGGACCCCACCAACCAGCTGTCACTTTCCCCTTCCAACAAGATGTTCTTCAAGGGAACGTTGGTGCCGATGATGGAATCTTCCTACGCCATGAACCCTAAATCTCAGAGGATCCCCGTCTCCCTGCTCAAATCCGCCACCAAATTTAGGGTTTTCTTGTTGGGATTCAAGAAATCCAACAAGGCAAAAAGTCCCGGTGAACAGAAAACTGTTTGATTCCGTTGGAGATGGGGATACGACACGGCGTCGGAGGATGTCAATTTGTTGTTTGACAATGTCAATTTGAGCAACTTGCTTTAATGGACCAGCTTGCTTCTTTAATTTGGACCAGCTTGCTTCAGCTGCAAGCTTGTAATTTCCTTCAACAGGATACAACAGCGGCGTCGGAGAAGAAAGAGGAAGAAGGAAAGGGAAATGAAAATGGGAAACAGGGGAAGCTTTTCACAGTGAAGTTCAAAGTTGAGGAGGTTTCGATTGTGTCTCTTAGTTATTTATTTTATTTATTTATTTTATGGTAGAATGAGTTGGACATTAAAATAAATTTTATTTTATTTATTATTTTTTAATTGCCACGTCACTAAGTTAACGGTTAATTTTGAGAGTTGACTGCCACATCAGCCAAAGTTAACGGAGTTGGACGGAGAGTGACCAAATGTGAACGGTTTCAGTAAACTGAAGTACCACTAATGTATTTAAATATTTTGAGTGACCAAACTTGAACATTTTTTTTATAATCTTAGTGACCAACCATATAATTAACCCTAAATAGAAGTGTGCAGTTGTTCACATTTGTAAACAAAAGAGCAAGGTTGTACCCGAAATGGTTCGTTGATCTGGTTAAGCAATTGGATCGCCGTTAATTAGTTGAATTGGGGTTGATCTGATTGACACATTTTATACAAATTCTAACAGGAATACATATACTTTGTAGTGGTTTGACATTCTAATGATTGAAATGTAATTTATGTTAAGAGTATAGTATAGTAATTTACAAATTAAATAAACCCAAATCATATCCCACCCCACCCTCGACTTCTCACTTCTAGTTAACCACACAAATTGGGGGGAGGGGGGGTTGCTTGAGTATGTGTGGTGACTCATAAATATACGTTTTTCTCTGAATTTCGTGACATGTTTTGCCTCATTTTTTTTATATCTTTAGTCATTTTAACTTGAGTTTGCTTGATATTTGCTCAAAGGTGGGCTAGATAGCCACTAAGAGTGTTTTTACACACTTGATACATTTTTGGATAGTTTATGGATATTTTCAGGCCAAGGTATCATGGAGGCTCATTATCATAAGAAAGAGTAGGTGATTACGAGCTTCTGGGATCAATCGATGACCGATTCAAAGGTCGAACGAGTCGAAAAGACACGTACAAGCCCAGTAGTGCAAAATAGTGGCCCATGCGCCAATTTCGAGCCCAAAATTCACGTAAAGGCTGTCAATTTAGAAGACGAGCCCGAAGCTTGGTTTCTAAAGTCCACAAGCTCCAAATCTAAGTTCAAGGTGTTGGGCTGTATGCTCCAGAACACGAATCAAACCTAGAAACCCTAAGGGAAACCTATTATAGGGAGTTGTATATGCCTCCCATTGAGCTTCAAATTAGACACAAATCACACAATTCAACATGGATTGCTCTGCCTCCAGGTTAGCTCGAGAGCTTGAGAATCAGCCAGAAAACACAAAGAAGAAGATCGAGCTTGACCGCTATTCTAGGGTTTTGGCGGACAATTTCGACAACGAAATCCTGATCTCTCACTTCTCTCCCCTACAAGCCCCCTGTTAGAACGAGTAGCTAAACCCTTTGTATTGGTTTTTGAACCCTAAAGGGTACTTATACGATGTATTGTTTAACTAGTGTTATGTGAGTTTATTAGATAATTTATCCACGCTTTTCGGCGGATAGCAATGCACATCTTCTTAAGTTGTTTTGGACTAAATTGAATTCTTTATTACAATTTGATTTCGATTGAAAAAATTAGTACTTTTATGCTAAATATACATATATGAGAGATGGAGAATCGATGGATGGGGTCACAAAGCTACATCTAGTTAGTTGTACATAGTAGCTTGCATTTATAGCGACCACCCAAGTTCCCAATCAAAGAATAGCCACCATCTTGGACCACTGAACCAATCATAGGACCGACCCTCTTTCAAAAGTAGGAAAAAGTTACGTAAATAGAAGGTTCAGTTGTTCACATTTGTAAACATTGGAGCAAGGTTGTACTTGGATTGGCCCGTTGATATGATCAAGCTACTGGATCGCGATTAATTGGTTGAATCGGAGTCAATCCAGTTGACACATTTTATACAAATTCTAACAGGAATATATGTATTTTGTAGTGGTTTGACATTTATATGACTGAAATATAATTGGTATTAAGTGTATCATATAATAATTTGTACATCAAATTGATATGCAAACCCTAATTTTATCCCACCCCACGACTTCTCTATCGAAGAAGATCTCACTTCTAGTTAACCACACAAATTGGCGGAGTCTTGCATGTGATGACACGTAATTTTTTTTTTATCCCTTCACTTTGTAGCATGTTTAGCATAAATTATTCATATTTTTAGCCGTTTTGATTTGGATCTGCTTGATATTTGCTCAAAGCTGCGTCTGATAGTCACTAGAAGTGTTTTTACACATTTGATGCTTTTTGGATAGTTTATGAATATTTTTAAGACAAGGTATCATGGAAGCTCATCATCACAGGAAAGATAATGAGATTACGAGCATATGGAATCAAATAGTGATTTATTCTTAAGTCGGAGGAGGGAGAAAAAACCCGAGCAAGTCTAAGTAGTGAAAAACGGTGGCCCAAGAACCAATTTAGAGACCAAAATCCACGTGGTGGTCGGTAATTCTAAAGATGAGCCCAAAGCTCGGCTTCTGAAGCCCTCAAGTTCCAAATATAAGTTCGAGGTGTCGGGTTTCGTCAGTATGCTCCAGAACACGAATTAAACCTAGAAATCCCAAGGAAAACCTACTTTGGGGAGCTATATATACATCCCATCGAGCTCCAAGTTGCACACAATTCGACAGGGAGGGTTCTCTTCCCCTAAGGTAACTCCAAAGCTCGAGGATAGAGGAGCAGATCAGTACCTAAAAGGGGGCTCGATTGCTATTCTAGGGGTTGGTAACCGATTTTTTTTTTTTTTTACAAAGGGATTATTTGCATTGTAGTTTGAAAGATCGATTACAAGAGAACCAACAAAGCAACCCAAAATCAGAACAAATGACAGACAAACTCAAGTACATGGAACATCAATCTGTGCTTCAGAGATACAACAAGAAGAGCACAAAACACAGAAAGAGTACCCCAACAATGGATCTGAAACACTTGAACCAAAAGCAGTAAACATCGAAAGCTCTCTTGCAATCAAATCAAACAAAGTAGCACCAAGTGCAATCAGCTCGTCCGATCAGACCGAGTCCATGACGATTGAACACAATGTCATATGCCACCTCCTGGGAGTCGCTCGAAGACACTCAACACAGTGAATCTCGAGTGAGGGATTACATGGCGGTGAACAAGATTGAGGATCGAAATGCTCCGAGCTGAAGAGGCAGGGGGAAAACGAGGCACCAAGACTTGGTCAAGGGAAGAAGAAGAACCCAAATCCCCATATCAAAGATCCGAAACCACGAGCAGCAAGGCTAGACACCGCAATCCATCCTCCAAAGCCCACCAAGATGCAGAACAAACCACCTGGGAAGAAACGAAGGGGAAAACCAGTGAATCGATTCACCACACAAGCTGATAAATCCACTATCAAATAGGAAAACCCAAGATGCATAACCAAGCCCCCAAGGAGAGCAAATCCCAGAAAAAAAAATCCAAAAACAGGGCAGCGAAATGCCAAAATGGCTGGAAAAACTGAATACCTGGAAGTCTGGAACAAGAGAGTGAAAAAAAAAAGAAAACAGAGACAAGGAAGCTGAAAATGGAAGCAGGCAGAAGGGAAAGGGGTGGGCTACCGCCGGTCACCAAGAGATGCCGGGGGAAGCCCTTGAGATCTACACCGTCAAGAAAAAGTTAGAGAGAGATGAGAGGAGAATTCGAAATAAAGTAAGAGAGGGGATTTTTTTGGTAACCGATTTCAACGATGGATTTCTAATCTCTCCCTTTTCATCCCCTGTAAGCCCATGTTAGTATGAGTATCTAAACCCTTCGTTTTTGTAGGTTTTTGAACCCTTTAGGTCCTTACTCCTTAGCCGATGTATTGCTTGACTATTGTCATATGAGTTTATGCTTGTTTGATTGCGTTGGATGATTTCTTGTCAATATGATTGCATGCCCTACCAAAGCTATCATATCACTTGTTGATAGCTTGTGATAGATTTTGTGATGCAATGAGATCGGAACCAGTCGATTGAACTATCACGGCTCATGAGAGAAATCTTTAGGTTCCATTGTAGCATGTTAGATCTAATAAACTTCAGACATATTATATGATGAAATCTCATCGCAAAAATCAGGCAGTTCGTATGACATAGATAACATCTGATTCTTGATTGAATCCACATTATTATGTTTATTGCATTTGATTGTCTATAGCTGGGTGGACGTGATAAGAATGAAGCCTCCATATACTTCCACACCATGTACAATACACATCAATGTCGACATCCCATGTAACGTGAAATAAGCATAGATGATAAGGTTCATGGCTCACTTGCCTCCTTATCACGACCCCCACACGATGGATGGTGGTCGAGCAAGACATAAGAGCGTAGTGAGTGGATACTTCCACCGTGGATTCTCTCATCCACATATGTATCGAACAAAGCGAATGAGGGAATAGAAGAAATACTGATAGTTGGGCTAAGACTATAGGTCCACAAAACTCAAGTCACAATGCTAATACTATAGGAAATATGCCCATATAATGCCCAAGACAACCAATTAACGAAACAAATTAAAATTTGCTTATACCGGTTGCTCTCATCCATTGACCTTGCCAACGAATCTCGCTGGAGCACATGCTCCCAGTCGCCCTCTTACCGGCGCTATTCCGGACCTAGATAGGATGCCAATGGAAAACCAGTAAAATAAGCGATAGCGGCCAAGATCAGCAGCAAGCAAACCATGGATCTGCGTCAAATCAGCCCAATCGCCCCATTTGCTATCCAAATCCAAGGCCCGGTTTTACGGCCCATGAATCTTAATGAGGAAACACAGGCGACGGCGACGATATGGACTGTACCGCCGAGCAACCCAGCCGGTCGCCATTGTCAACTGCTGCTGCCAATTGAGCCCTACAGTATAACAACATTTTGAAGGATAGATAGTAGCAACAATAGTACAATACATTGACCATGCGATGGCACTGCGACAATATGATCATAAGAAGAAAAGCTTCTTCGGTCGCAGATAGACATATATGGGTGGGGTGGATTGTGAATACATACAGTTTTTCTCCAGAAAATCATGCAAAAAACCAGTTCACTCAGTCAAAGTCACCTCCGGGCAAATCTTTGCCCTGCACCCAGCAGCAAGGCCTTCCCAATTGCGCCTGAGCGCACCCCACATACCACAGCCACCGCCCCGCCCAACACTACCCATTTCCAATCAATCCCATGATGATCCTTCTTTTGCCTGCCTTGCCCCTCCACCACTCTGCTTTTGCTTCCTTCATTGTCAATACTTCCTTCCTCCGATGAGGACAACTCCTCCGTGTTGTTATTATCGAGAGTGATTTTGGTGGTGACCTTGGCCATGGCCGCGCATCTGGACAACGATGAACCATCTGCTGCTGCTTTCCTGGCATTCTGGTATGCACGCATCCCGGAATGCAACTTCTTCACCGCACCCCACATTCCATGACGCAGTCCTAGCTTTGCTACGTCTTTAGGGATCCCCATGTCCTCGTAATGCACGAGGACGACTTCACATGCTGACATCTGCCCATCCCCTTTCCGAGATTCAACTGGCAGTGATTTTTGTCAGAGAGGAAAAGAGTGAGGTTTTTTAAAGATTAGACCACTCAACTGATGAAGATAGTAAGAACTGGATTTATCCCACCAATACTTACCAGCCCTAATCGCCCAACTCGAGAAATACAGGTCGACACGTCTTGGCTTGTCCCGCTTCTGCAAGCCCGGGTATGGCACCCCCTGCAAAGATGTTCCATTTAATGTCATGTAATGAACACCAGCAATAAGATACCCGAAACCCGGAAGAGAGTAGATCATATGCTAGAAAATGAATCTTAGGAACGAAACCAGTACCTTAGTGACACAATAGTAAGTCTTCCCAGCCTCCCATATTCTTCGACCAATGATGTATTCTCTATCACTACAGAAAAATGGAAACTGCAGAACAAGAAATCAAAAACTTCCAAATTATTTACCAACGTAGAATAGAAAATGCCTAGATTTCCACAAAAAAGCAGAAGGCACCAAAAAAACAGTGACAGATATTACTATATGAACGAACCTTTTTTATCCAATGAGAAATGCTTATTCCAGTAGAAGGGCATTCCTCCAATATCTTAATGTATCCAAGCATTGGGTCCCATTTAGGACGGAATTCATCATCCCAGAAGAAATCTCTGACCAACTCTGGAGTCACATCCTCAAAGACAGTCCGACTTCGTAGAACAGGAGGACCTGTCTGAAAACACAAACCCAAATGTCTCACTTAGAAAGAAGTAAATAACATGATGCAGAGTAAAAGTGCTGCTTTGAAAATAATACTTATTGCTGCAGAACAAAATATACAGATGGTGCATAAAGAAGATGCAAAAAACTTAACCATAGTCTGAGTAGCACTAGACATGCCTGCAACTCATGCATAGCCAGGAAAGTGCTTATGGTAATTGTTTTTCGGCAAGCAGTAGAAACTTGAAAGCCAGAAATTCCAACTCTACCTGAGGCTCGTAGCGCCAAGCTTGGTATGACATGTTTGGTGTAGTTCTTTCCATAAAACATTGCCAGTCCATTTGACTGTCCTTGCCTTCAAGCAGATACAATAGGTGTTCCAAGTCACTCTCTGTTACAAGGTACTCCCTCTCCTCAGCTTCACTTGTGGAGCTGTATGAAAATACATTGTTCATCAACCAATCTGAAATGGTTATGGGAATTCTTCAAACACCATGACCAGAGTGGGAGTAAATTACTATGACCAAGCTAGCAGAGAAATCTGGAGAACAAGCTAAACAAGAGAGCTCACAACACAATGGAAGCGAGCATAAAACATTTCATATGATGAATTGTAATACAAATGACTCCAAGAAACTACAAGAAAAACAGCAATCGGTTTACAAACCACCCATTTCAGGAGACCAAGGATACTACTAAACTTGCTTCTGTATATATTGAATGCAGGATGTCCTCTCCATGCACAAAGAAATATGATGCAACATAAACCCAGAGGCCAGCTCAATTCCAGCCAAAAATTGATTCTTTCCACAAAAACTTAGCATCCGTAAGTATGGCACCTAGTAAACCATCATGCTCGACAAATAAAATACATGCCGCTAGCACCAACTCGAACCTAAGACTAGGTCGGCTGAAACAATATGTGTTTAGCATCATCCATGGTAATAACTCTAATGAATCAAATTAGTCGTGCGTCCACAGAAGGTGAGGCTCGGTTAGCAACACAATGGAAGTTGAATGGAATACAACAATCAATCGCGGTAAGCATACCACATTCACCGTCATCCCTATTTTTTAGATATCAGAGACAAAGCAATTCAAGCAAGCAGTTAAATTTTTCCAGGAACTTATTTTTATCTTAACCATAGTACTTCCACTCCCCCGATACTACATCAAATCATTCCATTTCTCAAGCTGCCCAACATCCCTAATTGACCATAGCATTAAACTCAAACTAGATTACCGCACTAGAAAGTGATCACCCAAAGAAATCATTTTGACAATGGTGATGCGAGGACAGTCTTACCTAGCAGAATCAGAAAATGGCTCCGTGCTTCTATCCACCGCAGCTGCCGACGCAGACGAAGAAGCAGCCGCCGCAGCTGACTTCTCCCTTTTGCCCTTGAAGTTGGACCAGATGGTGCGGCAAACGGAGAACGCCGACAGAGCCGTGAATGCCAACCAGAGTCGCCGGGCTCCGAACCCGGGAGGCGCCGTCCACAGAAACCTGACCTTGCTCCGTAACCCTAGGAAAACTAATCCGGTCCACCTTGGCCGCCAAGACCAGCCGATCAGGAGCCCGATCATGACGGCCAGCCATATCGGCACGGCGCAGAGCAGAATATCGACGAATGTTTCGGTAATGGAGGGGTTCTTCAACAGCTCCATCAGATCGAAGAACGACCCGTCCATTTTTCCGCCAATTGATCCAATCCTCCCCACAGGAGTTCGATTTACGCGATCCCAGAGATTTAACGGCCACTTCTAGGAAACCCGAGCTTTACAGAAGCTCTACATGGATGGACGGATGAAGGGAATGAACAGGAATGGCGAGAAAAGCCGTGGCTCTGACAGATCGAGAGAGCAACAGAGGGATTCGGATTAGAGAGAGAGAGAGAAAGTTCCGTGTGGTTGAAGAGAAAGAGGATAACTGGATAAGAATTACGTTTGGAGCCGGCGGTTAATGTGACGTGGCGCGTGGTTTTGCCGGTCGTGTAGGGATTTTTTTGGGTCTTACGGTTTCTACTCTCGACCAAGATGGTTAAAATCCTATCGAATCTCCGATTGAATCCGATTCGATTTGAGTCGGGCTTCAAAATGATCTTCAGAAAATCTCCTGGTCGGACCTCTAAAGAGGGAGAAGAAGAGAGGGGGAAGAGAGGAACAAATGAAGGGAAATTGTGGGTGGATCATAGAGATTAGGTAGATTTATTTGGTTGAAAATAAGTTTTTAATAGATATATGTAAGATCAATTTTATTTCACTCATTAAACCTTTAATTACTACCTTATTTGTATATATATTTAGAAAACGTCTAAAACCGCTCAAAACCGTCGAACCCCAATCGAACCATAAAAACCTCAAATCGGCTCAATGACTTAAACCAGTTTGACAATCTTGCTGACTTTGGTGACCTCAGAAGGCGGCGCGTGCGTTGGATGGGTAAATACATACTACCGATGAGAGTAAAATTTTAGGTTCGTCGGTGAGTCACATGGTAGGAAGCAGTGTTGCGTACGCGCTGCAACGCATGTGGGGGTTGGGACTTGAGACTGAGAGCTGTATACAGTCGTCCGCTCAGGAAGTTTATGAGTTTGCGGATAAGGCCAAAACAACAACCACTAAACAGATTAAATTAGCTGGAGGGCATATTTATTATTAATTTTATCTTATTATTCTTCTTGCTGCTCAATAGTCAAAACCCCGGGTTTCATGGGATAAACCGATAAATGACGGGCTGTGTTTGGTAGCCCCGCCCGACACGTGTGGTTTTCGGCCCAATAGTTATGGGCCTGAAGTTATGGGCTTTGTTCTTAACTGGTTCGAATTTGATTTTGGTACTAGTGATATTACTAGTGAAGCAAATTTACTCGGCGCCCGAGCCCTGCATTCTGTGAGTCACAGAGAATTTTTAGATGCGCTTAAGCAAAATAACAACATTCGTATTTAGGGATGTCAACAAAACCCGAACTCATGGATATCCTACCCAACCCAACCCGGTCAACGCGGATAAAACCCGTGTTGACGGGTTTTGGGTCGAGTTTGGGTTTAAACCCGTTTACTATTCATCGGGTTGGATTGAGTTTGGGTTTAGATAAACCCGCCCCATGGGTACCCGCCCACACCCATATAAATAATTTTCCCGGTATATTAAATATTCTAAACAATTAATCTTCTTTATGTTTGTGGAGACATGTCAAATTTGTTCTTTCTAATTGTGTAGAATGAAGTTGATATTATAGAGTGGAGAGTGAAGAAACTTAATTGACAAGGAGGAAGAAGGTTTCAATTAATCATGTTGTTTATAGATAATTTATGATTTGCTTCAATTTTCTTGGGGATGAGATAGCATGCCTACCCCTAAAAGGGGGTGGAAAAATGACACCCCCTATTACTTATAGGTTTTTAAGGTAATTAATTTGTGTTGCATTTTATAATATGTATGAATTAAAAACACATATGAATTATTTTCCTTTTTGCAGTGCACTGGTAGTTGTATCAGTTTAATAGTAGATGTATCAGTGCAATCGTAGTTCCAAAAAAGGAACGTAATTAATATGAGTTCAGTATACAGATGCAATGGTAGTTGTATCAGTGCAATGGTAGTTAAAAAAAAGGAATGTAATTAAGATGAGTTTTTAATTTCCAAAGATTATTAAATGCAACACGAATTTAATACAAAAAATAACTGTAATTAATAGAGGTGTCATTTTTCCAACCCTTAGAAGGGTTAGCATGAAAACTGATCCCATTTTCTTGAGTTCTCTAGATTGGTGTTGAACAATTTGTATGGTTAATTTGTGATTTACTTGAATTTTCGAGAATGATGTTTTATATATGGACAATTTTTATTGAGAGATTGATATTTGCCTTTTATTTTGATAGGAACTTGTTATTATAATTTTTTTACGATAAAAACCCATGGGTACGCATGACCCCGCGGATACCCAGCGGGTTGGGTTTGAGTTTTTCAAACCTAGTGGGTTTTACCCCGGGGGTTTTTTTTTCACGGATAAACCCATTGGTTTGGGTTTGGCAAAACCTCTCCCAACTCGACCCATTGCCATCCCTATCCGTATCCAACTCCCCCAGCAAAGAGAAAGAAAAGGGCAAGAACCCGTAACCAGCCGCCATGCACAAGCCCCGATACTTAGCACACTTTTGCCGAGCAGCATCATCAACAACTCGACATGGCACAAAATCGGTCCTCCCAGTCTGAGTCAAAGGTGAAGACTCAGTCAGATCAATACACACATCTCGCCCCCTATCCCAGGAATAAAGTAGCAAATCTGCAGGATGAAGGGGTCCGCCATGCCCATCAACCAAACCGATATCAACCTCCTTTCCGACAGAAATCCCATACATGTAACAAATGTCCAGTAAGGTGTATCGAACGAGCTTCTGTCAATACTTAATGCTCACAATACCAGCACATGACACAACATGATCCCCAAAGACATCACCATCAAAGACACGAGAACAAGCAGAACAGGACCTAGATACAAAAAATAATTGAACACCCAGTCGATAACTAAGCACACTACGATATGTCCTTCCATTCATAGTCCGACCCAACCCAGCAATAGGAACAACACGCAACCAATCAGAAGAGTGCACACTCTGCTGGGACTTGCACAAAGCAACCTGACGCGTAGTCAACGAGAAAACAAAATCTAAAGTAGCAACAACCTTCGCGAAATATATGTCTGCCAATTTCTTCATAAGTTTATTTGATGTGGACATGTGGTTAATTTTTGTGAGGACTGTAAATTTCTTATTAGACTAGTGGCGGCATAAGAGGCGGAGCATGCATTGGGAGGCGCTTTTTTGGAGGAAGTTCGGCAGCTTTTTTTGTTTTTTGGTCATTTTGCTTCAACTTTTACTCCACATTGTTTTAATCCAGTCCATTTAGTGGTGAACCACGACCTCTCATGAGCAGTTCGACTAGTTGTCGACTGTCGTGTCTAGTTATGCAATGTGCTTTAAGCTATCTTTTGCCACTTCTACTCTATCAATAGAAGGGGAAAAACATCGGGAATTCCATTAATATTTCAATAAAAAGGAACACGTTCGAATCAATTAGGATTTTGTTTGAGATTGGATGCGATTACTAATTCATGATCTGATATGTACATGACGAAAATTGTATTATCGATTCTACGAGAAATTTTATGAAAACATTTTATTTGCTTCTCTTTGATGGAAGTTTAATTTTCCCTAAATGTACACATCCCAAGTTGGATGGAAAAGTAAAGGTTGTATTTCCACTTCTCACTATTGTTAAGGACATGTATAAGAAGGTTTTATTATCCCTAAATTTGAACTTGAATATATTGGTGATCGAAAAATATGGTTTTTCCTATTGTCCAACATCCAACCCGAACCCACCTCATTATAGTCTCTTATGTATAGTTTTCTATAAATTATCATTTTCTCCCCACCACATATTTGATATTCGTAGGATTGATATAACATTCATTGAATTCTTTTTCTTTTTATTATTTCTCTTAAACTTGTTGACCTTTAGACCTGTATAATATGAATAAATTGTAAATAAAATTAAAAAAGAACGGTTATCCGCATATCCATCATAATCGAAATCATGGATAAGGTGTAATTTTGATTTAGTTGCCCGAATCTTGTACGTATATTAGTATGGAAAACCCCAAACTAGTTAGGGCAGGATAAGGAATATACACTGTTAGTACTCGAACTGACTCATTGTCATCCTTGTCTATATTTCGACTATAGAAGTCGATGGTTAGTGTGTGTTGCTTTTAGGAAAATATGATTGTAACAAAATAAACAACTTTTTGCCATGTGAATAATCGGTGCAAGATCCAGATGACCCTCAGTCCACCCACCAATCATTCAAATAAGTGCGGTTATGAGATTTATCGACCCATAATTCACCCACATCAGTCATCCGTCCACAGGCATTCAGATAATTTAATGATGGATCGACATCAAACATCGGTTCAATCACCCAACATCCCCACCCTAACATGAAACTTCGTTTTTAGTCAATCCCCCCTTTAGTAAAAAAAAAAAAAAAAAAAAAGCAGTGCAAAGTAAACCATAATAGTCCACACAACTGGTAACAGGATGAACGGATGAATGGAATGAAAAATTGAACAAAAAGAAGAGTCGAGTATAAAGAAGGAAGGGGAAGATGAAATTTTGGATGAAAGAAAATAGCTTTATCGAGCATAGGATTTAACTTTTGATCCCCATACATACTCAAGATGTCTCTCTTCCCTTTTGACCCTCCCTGGTGAAATTTCTTTTTATCGAGAAGAGATGATGTAGTACGTCACAGCCTCATGATTGATTTGCGAGGACAACCAAAGAACACATCTTCCCATTTCCAAATAGTAATGCAACATGGAAAAATCTATGGTGCAGCTAAAGCACCATCCGAAAGCTTGATTTTGTTCGCATTGTTCATACAGACTACAGCACAGGATCCCGTGCAGCCAAAGGCAACCAATATTCCAAGGAGCTGTTTGTTTTGCCTTTGCCAGAACTATATTTTTGCTTTTTCTTTAGCTCCAATCAGTTCAGCATATATATATATATATAATCAATCTCAATGCTCAGTAGTAGTACGACTACCCTGAGAGTACAGGGATGCAGAGGAAAGGGAAAGGCAGAGAGAATTTTTACCAGGTTGATGGTACAGAACAGTATGTTAGGTTTTCACCCAGAAATGGGCTGGCCTGGCCCTATAGGTCATGAATGTTTGAAGGTGAAGTGAGTTTGGTAGCAGCTAACTTCTTAGTAGGATGAACAAGAAAAAATGCTCGGGTGAGCATATAAATTCATTGCACATGGCGGCATGTATAAGTTGTTGGCTCACTTACAGATACAGCAAGCAACCAAACCAAATTGAAAGCCACCACATGGGCGGTTTGCAGAGGAAAAATGTATGAGGAGGATAGCCCACAAACATTGACAGAGACCAGCAGCAGTAAATAAGGGCATGGAATGAATGGTTTATTAACAGCAGAGAGAAGAATTTTGTTAATTTTTGGAACAAACCCACATGGAAAAGAAGACTGAGAAAGGATTAATAGCAACAGCAGCAGCAGGAGAAGACCCACTAAAGTTGAATGAAATCTGACCCACATGGTGGGCAGAGTGTGGGAAGAAGAAGGTGTGTGAAAAATTTCTCTCAAAGTTACCACCTTTACTATATTTACCACATTTGTTGGTAATTACGCTCTTCTCAATACGTTTAAACTTATCAATAACGGTATATTTTTTCATGAATACAGGACAAATTTATAAGTTTAGAAGATTTTTTTTTGGTGTGGTGCTTACAAGAGGATAATGTAGAAATGACGAACTATCGATTGCTAGTAGTAACTATACTCCTTTCAGATTAAAAGGCAGAAATAATGCTCAACATGTAATTCGTAGTTTAACACTGTTGATGTTAAAAGGAAATGATGAAAGGTGAACACATAGTACATAAGTGATGAATCAGATATTCTTTGCAGCTCTGCTCAAGCAAAGGCCAATTTGGCTAAAATTCAATTCCCCCACAATAATGGAAAAAGATAGAACTACTCTGCCTTTTCCCCCCTCTCTCTCATGATTCTCGTTAGCTTTACAGTCAGATTTTCACACCAACAACTCAAACCAAACAGTCTCTCTCTCTTTTTCTCTATCGACCAATCTATTCTATTCTTCCCTCCGCCAATTTCAACGGATTTGGTAGCCAATGGCGGTGTTCTGGGAACCAAACTCCAAGACAAGCTTTGCCTGGTTTTCAACGCGTTTTGTTTCTGAGCAGCATAGCTGCATGGAAAAGAATCAAAAGATATCCTTGCTTCCCGGGTCAATGATTTGACTACAAACCATTGTCACCATCATCACCGTCAAGAATCAAGATGCTTCCTTGGTTGACCATCTAGAGCAAGATCCTTGAACACAAAGATGAGATAAGATCGAAGAGCAAAGAGAACAAAAACACAGCAAAATTAATACCCTTTCGATCATAATCCAAGCTAGGTACTTGCAACAGAAGGAATTAAACAAACCCAATACGGAATTCAGTGGGAAAAATCACAAACAATGTAAGTAATAAGGAAACAGTGGAGGATGGAAATTGGCGGTGGAGGGAAGTTGGGGGGAATGAAGCCTGGTCCGAGATCATTCAGTTTTCTCCCATTACTGACAAATTGAAGAAAACCCAAATCCGTACGATGAATGAGTGAATGAATGGTCTCGAACCAGACAGCAATCCCCTCAACTGTATCGAGAATGTACGGCTGGATCAGTTACTGCCAGAAACAGAGGAGGGAAAGAAAAACAGAGTATATAACAGCAGAGAGAAAACAGAGAGCGAGAGAAAAGAGAGAGAAGAGACTGTTGGATTTTGATTTCCCCATGCAATCCTTCTTTTTATATGGGTCCTTATATATCCGTGAAAAGAAGGGTGTCTATAGTGTGTCTAATGTGAGTGTGGGGTTCTCATCAATTCAATAGCGATCTGAAGTGTGATGAGGCCGGGGATGTGTCGGGTTGGATCAACTATTGTAGCCTTCACTCTGTTTGGTGGCAGATCTGGTTGGAGCGGAACAATCGCATCTTTAGGGACTCTAAGAGTTCCCCTGTGGTTGTCGTGAGGAAAGCGATCAGAGCGGCGTTGGGTTGGGTGACCGCCCTTGGCAAAGTCCCCAGGGAGCATGGCCTTTCGTGGATGGAACATAAAATGGGATTGTTGCAGGATAGTTTTCGTAACCGGGCGCAGGGATAGGTGCGCTGGGTTCTGTTTGGGGGTGCTTGGCAGTGGCACTGTGTTGGTTGGGGTTTATCTGGGTTTCAGCGTTTTCGGTTTTTGCCTTTCCTGCTGCGCTCTGGGCAGCATGCTTGCTGCTGGTTTTTGTTTTTGGTTTTGTTTTGGCTTTGTCTTGCTACCATCAGAAGTGGTCTGGTCCACTTAGATGGCTTTAGCTTTGGTCTATTGGTTTTTCCTTTTTTCCTTCTCCTTTTCCTTTTCTGTTTCTGGTCGTCTTCCTGAACTTGGGTTGGGTGCTCTTTAGTTCAGCTCTTTTGAACTAATGCCCCTGTTGTACTTGTTCCTTTTTCCTTCTTAATGCAAGTTTCGCCATTATCAAAAAAATAGCGATCTGTTTTTCTTGAGCCACAGTTGTAATGAACAGGGGAAAATTGGGCGAGCTCACATCCCCTGCTTTTGTGGGTGCTGGCTCCGAGAACCTTTCTGAGCAGAATTTGGGAGGTTTCGTGTAATCAGAATCAAGTATGATGTTTTGTGGTATATAGAAGAGAGATTGAAAATGGCAGAGTTTGGTAGGAGTGGAAGGCTGAGTGTATTTTGATACAAATTTTTGGGGTCAAAGCAAGCACTCTATTTTAGCAAAATTGTATTGAAGATCTCCAACTAACCTAACCCCATCGTGCCTACCTAATAGTCCATCTAGAAAGACATATCTCTATATCCCACCAAGGCTGAAATCATTCAGTTTGAATTATGACACGAGAGTATTAACACCGAGTTATGTAAAGTGCAAAATCTACTAAAAAAAAGTTTTACATAATACATTTGATAGATCTTTTGGTAAGAAATAACAATCTTTGGTGGACTCTATTGCCGGTACCTTCATTTCAATTGAATATAGTTGAGCTATGTGATAATGTATAAATTATGCATATTGTATGTCTCATTTCGTACGTTTTTTAGTGTTATAATGATAACTTTTTAGCTAAATTTTGTAGATTTTATGTTTAAATAGAGTACACAATAGCGGAGCTAGGGCATACCAAGGTGAGTTACGGGATCTTTCTACCAAACAATGGGAGAAAATAAGTACATGTGACCACAATAGTTAAGTGTTAGTGAGATTTCTCACCAAACACTCGTCAATATTGATCAGTATTTCTCTCCACTTTGGCAATGAAAAAAAAATCAAATTGCTGATTAATTTAGTTTTTATACTGAGAAATTATCTAAGCACTTGCTTATGGAGAAGTTGTATACTTAGAACACATGTCTAGAAATTGGAAGTTCTGAAAGCTAGGTTGATGTGTTAATAGCTGAGATTGAAGAGAGAAAGACCATCACATCCACATTCCAATAATTATATATTTCCTGTCTTTTTTTAATATATAATGGCTATATATTTTTTGTCTTCCCTTTTATTTACACCAATTCTAATAATGTAGAATTCGAAAGCTCTGGTTAGGTGTTGATACTCTAGGAGTTTAATGTTGTCAATGGGCTCAGCTCGGTACCCAGATTTGCCTATGAAACCTACAATCCCTGGTTTTGATTTCCTAGAGAAGAAGATATTGATTTCCTGAAGAAGGGAGAAGTTCGCCGGAAAGAAAAAATGAGATTTTCCGGGAAAATCTAGCGTAGCAAGTCACCCGTTGGTGTGCCGTTCAACGGGTTCAGGGAGGTGAGAGAGAGAGAAATTGAACATCCTTCGTGGCTTCGTCAGCGTCCGTTTAGTGGTTGTGAGCGGACTGAAGGGAAATCCTAGCCCAGTCTAAGAGAGGCTTCTTTATATTTCTTTTTTTTTTATAATGGTGAATAGCATTAAACCAAAGAAAAAGTGTTCAACAAATGGATCCGGCAGGAGCAGCGACAGAGGCTCACAAGGTTTGAACCTCCCCAGCCCTGCAGAACGGAACAGCAGTCTAGAAAAATCAAAGAACAAAATGAAAAAGAGGAACAACCACCCATCTAAGTGGACCGAGCCACTTCTTATGAGGGTCACAAACGCTGACTCAAACAACATGACTGACAACAACAAAGAAAAGAGGAAAAATGAGAACACAGCAGCATGGCAGCCTCAACACCAGCGCAAGGCAGCCTCAAATTCAGCGCGTCACGATCGCAGTTGGAAACCATCCAGTAGCATCATGCTTAAGAACCACGACAAACAATTTCTCCTGTGAACCTGCCAGACTCCCCGCATGGCTGCAAACTTATTGAATTAGCCTGTGTGCCCCAAGCCACTCTGCCACTGATCTTGTGATTTTCCGGGACACCAAAGTAGCAGAACAGGGGTTGTCCCTTAATATTCTTTGGTTCCTTTCCAACCAAATTTGCCAACACGTCGCGTGCAGAATGCAGTAGCAAATCCATCCGTTTAAGTTGTCTTGTTTGTCTTTCTTCCATATGCTAATACACGTTAAAAATTGCCTTCCAGCGGAGTGATGCATATATTCGAATTCTTGAGCTGCAACCAAATTCCTCTAGTGTACCTGCAATCAACGAAGATATGGTTTGTTGTTTCCTCGCAGCCCAGGCAAAGGCTGCATCTATTGGCAAGCTGCCATCCGCGTTTCTTGAGGTTGTCTAATGTAAGTATCTTGTTGTACGCAACAGTCCAGATGAAAGCCCATACTTTGGAAGGAATAAACTTCCTCCGGGCCGACTTGGCTGGAAAATCCGGAACGCCATGGAATTGATTGTTGATTAAGGCCCTGTACATATTGTGGACAGAAAAAGAGGACTCTGACTGGGACCAGACTAACCGGCTTACGCCACAAGACCCCTCGAAGGCGTTAGTGTCATTTAGAGTTTGAATTAGAAGAGTTTTATCCCTTTCAGCCCCCCTCTCAAACTGAAGTTAAGATCAATAGTCCATTTTAGGTTCGTACCTGGTTGAGTGGCATTGTCAGATACCCAGGCGTTTGGTCGAGATGCAGCAACGGCAACATGCGAAAACAATTCGCCGAGAGTCATATTCAGTATCCACCTGTCATTCCAGAAAGAGACCCATGCATCCCTTCCAGGATCAATATGCACAAAATTCCAAAAAGACTCGTATTCTTTTGTGATGTTGGCCCAGATAGAGTTGGCGAATCTTCCGGTGCACCTTTCACTTTGCCAGGACGACGCTGAAGCTGGATACTTCGCTTCGACAGGACCCCTCCACCAACTGCTGCTCTTTGTATCGTACTTCCAAAGCCAATTACCCAAAAGAGCCTTGTTAAAACATCTCGTATAAGTGATTCCGAGACCACCTTTCTCCTTGGCGGCTTTACAAATATTACAATTCACAAGAGGTATTTTTTGGTTATCCCCACAACCGCTCCAGATGAATCTTCTTTGAATTTTTTCAATGTGGTTCACCACCTCATTCAGAGCTCTTAGAAGTGAGAAGTAATAAGTGGGTTAACTAGATAGCACTGGCCGGTTGAGAACAAGCGTGCACTGAAAGATAAGTGGCGTCCTTTTCATCCCTCGAGACGTTTCTGAAATTTATCCACAATAGGCTCCCATGTGGAAATGGCATTGACTCTAGCTCCGAGTGGGAAGCCTAGGTATTTGAATGGTTCATTGTTCCAATTACATCCAATGATAGCAGCAAAGAAGTCGGGGTTAGTGACATCTCCCACTGTAAAGATAACCGATTTTTCGAGATGGATCCTCAACCCCGTTACTGCCTGGAAGCACACCAACGTAGCCATGATATTCATAACCTGCTCATAGGAGGCCTCGCAAAAGAGAAGGGTATCGTCGGCAAAAAGGATGTGAGTGACCTCTTCATTTCCCATGTGCCCATCCATGAAGAATCCCCTGATTTTACTAGCTTCCTGCAACTTGCTCATCATGAATGAAAGAATGTCCATAATTAAAGAAAACAGGCCTGGCGAGAGTGGGTCACCTTGAAAAAGCCCTTTTTGCGGTTTAAAATAACCATTGGCTTCACCATTGATGGGGGTGGAGATGATCGGGTTGCACATAGTGCCACGGATCCATTCCTGCCACTTCGAAGAAAACCCCAAACTGTTCAGAACCTTGAACAAGAAACTCCAGCTGACGTTGTCGAAGGATTTTTCAATGTCAAGTTTGATCATAATCCCTGGTTTCCTGTTCTTCTTCCTATTGTCCAGAAGCTCGAAAGCGATGAGACCCGCATCTGATATTTGTCTTCCTCTCACAGAGGCATGCTGGTTCAAAGAGACAAGGCTGGGGAGGACACTGCTGAGTCGGCTGCAGAGAACCTTGCTTATAAGCTTATTGGTACTCCCCATGAGGTTGATTGGTCTCAGGTCCTTCATATCTTCCATTGCATCCTTCTTAGGGAGAAGGCAAAGAAAAGAGTGGGTACCCGACCTCGGAAGAGACCTAGAGGTGTGAAATTCATTAAAAACCTTGATGACTTCCCCTCGGATCCAATTCCAACCTTTCTTGTAGAATTCCCAAGTGAACCCGTCGAGTCCTGGGGCTTTGCCCCCATCGCACTCTGCTAGGTTCACTCATATTCCTTTCTCGGTGAAATTCTTAACCTGCAGGTAATTGCCTTCGCTTCTCAGTCTCTCGCCAATGTAATTGCTTGGAAAAGGTCGATTAGTAATATCTTCGGAGAAGAGGTTAATATAATAGTCCACGATACCTTGTGCCAACTCTTTCTTCCCTTCGACAAGTACCCCGTTAATCTTAATGCAAGTGATCATATTCAACTTTTGTCTGTAATTGGCAACTCTTTGGAAGTAATTCGTGTTGCTATCCCCCTTTTTTAGCCAAAGCTCTCTAGATTTCTGTCGCCAAGATATCTCCAGGAGCTGTAATAGTCTGGTAAGCTCCGAACTGAATTTCTGCCTATCCGAGATCTCATCATCATTCAATGTGCGTGACTCTTCAATGTGGTCTAAGTGCCTGATGTTGTCAAGGAGTTCTTCAACCTTCACATTTAAGTTACCGAACACTTGACGATTCCAGGTCTTGATATGCTCTTTCAGGCCGTGGATCCTCCTCATCCATAAAAAGCAGTCTCCCCTTCCGAGCACAGGGGCTCTAAGCCATTCGTTCAACCCGGTGAAAAATTGTTCATCTTCGAGCCACATGTTCTCGAATTTCCATGGCCTTTTTATCCTTCTGAATTCTCCCCACTTGAGTAACAATAGGTTGTGATCAAACTCCACACTCTCCAATGTTGTCAAAGTGCAATCCCGGAATAGGAAGTCAAAATTAGGAGCAATTAGGACACGATCAATGCGGGAGAAGCAGTCGTGACCAGCTCCCTTACTCCAAGTAAATTTACTACCCCCTAGAGGGAGGTCGAGGAGCACATTGGCATCAATGAACTCATTAAACTCGTCAATCAAACAACCGTTACGTCTGCTCCCACGATAATCATTATGACTTCTAACCAAGTTGAAGTCACCTGCTATGCATAAGGGAGTTGCCATCGATTGACAGAGGTCATTCAATTAACGGAGGAAGTTGAATTTCTCCTCCCTATCCCGAGGACCATAAACCACGGCAAGATACCAGCTTTTGAGAGAGACGACCTCTTGGAATTCAACCTAGATCAAATAGGCTCCAACTCTCGTACTGACTGATCGAAAGTGACTCTTATCCCACACAATAGCAATTCCCCCTGCACTACCATCTGAATCTTTGGCTTCCCAACCGCTATCTCTTTTTCCGCTGATTCTAGAAACTAATTCGCTAGTACACAGTGCCCATTTCGTTTCAACCAAACCCACGATCCTAGGCTTCCTTATTCCCAAAAGGCGTTTAACTCTGGACCTCTTTTCTCTGTCTCCGAGTCCCCTGGCATTCCAAATTATAGATGTACTCATAGATTACCATAAGAATTTACTTCCCCCACCTTGGATTTGCCTCTTCTTGAACCGATGATCGGCGACGCCATCGGCTCAAGTCGCCTATGTTCCATTTCCAATTTGGATCTTGGTGTTCGTAGTTTCCTCTGGTGGGTCTTGTGTGCCTCACTTATGATTATACTCCTCGTTTTCTCCAAGCCTTCTTCATGGTTTAGTGAGAATAGATCGCCCATTACGAGACTAGCTTCGACCAGTGTATTAACATCGAAAGGATAGGAGTGCATATCCCACTCCTTTGCTTGGCTATCAGGCACGCACTCTATAGATGGCAGCTCGATACAAAATGGATCGGGTGGGTAGGAGGTATCTGGTGGGTTTGGAGATGGAAGTGGTGATTGGAATGGGATTGGGGATGGGGGTGATGATAGGGATGGGGTTTGGTTAGCAATCGCTTGATCCAGACATTTTGGGCTTGATGAGGGAGGATCAGATGTAGGGCTGGGTAGAGGTAGAGATAAAGGTGATTGATTCTCATGGGGGATTGGATGGTTCTAGTGGTTCTGACGAAAGAAGGGGCATAAGATACGATGGAGAAGGATGGGAATGATGTTGAGTGAGAGGGTGAGGGTAAATGGATGAGGTGCAAAAATGTTTGAGGGGAGAAGATGAAGGTGGACGGTTTTGGGCTTAAGGCTTCGGAGATAACGGACAGGAAAAATTGCAGAGAAACATATGGGTTGGCTTTGTGGTTGATGGGCTTAGGGTATTGAAAGACGGGCCCATGATCCGATTGAGATGTCACCACCGTCAGCGAAGGCCTGGGAAGTGGGCCGAATTTCCTGGCCCAAATTCTTTTTGAGCTACCATCATTACCGCCCGTTGAACATTGAGAAGTAGAATTGGCGGAACACAAAACGTTTCCTCCCTCAAAGATCGTAACATCATGTGCCTTTGAAACCACTCTCCCATGCACAGGTGCTTTCTGCGTATCATGATTCCTCGGGGTCCTAAGTGTCGCGGGAACAGGTGCATGTATCTTAGTCTTCCACCCAATCATCTGGTCGTCAATAGTTGGCGCCGGAGGCCCAGTCCCCGGCAACGGGCCAGACCCTAGCAACGGGATAACCTTTGAGGTGAAAAATATCAGCACCATGATGAACTGGAATTGTCGCCGGTAGGCATCCTACCGGACGAATGCGGAATCTAATAAAACAAGCACGCCAGTGGTTCCAATCGATCTCCAACAATGAACCGCAAAACTCGCCGATGCTTCGGATTAAGTTTACACTTTTCAAGTGCATAGGGAGACCTGTGACCATGACCCACATTTCCTCAATGGAATTTGGGGCTCCAACTTCTTCTTTCCAATGGGAAATGTGGATTGTGAACGTTTTGAACCTACACAGGTTATAGTTTTTAATGCGTAGGGCTTGGTGGAGGCTAGGACAGACAAGGAGCCACTTTCCTTCTCCGCGATCCTCGCAGTCGAAATTGTTGTCCACCGCCCAATTCTTCCTCATCCATCTTGTGAACTTCAATATATGTTTTCCTTCAAAGGCTTTCGTCGTGCTTGACTCAAAGTGGACGTTTAGGCTCCTCCCCAGAATCTCCCTCCTTTCTGTAACTCCGACATGTCCAACCTCTATGAATCTGTCGGATCCTGATCCTTTGATTGAGCACTGTCCTGCTCCATAAAAACCCCTTCCACTAACCACATACGCGAATGTTTTGCCATTGAGGGTGGCCTCCTCCCGCTCCGCCGGGACTGGGAACCCACGTTGATGTAGCTCGAGCCTGTGAAAGTCTTGGAGTAGGCGAGTAAGCTCAGCCTAGCCACTGTCGGCACTGGTAGCAGGAATGAAAACTTTAAACACTTTTCCGCTTGCTACCTGTTCCGATATCTACAAGAAGGGTTAGCGTTTGCCTCTTGATCTTCCTACATGGATGGTGCGCTCCCGAATTTTCATAACGCAAGAGCTGGGAAAGTCTCATTCCCTCCTGGCCGCCGTTTGAAGGACGTCTTGCAGCCATGACAGTTGGTGTTCATCCATCAAAACAAACCATCTCTTCAAACTCGCCGAGACTTGCAACCTGAACCACACAGACTGCCATCAACCAATTTCCTGATGGAGACTAACCTTGATCCAAACCATGACTGTCGCGAATACGAACCCGTGAGCCATCTGCTGCTGTGACCGCGTGCCTGAGACCTGCGCAACCCAACAGGAAACAAATTGTTAGTTCAGCAAGTTTCCCCTTGTTCGCTCTCCCACTCAGAATCGCTCTCTCTTGCCCTGCTGGTCTTTCTGGTTCTAATGAATCTGTTTGTTTCCTTGTTGATTCGCCGCCAATCTCTCACCGTTGGCCGGGCTGCCTCGAAGCGACTCTCTCTCAACTCTCTTTTCTCTCTCATTGTGACTCCCTAAACTTTTGTAGATTTTACCCCTTTCAAAGTTATTTGGCCTGCTCTGGTTCGTTCTTCAAATTGGGAAGGTATGTTGAGATTAGTGACATAGTCCTGATGAATATGAACTTTTAGAAGAGCCAAAGCCCTATTACCCACAAAAAGAAAAGGACTGGGGTGGGGAGGGTGAAATTGAAGCTTCTGGTTGTTGAGCAGACATAATTTAAGCACGCGCGGCTAATTACTTGGTTCGCCGCACGCGGGACTATGGTGGTTAACATGCCAAAAAACTAGTTATTAGAATTATTAAGGCGTAAGTAACCAAAAAAAATACATTGTTCCTTACGAAAAAAGCACTAGTCACTGATTTTCGGATTACTGTTCACCCTGTGATTTTTTCACCCTAATCACAGGGTGAACAGTAATCCGAAAATCAGTGATTAGCGCTTTTTTCGTAAGGAACAATGTATTTTTTTTGTGGTTACTTACGCCTTAGTAATTCTAATAACTAGTTTTTTGGCATGCGCTACGCAGCGGTAAGTAGCTAGTTATATTTAAAATTTCATCTACTTATTTAATAATATAGTTGAAATCATATAATTCTCGAAACTGTTCAAGTTAGATATGCCCATAAGTTTTACAAATGTCTTAATCATTACGAAATATATAAGTCATATGTTTGTTTAATTGATACATAAGAAATAAATATCTCAAGAAGTTTTACGTATGACCTTAATTATCACAAAAGACTTACTTAATACGTTTTTAACTGACATATAAGAAATAATTACTCCTTTAAAACAATTATGTAGTGTCTAATCATTATAGAATACTTATATCATAAGTGTTTCGTAATTATTTTGTTTAATTCATATATAAAAAATAATCATTCGTCCATAAATTTTACGAAATCCATTTACAATTTATATACCTGTTTTAGAAGGGTGTTACGCTAATCTTATGTAATGTGTGTCTAATAATAAAATTAACTTACAGAAGATTAAATTGTTATGTAACGTTTAATTGATCTTAGAAAATGTTTGTGTAATTCAAATTGATAATATGATGAATGGTTTTTTAATAATTTAGGACTTTTAGTTAATGATAAAGTAATTATGTGACATAAATTATCATGAGAAATAAATATCTCTTCATAAGATTTACGCAGTGTATTAATATTGAAGACTTACCTAATAAGTTTGTTTAATTGAATTATAAAAAATAATAATTGCTCTATAAATTTTACATGATATATTTGCAATTTACTTAACTATTATAAATTTGTCATAATGTGTGGGCTAATTTTAAAATCAAGTTAAAAAAGTATCACATCTTTTAAAAATTATCTATCCTCTTGTGAATCAAGGATTGTAAAATATACTGAGATTTTACCGAAAATGTCAATTTTAGGATATTTTGTATAGAAATCATGGTTTAGTCGTGGTTCAACTGTTAAATTTGCCTACCGTTCTGAACTCTCATAGACATTTTTTATACACTATCATACTAGAGGTTATGTCATTTTTTATACACTATCGTACTGGAGATTATACCGAAAACGTAAGTAGTAGGGTATTTTGTGTTCAAACAATGGTTTAATTGTGATTCAACCGTTTTATACCATTAAAACTACCGATTGGTCTGAACTCTCGTAGACATTTTTTTTCATCTAGAAAAGAACCGGAAACTTTTGTGGGTTTGGCCGTAGCTAAGCATAACTCTAGTGAACAGTAACCTATCGAGAAATTGTCGTGAGGAACAGTGCTAGGTTACTTGCACTATTAATTAATTAATAATATTTTGAACCTCAACTAGAGTATTAATGTATTATTATATATGACGAAAGCTAGCATATAACAGATCGTATGTTATACGTCTGTGTTCAAACCTGTTATTTGTATTTTCGTTTATTTCGATAAATTAGAACAGTCGGTTATTATTTTAAGATTAAACGAATTTCATGTTTTTAGTTAGAAAATTAGGGATTGGGGTTCACCCATTATAGGTTAAGTTATAGTATCATACCCAAAATTTTGGTTAACTCATGATCTAAATAGCAAAACTCAGCGGGCGTATGATAGCCTAGCGTACGCCTGTGTTCACACTTTTTATTTGCACTTCAATATATTTCGCTTAATCAGAACCATCAGTTATTATTTTTTATATTAAATGAATCTTGTGACTCGGGTTAGAGAATTAGGAAGTGAGCTTTACCCATTATAGATTAGAGTATATTATCATGTCACCAAATCCAGTTAATTCGTATTCTAAATAGTAACTATTAAACTAGAACTCGCGGGAAGGACACCACCTTTTGAAAGTTGGATACACTCATACAAGTTCAGATTGATGGCTTGGTGATGCCCCCTTCGTTTGTAGTCCTATGTATAGAGAGTAATTGACAACTTCTTATATAAGTTCAGATTTTTACAAGTTGACAATTTCTTAACTTGTAAAAATCGTGACTTTCCTTTTGGTATACACAAGGTTGTCAATCCGCAGGTTGACCCGGATTCGGTCGAGCTAGTGGGTCAAGGGTTAAGGGGTCAACCATTTTAGTCCGGTTTGGCCCGGAAATATAGAAAAAGTCATTATATTGTACTTATCCTCATAAATTATATCAAATCTTATCTAGCATATGACTTATAAGATATAATATTACACCAAAATAACATATCGTACTTAGATCCAATGTATAGTGAAAATTCACACACACTTATATAACATAAATATTCAAATGTTCAACTTAGGATTCCAAAGATTGAGTTAGGCGAAAAGAAAGATCGGAAAATAGGCGCATTTCACAAACCAAAGAAAAGAATGACACAATTTGACCTCCAAACCGGTACCTTGTAGCGGTCGGCCCGGTGGGTGCGTATGACCCGTTTTTCTCACCGGGTCAGGGTCAAAATGGGTCGACCTGCTGGACAACCTTGGGTATACAAAATGTGAGCAACCAAACTTGAAGCACGTATGGTGCAATGGGTTGAAAGTTGAAAAGTTGTACCAAGGTTTCAATGTTTTCAAGGGCGAGTCCTTTTGAACAAATTAAACAAGAAAATTTGGTAGAACCCAAACAAACCATGTTTGTAAAAAAACTGAAAAAGTCATTTTTTCGCAGCAGTAAAACCCAAACAAACCAAAAAAGCACTTAAAACACCAGGTGCTTTACGCTAAATCTTTAATATCTTTTTCGCATTGTAAGAGCTTTGTTCTTTAAATCTCTATGATGGCACTTGCCATTATAGTGCAAAACAGGGGAAATTTAAGTAACCCCATCCAATTTTCCCACCCTGAGAAAAACATATGAACAAAAGATCAGGCCCCTCCTGTCCTCCCCTTCTTCTTTACATCTTCTCATCATTGCTCCAGAAACATTACAATGAACATACTGTTTACCAACCCAATTTCTCTGCTTTTTTCTGTACAAATATATAGCACATGAGAGCTGGGAACAAAACAGTACAAGAAGTTAATTGGAAAAACCAAAGATGGATGCTTCTCTTTGTATAGATAGTCATTAACTTAACACAGATTTACACTTCCATAAATTACAGAAAACAACATAAGACAACAACAAAGCCATTACACTGATCTTGAAATGGGGAAAGGGAAAAGAAAGAAGAAAAAAAACAGTAAACAAACATATGGACATGCAAATTGTTTGGAACACAATGAGAACATGAACCTCAGTTGCGTCATAAATTAAGAACAACTGACCCTATGATTAACATTCGATGCCAATTTCTGTGTGGCTGTGTCCATTTGAATTGAGGAATGGAGCAGCTTCAATTGCCTTTTCCTGAGGATTTCCCTGATTCAATGCCGCTTTGGTCTTGTTTGTATCCGATGGAGCAGTTGCATCACCAGTGCTCTTCTTTCTACCCAACTTAGGTGATTTTGCACGAGTTGTTGGTACCTAGCATTTAAAAGTTAAAGCTATCACATATTATGGCACAATCAAATACAAGCCATATACAGTCACAGACTCACAGGTATCCTAGCTCGACCTTCTTTCACATGCAAAAGTTTCAGAGCTCTGTTTAGTGTTTACATAACATCCAACAACGATATCAAGAGACTCGGAAGAGTTTATTAACTATAAGATACCTTTTTCAGCTCAGCCTTTGGGGGTGGACCGTCATGGTAGAAACTTGGCATTGGGTTGGCCTTGAATGTTAAACTCTTTCTTAGTTGCTTAATAGCTGCCTCCATCTCTTCCTTCAGTTTCAGACGCAAAAGAACAAGTACATAAACACAGTACATCAGAATCATCAAATTCGGAAATCAACACTCGAATGCAATACATAAGGTAAGCTGATACTTGGCAGAGATACATAGATTTTCAATCAATTACTAAATTGTAGTTTGGATATACATAAAATATTTTACCTTTGTCCTTGCTTCGTTTTGGGTCTTCTCAGCCTCCAGAGCTTGCTGTTTCTCCTCTAATTTTGAGTAAAACTAAGAGATGGAAACACAACAGAGGTATTGGTGTCTCAATCAGAAAAAGCTACAGCAAAGAACAATAAAGGACACAAATTAATCCAACATTTTCCGCTCAACTCAGTGATATTTATGTTAAAGGTATACCTCCTTCCGTTTCTCAGCACGTTGGCTAGATCTGAATGTTGGAGCTGAAGCAATAATTGACTGTGTCTTCATTGTCTGCACAGAAGCTCCAGTACTAAACATATGTCAAGGTTTACAAATAAATCTGACAACAACTGAGCTAGATGACCAAAGAGTTGACTGGCAATAGTTCAGGTAGCGCTGAATTTTAATAGGATACGAGCTTGTGACAGAACACGAATCTTCTTCTCCAGGATGCTTCTTGTTCTTCGGTTGCAATGGCCTTCTAGCCACTGGAAAAGGCTGCATTCAAAATAAAGCACTACACCATAAGTATGAGTTTGATTCTAACAACAACAGTGACAGATAACAACTTAGACAGTTGATTTCTCTTCATCCTCCTAAGACCAATGCTGTGAGCTGAACACAGATGATAGAGTAAATTCTTGAATTTGGAAAGATGCAGCATCTAGTGGATAAATTTATTCTCGAAAGCAGTAGCTACCTGATTCTGTTTCACCGTATTGGGACGTAGCACATTGTTTCCTTTAGTTTTTTTATTTGGACCAGCCTTTGCAGAAGGACGAGTTCCAGATGATGCACGCTTTTCAGTTGCTAGGGCAAATGGTTGTGGAACGGTGTGTTTCGTTCGAGCAACTCCATGTTTGGCTGCATGATTCTTGGGTGACCTATGCGACTTGTTCTTGTCCTTTAATGCCTTGGTTCCTGATTTAACTTTCTCATCTAAAGCGTCCTCAGATGATGAATTTACAGCAGACTGGTCCTCCTTACTTTGTTCAGCAAGAGAAAACTCAATAGTCTCAACCACAATTTCGGTTGTGCATTCCTTCACTTCGTACTCCTTCGACTCAATGCTCCCTTCTGCACTCTGTTGTTCAGCATCAACGCTAATCGGCTCGTAGGATTCATGCACATGATCTTGATTTAGGACAACAGGTTGATTTGGGTCATGGGAAGTCCCATTCTGATAAGCTATTTCAAAATCATGCTCCTTGTCCATGCAGATATCCATAACGTCTACCCCCATTGCCTACAACAAGCAGAAAGAGAAAATCAGCATTATTATTGATTTGAATAAAGCTAACATGTTCCTGAAGCAAAATCCCATGCTTGTTATTCCTAGGTTGAAGTTCTCTCTCTCCTTGAAGAACAAAAACACAGAAGTCACCACAGTTAAGTTTCAACAGATCATCCATGGGGCTCTAATTCTAATTGGTCCGCCTTCCCAGTAGTGCAAGAAACTTTAAGTGGACGTCAAAGTCTGTGATTTTGACTTGTAGTGGATCCGATCAGATTCAGAATAGTTTATGGAACACAAAGAAGAAATCTTTTAAAAAAATCCTTAGCTACTAAGCACAAGAATGTTTCTTTTTTTAAACCTCCAAGCTCCCTAAAGCTGGACACCTGCAGTACCTCTGGGAGATATGTTCAACAGTTCACCTGCTGAAATTCAATGCTAGATGGATAGAAGATAATACATGTGCTGTGTGTAGAGACCATCCAAGAAAGATAGAGGAGAAGACTCTCACTTGACAAGAAAAATTTGATGCTTGATCAAATTACGATACACAAACACAATTATGGACAACGAATCAACACACATTTGTTTTCTTTCTGGATGAATCAACACCCCTAATTACTGAAAAACTGACTCAGCACCAGAATCGCCAAGTTTCCTTAATGAATGTAAGCAACTCAGCATATGTAATAGCAGGGTTACACTGAAAAAAGAAAGAATTCAAGAGTTCTCATCGACAAGGGCAATCACGGTCATAAAAAAGTAAAAAAACCAATCAAGCCAACCCAGGAAAAGATTAGAGAACACAACGGCAAGCCAAAAACCACGATCAGCTTGAACAGATAAGAATGAACAAACCAATTTGCAAGCATAGACATGCAATTTTTGTCCATAGCTTCACCAAATAGCACACCGTTGGCGCTTCTTCACCTCCAACTCTCAAACCGCAAAAATGGTAGAAAAGATTCAAAAGGCTCGATCGCCATTAAAATGAAAGCCGAGAAGCATTAAGCCGAAGAATCGAGTAAAAGAACACCAACTTCAAACACACTCCCGGATTCTCGATAGTTTCTCAACCTACATTCTCTCAGCAACCAAACACAAACACCATTCCCCGTAAAACCCACATTCCAAAGAAACCAACCAAGCCAAAACGAAGAAATCAACCGGGAGTCAGATCAAGGAGCCGTGAGAAAACAATCAGAAGATGTGGATAGGAACAATCGAAATTGAAAGTACATTACGCGAAATTGAAAGTACTTACTCACAGTTCTGGGTTCGATCTGTTGTATTCTGATGGTCTCGCCTGCCTTATCGAGGAGGAAGCTCTCTCTCTCTCTCTCGAAATCTGGTTTCTTCACCGGCCTTGTCTCTAATGGGTGTTTGTTTCTGTTACTTGGATTTTATAGTAGTGCTTGCTAAATGTGCCGCCTCCCGTGTCGCCGTTAACGCCGTTTATGTTGGAATTTGAAAATTGAAATACGATCCCCCAGAAAGAAAAGAAGAAATAGTGAAATGCACTAAAATGGAGGTTAAAGAAATGGATGGATGGATGGCTCTGCACTGCTCTTCCTTTTGGTTTTGGTAGGAAGGAGAGAGGAAGAAATGAGATTCTTTTTGTTCCATTTTTCCATTAAAAACAAAGATCCTCTTGTCTCGACAATCGAGCCCTATTCCCTTATTTTGATAAATGAGACCTGATTTTTTTCTAAATAAAAATAGAATTGAGTGTACAACCAACCAAATTGCAATTTTGGTACAACTTTTCAGCCATTACCAATTAGTTAACACATATATTTCAACCAATGCTCGATCATATTTGTTTGAATTGTTTATTGTTACAATACTTATATTTCTTAAAATAGAAATATTGCACAATTAAAGTCTTACTTAGCTATTTTTACGTATAGCATTTCACATCCTATGTATAGTAGAGCTTTGCGTACTTTTCTCCATTTCAAATTTCCTCTAACGAGAGTGAAAATAGGAAGGACATTTTTGTCTTCACAATCAATTATTTATCTCACATAAACAAATATTAATATCAAGATTTGAACCTAGGTCTGTTAAAACAAAGACAACAATCACAGCCATTTACACTAAACAAATTGTTGTATATTTTTTGAATGCAAAACATACACGAAATTCAACTCTATGAAAATCGGTGGATTTTGCCATCATGATTAGCAAGCCCACTAAGTCTACTTCCCTCCATCGTACAATAGTTTGCTCCCCTTTCACTTACCAGTACAAGGCCGCCTTTGAAAATCAATCATCCAGTATCTCTTGGCACAACGGTTTTATTGTTGGGAATTTAAGTTGGACAAGTAAAAGAGTTTAATAAATAATGGATTTGCAGAAGCAGGATTAGAAATTAAATTTTTGGTTGAAACATATGTCTTTTGAGATAAAAATTTGGTTGTACAACGGAGAGTGGTGGTTATTGGATTTTTAAGTTTATGGTTTTTGCATCTATCACAACCTATTTCTATCTTAAAACGAGGAATCATTGATTCATTTACTGAATTAAGTCGATTCTTTATTCAACCTACTGGAATTTATAGATAAGGAGTGTCTAATTTTGTGTCTTATTACTTTGATTGAGTCTATTAATATGTTGGAGGCAACTCTAATTTTTTGTTTGCTCTCAAGTTTTGATGGTCCACTCTTAGCTTAGTTGTTAGTATATAGTTGACTTGAATTAACAACTCTCAATTTCTTTTTGATTAGTGACATATTGTCACTAAAAGGAGCGCATTGAACCCTTATGTAGGATTTTTTAGGTTTAAGATTTAGTTTCAAACTATCTATGGGTTGTGTGGAATTTCACTGAGCTTTTATACTCTCTTTCTTGACAATCAACTAACCAATAGCATTTTAACATGCTTAATTATCATTATAAAAATGAGATTAATTATACATTTGATATTTTATATTCTTAAATATTTCTCCGAATATTTGACCTATATATTCTTTCTTTATGTATCATCTCGATCAAACTATTGTCAATAAAATTAAACGGGTTGATTCACATAAAACAAAAATATAAATAACCAAAAACACTAATCCATTTGACCTTCTTGAATCCAAACCATTTATCACATCTAAATATAATTAACCAATTCCTCGACAAAAAAACAACAAACAATGAAAAAGACGTTTTTACTTTAGAATACGAGAGGGCAAAAAATCCTACTAAGCGGACCAACATCTAATACAAAACTAAAAGACGAATGCAATTGGTGATGAAACTTGCAAAAGGCTAGCTATTGTTTTATTTATATGCAAAGAGCAATTTGCACAAAGAAGCATAGAATATTAAAAGGAGCTAAACACCAAAAAAATAACCCTAATTCCAGACTAAACAGAAACCAAACCTGTAACTATTCTACAGTGAAACCAAAAAGTGAGAATCACACTTCGGAGTGCCATCGCTTCATGTTGGCTTTCTGTTTCCTCCATAGCAAAACGACTTCAAGACACAGCTAGGATTTTATCGTTACAAGTCGTTTGGTTTGGTGATTGTTTGGTGGAGATAGTTACAATGCAATATTTTTTTTAATTTTCTGCACAAACAATATATGCATTGTTTGCTTGATTTGACACAAACTATCACTCAAAATGAGTGATAGTTAAATCTCAAGTTTTTTTGTGAGATTGTTGAGATTGTTTAGTGGAGATTGTTTGGTTATTTTTTTCCAACTATGTCCCTACTTTTTTCATGTGTGTTACTTTTTTATTTTAAAAGCAAAGGGTAAAATGGACATTTCATCCAAAAAGTAATATAACGTGTCTAAATACTACAATAACTATCACAAAAACCAAACAATGTAAACTACAATACACCAATTTTCTTATATACATGCATATTAGTATACATGCATTGATGACCATCCATCAATTTAACTATAATCAAAACCAAACGACACTTTAAATTACATTGTCCTGCTCTAGCACTACGCATTACACACAAGGTCGGGGTTTCTGTTAAACTATGTAAATATGGGGACTTCTTTGTATATATTAATTAGAGTGTGGACTGCTTTGGTGATTGATGTGAAGCTTTGTGGTTAAGGTAATAAGGTCCCTGCGTTTCACGTCGACTATATATAAGAGCCTAACTTTAAGGTTTTTATGGTTGATAACTAAATAAGAGATTATTTTTTAGCCACAAATGTAGCAGAGTCTCTCTGAGAGGTCTAACTATGTTTTTTTTATGCATGTCTTTTTTAATTGATTAACATGGTATCAGAGTCTTTCAAAATCGATAGGTCTTGTGTTTGAATTTCGATGATCTTATATATTGAACATGTGATATTCTAACATGTGTAAACTTTAAACATGTATAAGTAGACTTTCATTTGAGTAGAATTTTTATTAATGATATTAAATCCATAATTAATTACTTCTCACAACAACTCAAGTTATTAAATATCATCATTTCTCATTGGTTGTCTTAAAAAAAGCATTCATATTATAGCATAAACTCAATGAGGAGTGCTGCTAAACAACTTTTTTAAATTTTATGATTTCTTGCCAAACAACTTCTCATGATTAGCATTCCACCAAATCCTCGCATTAATTTATCTTGTCCTGCTTTTCTCAAATCTTCTTTAATATATCCTTAATTTGTGGGGAATCTAACCTTCTTCTCCCAAGTACCAACCCCAATTCCGATGCATGCCCCGACCCCAATTATATATTTTCCCAAATTATTCCAATATTTGCCCCATAATCTTGTCCTTCAAACCACCTCCATGTTTTGTTTGCTATTGACCATAACCTTCCTCTCTCTAGCTCCCTCTCATTCTCACGATTTAGAGTCGCGCCCTCTCCTTTAATTTTAACGATTTAAAGTCAAGAAGGATTGAAAATAACAAATTTACGTTTCACCTATTGAATTCAAAATTTGTAGGATCGAGGGAGCTAACAACATCACATCATATCCCTTTCTATTGTATTGTGAAGATACGAATACACATATTATAGCTTCGTAACAAAATTGAGTAGTGGTATGTAGCTCCTTCTAGGCTACACGTAACTCCACTATTATACATAGTCTTGCAACAATTCTCCACCTTGTAGGGTTTGTGGTAGAGATCACATAAACATATAATCAACTAATGGGCTCTTAATTAATCTTTAATATGATTGCCTACCTTACCTATCCTATCAATCTTTCATATGATGATTGCCTACCTAATTTTCCAAGTCAAAGAAAAGTTGTCCACCTAATATTGCCGAAAGAAACAAGACAGTCGGAATATGATTCGTGAACTATGTTCATAGTTCCATTACCATAAAAATGTCGTTCAACCTGAAAATTCGAATCAAAGTATCAAAACTGTCGAGAGTTTGGAAAGGTGGTAATGCCTCTGGGACGACGACGGTTAGCAGCCAGTAGCCACTAGTGCTCCCCACCCACACCATGCACTACCCTAAAACCCATTATAATTATAATTAAGCTTTACAATAAGGACACTAATTATGTAAAAAAAAAAAAAAACAGGACACTGGTCTGCTCAAACCTTATTAGTTGGTATGTGTTGGAGAGGAAAAAGACATAAATGAATGATAGAGAAGAGAAGAGGATAGGATAGGGCTGAGAACGGTGTGGTCTGGTCGCAAAAAATAAACATTTTGTTTATAGTCAATTATAGGAAAAATAGAACCAATAATCGATAAAAAAAATTATTTTCCTTTAAAACATAAATTTCAAGACATGTGCATAATTTTGATACCATAAATACAAGTAAAAAATAAAATACAAAATCGTAGCAACCCAACTTGCATCATAATGTCATATCTCGACACGATTGTCTCTACTTTGTGGTGGAGTGTGATTTATGAATGGAGGAGTTGAGCTACAAGATAAAAAAAATTAGGGTTGGTCTCCTTGAGGAATCGAGAGAGTGGTCAAGTGATTGCTAACACGAATTAAGAAGTGGATTAGGTCCACGATTTGGTCCGATAAGTCGTGATTCAGACTAAGAAATCAATACAACATACAATACATATCATAGATCATACTAAACTACTATTCTTAATGGTTTAAGATCCTGATTAAACTGTACCGTTTAGTTTGATTAACGATGTTTTTAAGGAACTGGTCTATTTTTCCATCATGGAAGAGAAGAGTGCAAAATTGAAAGGATAGTTCCAAAGTTTGTATAAATTATCTTAAGGATAAAGCAAAGTTGATAGAGAGAGAGAGGAGACGTATCATCCAAATAATTGTTCCAGCTAAAACGGAGGCCCCATCATCTAGCTTTGATTATCCCTTCTTAACCCTTTTGATACAGCCTTAACAACCTCTCTAAGTGACCATATAATATTCCTTCTCTAGGTTATATATCTTTCCAATTCCTTATCCTGTCTATCTCCCCAACATGATACAAATCATGTTTTCCCCTTTCTCAATAACAGGTCTAGGTCTTTCTCAATTGACATACTAGTTTACCTACCATCAATTATTGTGAACACTTTTAAATCGAGCAATTTCGTTTTCCAGGTTCTATGCAATCGCGTGTATTGAAAGATTCAAAATTGAATGTTATCACATTGTGGATTTTGTCGAATTAGTTGGTTGGAGCAGTTCAGTGGAGTCCAATCTCATTTCTTGGTCATCTCACATATAACGTTCTGACGATCGCTCCTCTACTGAAGCAAAGCACGAAGCTCTTGCTACCCTAGTGACAAAATTAGTTTGGGCGGAATACTTACCCAAAGAAATCGACTTCTTTTTTTGCCAATCCTCGTTTATGTGGTGTTACAATTTTGGAGCCGCCCACTGCAAATCCAATCTTTCGCAGTTGGTCCAAACATACGAAGATTGACTTCCACTTTTTTCATCAACGTGTTGCAGCCAAGTGATTGCTTGTTAAGCATATCTCCACCTACGATCAAACTGTTGATATCCTCACCAATAAACACATCTTACTATTGTCATACCATAATTTAACCTTGATAGTTGATAATAAGACTTCATCAAACCATTCTCTTTACTAATATATGCTAAAGATTTCGTAACAATATTGTTTCACTCCTTAACCCTTCTAATATGGGCCATCAAAATTTATCATTTCCAATTAGCTAGTAACTAGAAATTGGGTTATTAAATAGCTAATCTTGTCACTATTCTATCAACAACACGAACACTCACTTTTCCATATTAGTAATTTTACACTGTTGTTTCAATGCTAGACAATCTTGGCACCTCAATATGATGTGACTATTTTCGTCAACAAAGTAAAAATGATGATTAAGATGTTATACATGTTGCTTAATAGAAGGTTAACTATGGAGAAGACCAAAGAGGAGTAGGAGGGAACCCAAAAGCGTACTTTATGAGCTGTATAACTATATATATAATTAAGAGCCACTTAAAATTGTTTCTTATTATTTATTTAGTGTGAATGGAGTAGAGTAAAAGGGAGGGAGCTTTAATTTTTTTTTTAATTTCCTAATCTTACCAGAAAAATCACACACAATAATATTATGATTGGACCGCCCACTTCTCTAATTGCTCATATTATCCACCTACTTTGTATTAATCTTGGTTTTCAAGTTGAGTAAGTACTTGATTATTGATAATTGCAATTTGCACATTCCAAACATTTGGAGTTAGTAGGTGCCGACGTCGGCCTTGATGCATGGTTCCCTTCTTTTGCATACATGTATCACCCTCGTTTCTTTTCTTCTTTCAATTGGTTTTTGCTTAAGGCAACCACTATGGTATGGTGTCAAAACATTATTTGTAAAGTGAAAAATTTATAATCAACAACTATTAATAAACTGGTTATCATTTGGCTTTGGAATGCCTGTCGTCCAACTCCCGCAAATTCATGGCTCGGGTGGTCGATCGACACCTCCTCTGAAAGCAGTTTTGGGGTCTGCACATTCCTCCCAAGTTGTACTTCTTCATTTGGGAGTGTCTCGAGACAATTCTTCTCGATGTCCATGCACTTCAAACTCGAGGAGTTAATTGCCAAGTCTGCAGTCATGTTTGTTGGAAGCACCGCGAGACCATTGAATATCTTTATTTAGATGTGTCTTATCGGCCTATTTCTGTCATTATTGGATTTTAGAGAACTTCTTCAATCAGCCTCGTGATCCAATTTCAGTCTTTGTTGGCTTTGCTTCTTGTGCTCCAGTTGCTCGCAATTCTGGATTCTCCAATGTGTATGTCTATTATAGAGGATTAGAAAATCTCCTAAAATTGTGACTTTTTTTTAGCTTACTCAACCTCATTTCCTTGGTCTTGCTATTCAATATTCCTTTCAAGTCCAAGAATTTTCCTCCTCTCTCCTTCCCGTTCTTTCTTCTATTTATAATTCCTCCCCCTATCATGTCTCGTGCCCTCGACCAGTGGGGTTCCTGAAGATTAGTTTTAATGTTATTGTTCGACACGATACTTGCTTCTACAAGTTGGTTGTTCGAGATTCGGAAAATTACTGACTTTTGACAACACAATTCATTCACTCTGGGATTACAAATGCCTATTTTGCAGAGCTTCTTGCAGACGGGAAACCATTTCCCTAGCACCGGACCATCAAATTGTCACGGTGGTGATTGAAGGCGACTCTAAACATTTCATTCGTCAGCTCTAAAAGGGTGTTTCTTCTGATGTCTTAAGTGGGCCATTCATGAATGATTGTTTCTAGCTAGCCTCCTCCTTCCCTTTGGTGTAGATTATAGGATGGTTCCTCTCGTTATTACTTGGGTTGCACATAGAGTAGCATGTATATTACTTTTATTGTCTTACGTATAATTGGTGTCTTTTGATTTTAGAACCTAATTGTTGTAGTTGTTGAGATCTTTGAACCGGGGGGGGGGGGGGGGGGGGGGGGGGTTCGAATTGTATTTTCTATTTGTATGTTCTTTTCTTGACATTTGTTGTCATTGAATACAATTTTTTTTTGCGAGACCTAAAAGGAAAAAGCTTTTAGAAGTCCACGGAACCAAATCGGCAAAATTCCTTCCTTCCTACCTTCCTTCACGCGTCTCAACCATTTGCAAAATTGCCAATATCCTCTTCTTGTTGTAGTTGTGCCACCATTACCCTTCTTATATTATTACAAGGTTCCAAAGGGGAAGAAGACAAGGAAAATCAGTTAGATGGTGTCAAACGAGACCTACTACAATCAAACAAATTCTTTATAATAGTTCATGGCAAGGAAATACCATATTTGCAAAGTTGCAGAACCAAACCCCTAAACTCGACCAGAATTTGGTGAGGTATTCGAGTGGAGAACTTTCGGGTTAAAGGAAAAGGGAAAAAGTCCTCACCCCAACGCTTTGTATAGATCTTATAGCAACGCACGCCTCTCAACACCCTATTCTCTTTAAGTTGGTTCTTGATGTATATTAGAGATGTAACTAAAAGTGAATCCGTACCAAAACTAACTATCGTTGATTAGAGGCTGAATCATCGATAATATTTTTCAAAACAATTTGAGTTATTGGAAACAAACGATTTATAACCTGGTATCAGGGTTTTTTCAACTAAGTGGTTGTGTGTTCGACTCTACATGGCCCACAATATTAACAATTCAAGCACAAGGTGACTTATTCCCTACCAAAGATGAAGTTTTTTTTGCTCCTATAAATATCAGACTAACCAGATCGAGGTTCGACTGAACCAAAATGATGCATACTGGATCCCCGAATTCCACCAAACCTCAAACCGAATTATAATTTTGGTTCTGTTGATCTTAACCGAATTAATAATTTGGTTCGGTCTTCATGGTGTTTCATTCCCCTTCTCAATTTTGTTGCGTATACTCTTTCACTACTTTTTCCTTTGTATGGATAGTGGTTGATTTTTTTCTTCTTCACAAGTTCTTATTCTAGAAAGAGATACACAGTAACCCTAATGTCTCTGCATTTTAGCTAGGCAGTATGATTGTATTATATGAGTTTGTAATATTAGGTACCTATTTTCATTCTCTTATACTTCGTGTCTTCTTTAATCCGTTGCGAACCAAAGAGTGCGCATAGAAAATGCTATTTAGATTGTGCTGTTCAAACGTCATACATTATATACGAAATCAGGATTGTGAATTCGCTTAGTTCCAATATCTGTTGTAGATTTATTCACCTTTATTTTTGTTGGCAGAATTTCCAATTTTGATGTTACAAAGCTTCCAGATTAGGGTAGTGAACAACAACCATTAACCTACATATTCTGTACATAGTGACCCATTAGGACAGTGCTACGAACCTCTAACCTGTTAAACTTTGCATCTTGTAATCAATTTATATATCGTTACCTCTTAGACTTTTAAAGAGTAGTAACACAAAAAGTTTTTACTATGATTCATTCACAGAGCCATATGATCATTTGGGATATGTTTATTGGGGTATTTGATCTACACAACTCCCCCAGATGCCAGGGATTACAAATTCCAGACTCCTCCTGCTCATTATTCTGGTGGAGTCATGGATTTCTTAAAATCAAATTTTGGTTAGTCCCTTCATGAACTCTTTGATTTCAGTTTTTTTTCCAATTATTTGGTGTACCTCTTTTGAAATGGAATTATGATATATAGCAAATAGAAATTTGTTTTATTCCTATGTTCTTTTATTTAGGAGTTACTCAGTTTGGTTTATCATTCATGTACTTAGGAACAATCATAGGTAACGAAAGAAGAAGTAATTGATTAGAGTTATAGGATTAAAACATACGCATTTTACAATGAGATTTGTCCAGTTATTGGACTCATTCTCTTGGCTCTTCTCTTGCTTAATTGGTATGTGATTACCATTGTAAGTTTCACAGTTCAAAGTGTCTGTAAGTGCAACAGTATCCTTTTCATGGTATTTTCATGTTGCAGGTCAAAGTGGTTCCTTGGAGATTGGAAGGAGAGGGATAGATAGGACAAAAGGTTTGAGGATGATACTGGTTTTGTATAGGTTTTCATGCTGTCGATAAGTGCACCAGTATCCTTTTCATGGTGTAGTAAAGAAGACAGTGAAGCAGATTGGAACACAGTTTAAGCGAAATGGGTTTCGGAACTGCAATTTGTTTAGCATCAAGATGAAGGAGGTCGGGATGGAAGATATATGCTAATGATTGATCATGTGGTATGATTTTTCAAAGTGAGGCGTAAGCTGATATTCGGTGGTGGAAGGAAGCTGATAATGAAGTATTTGATGATGGCGAGAGCATACATGCGTCAAAGTTCGAAAAATTCGAATGAAGGCCAAGGTCATGTGGAGATGATTATACAACGGCAAAGATACCGAGATTTGCAGGAGTTTTATACGTGAAATTGAATGTTGTATATGTGTGTGTTTCATAGAAGCCCCGATGTCCTTTAAACAGAGAGTTTTATGCTCTGAATGAGTGAAATAGCCATAGTGCAAAGCATAATGAAAGTAGAAGATAGACAGTCGAGTCGAGTATAGGTTTGGGAGGCAAAGTGGTTTCATTTTGATTTTTCTGTTGATGATCTCCCATGATTCACTGCTGTCTAATATACAACTCTTGGCTGTTATATTCTATTAAAATTCGTTATTATTAAAGGTTGTCAACCTGGTTTAGTCGGGTTGAGTACATGGTTTAAGTGTTTATGGTCCGATCATTATAATTCGCTGTTCTTACATTTATAAATTATATGAAATATCATATATATAATATTGTCAAGTCGTTTCATTTTTCACCATTCATTTGATAGTTCTTGTACTAAACACGCATAAAAATCGTATAAAATGTTTAATATATGTATTTAATGAATTAAATAGAGTGGCAATTTGTGCTATTAAGTCCATATGAAAAGTCAAAGATTGTATTGGTAGAATTTATGGTTTAATAATGTTTGGATTTTCTTAAGTATTGTATTTGCATTAGTATTTAACACTTAACATCCCCCACTTATTATTTAAACAAGCCTATTAACTAAATTATAATAATTTATACAATAAATAGTATTTTCTTCCATGTTTAATATTTGATATTTATATACATAACTTATTCATTATTCTCTTGTTTTCTTATATACCTTCTTCCAAAAATATATTATTTATATTTTTTAGCTTATATAATAAGCGTCGACCACATTATGCTCTCTTTACATCTTCGATTCCTACCAATTCTAAATGACATATATTTCCTTCCAATCCGAATTCATATCCGACAATAAGAAGTACAATTTTTTTCAAAGATATGAAGGAAAAAAAACATATAAACAACAGAAAACTAGAATGAATTGTAAAAAAATAAATATTAACTAATTACTGCATATGGTGACAGGTGTCGCGCGGTTTAGTTCTTTCAAATTAAATAGCGTGTGTCCGTAATGAGCAAGTAACTGAGTTCAGCCGTTAGCCTCCTAATTACGAACATAGTTAGTAAAGACGGTACGGGTAAGTTACAGATAAAATACGTACGGATATTTTACTTAATCACTATACTAACCGTATGTTTAATACTACGTGAATAGTATAAATTGCCCCTGTACTATGGTGTTTTCTCAAATATGCCCTTTGACTATATTTTACGTCAAACTTGCACTCCTACATTAACCATAATATCATATCTACCCTTCCGTTAATATTTACATCTAGGTGCAATTAACTCCTGTTAAAACTCACCCAAAAAATCCTTCTTTCCGCCTTTTTCAACCCCCATTGTGAGCCCCCATTTGCAAAAGACCCTTTTTTGCTTCTTCCCACCTCCCATAGTGGGTGGTCTAATTTGAAGAATGGAGTGAAATTGGAATTACTGTTGGCATCTGCGAAAGCAATTCTAAAGTAGGGCTACTAACTCAACGAATCAAAGCCTGGTTCATCATGTCTCGACATGCACAACAAAGCTTTAAGAAGATCAGTAACTATGAAGCAAGAACTCGTGAGTAACCAAACTTGAAGCACGTCTCTCGTATGGTGTAATGGGTATTAAAATCTAGCACCAATGAGGCTTGTTCAAAGTTGAAAAGTTGTACCAAGGTTTCAATGTTTTCAAGTGCTAGTCCTTTTGATCAAGTTAAACAAGAAAATTTGGTAGAACCCAAACAAACCATGTTTGTAATAACCTAGCCCATTTTCGCAACTGTAAAACCCAAACAAACCAAAAAGCACTTAAAATCTTCAATCTCTTTTGGCATTGTAATTTGCAAGAGCTTTGTTCTTTAACTATGATGACAATTGCCATTATTGAGCAAAACAGGGGAATTTAAGCAAACCCATCCAGTTTTCCCAGCCGGAGAAAAGCATATGAACAAAAGATCAGGCCCCTCCTGTCCTCCCCCTCTTCTTCTTTACCACCTCATTCATCATTGCTTCAGAAACAATACAATGAACATACTGTTTACCAACCCAATTTCTCTGCTTTTTTATTTTGTACAAATTCATGGTGCATGAGAGCTGGGAACAAAAACAGTACAAGAAGTTTATTGGAAAAACCAAAGATTGATGATTCTCTTTGTATAGATAGTCATTAACTTAACATAGATTTACACTTCCATAAATTACAGAAAACTATTAGACAACAACAAGGCCATTACACTGATCTTGAACCGGGGAAAGAGAAAAGTAAAAAAAAAAAAAAAACAGGAAACAAACATATGAACAAGCAAATTGTTTGGAACATAATGAGAACATGAGCCCCAGTCGCCTCATAAATTAAGGAAATTCACCCTATGATTAACATTCTATGCCAATTTCTGTATGGCTGTGTCCATTTGGATTAAGGAATGGAACAGCTTCAATTGCCTTTTCCTGAGGAACTCCCTGATTCAATGCTGCTTCGCTCTTGTTTGTATGCGATGGAGCAGTTGCATCACTAGTGCTCTTTTTTCTACCCAACTTAGGTGATTTTGCACGAGTTGTTGGTACCTAGCATTTAAAAGTAAAAGCTATCACATATTACAGGCCATATACTGATATACAGTCACAGACTCACAGGTGTCCTAGCTCAGCCTACTTCCACATACAAAAGCTTCAGAGCTCTGTTTACTAGTTAAGTGCTTACATAACATCCAACAAAGATATCAAGAGACATGGAAGAGTTTATCAACTCAAAGATACCTTTTTCAGCTCAGTCTTTTGGGGTGGACCTTCATGATAGAAACTTGGCATTGGGTTCGCCTTGAATGTTAAACTCTTTCTTAATTGCTTAATAGCTGCCTCCATCTCTTCCTTCAGAATCATAAAATTTGGGAATCAACATGCAATACATAAGGTGAGCAGATACACGGCAGAGATAAACAGATTTTCAATCAATTACGAAATTGCAGTTTGGATATATATAAAATATTTCACCTTTGTCCTTGCTTCGTTTTGGGTCTTCTCAGCCTCCAGAGCTTGCTGTTTCTCCTCTAATTTTGAGTAAAACTAAGAGATGGGAAACACAACAGAGGTATTGGTGTCGCAATCAGAAAAAGCTACAGCAAAGCTCAGTAAAGGACACAAAATAATCCGACATTTTCTGCTAAACTCGGTGATGTTTATGTTAAAGATATACCTCCTTTCGTTTCTCAGCACGTTGGCTAGATCTGAATTTTGGAGCGGAAGCAATAATTGAATGTGTCTTCATTGTCTGCACAGAAGCTCCAGTACTAAACATATGTTAAGGTTTACAAATGAATCTGACAACTGAGCTAGGTGACCAAAGAGCTGACTGGCAGAACTAGAGATAGCACTGAATTTTGATAGGATACGAGCTAGTGACAGAACATGAATCTTCTTCTCCGGGATGCTTCTTGTTCTTCGGTTGTAATGGCCTTCTAGTCACTGGAAGAGGCTGCATTCAACATAAAGCATTACACAATAAATAAGACTTTGATTCTAACAATAACAGTGACAAATAACAACTCATACAGTTGATTTTTCTTCACCCTCCTAAGACCAATGCTGTAATCTGAATACTGGGAGATCATTTAAGTAATTCTTGAATTTGGAAAGATGCAGCATCAAGTGGATAAATTTATTCTCGTAAGCAGTAGCTACCTGATTCTGTTTCGCCGTATTTGGACGTAGCACATTGTTTCCTTTAGTTTTTTTATTTGGACCAGCCTTTGCAGAAGGATGAGTTCCGGATGATGCACGCTTTTCAGTTGCTAGGGCAAATGGTTGTGGAACAGTGTGTTTTGTTCGAGCAACTCCATGCTTTGCTGCATGTTTCTTGGGTGACCTATGCGACTTGTTCTCATCCTTCGACGCCTTGGTTCCTGATTTAACTTTCTCATCTAAACCGTCCTCAGATGATGAATTTACAGCAGACTGGTCCTCCTTACATTGTTCAGCAAGGGAAAACTCAATAGTCTCAACCACAATTTCAGTTGTGCATTCTTTCACTTCGTACTCCTTCGACTCAATGCTCCCTTCTGCACTCTGTTGTTCAGCATCAACGCTGATCGGCTCATAGGATTCATGGACATGATCATGATTTAGCACAACAGGTTGATCTGGGTCATGGGAAGTCCCATTCTGATAAGCTATTGCAAAATCATGCTCCTTGTCGATGCAGATATCCATAACTTCTACCCCCATTGCCTACAACCAGCAGAAACAGAAAATCAGCATTATTATTGATTTGAATATAGCTAACATGTTCCTGCAGCAAAATCCCATGCTAGTTATTCCTAGGTTGAAGTTCTCTCTCTCCTTGAAGAACAAAAACACAGAAGTCACGCCACAGTTAAGTTTCAGCATAGACATGCAATTTCTGTCCATAGCTTCACCTAATAGCATACTGTAGGCTGTTTCAGTTCCAACTCTCAAACCACAAAAAAAAAAAAAAAAGGTATAAAAGAGTCGAAAGGCTCGATCGCCATTAAAATGAAAGCCAAGAAGCATTACGTCGAAGGAGTAAAAGAAGGGGGCAAAACACAATTACACCAACTTCAAACAGACTCCCCGATTCTCGACTGTTTCTCAACCCACATTTTCACTAACACCATTCCCCGTCAAATCCACATTCCAAAGCAACCAAGCCAAAACAAAGAAATCAACCGGCAGTAAGATCATGGTGCCGTGAGAAGACAATCAGAAGATGTGGATAGGAAGGATCCAAATTGAAGGTACATTACGCGAAGGAATGGAGAGTTGAGAAAATGGCGGATTATGTGACTTACTCACAGTTCTGGGTCTCGTCTGCCTTAATCGAGGAGGGAGCTCTTTCGTTTCTTCACCGGCCTGGTCTCTAATGTAATGGCTTTCTTTAGGCTGGAGTCGGGTGTTTGTTTCTGTTATTTGGATTTTATAGTAGTGCTTGCAAAATGTGCCGCCTCCCGAGTCCCGTGTCGCCGTTAACGCCGTTTATTGACGGTCACCGTGTTGGAATTTGAAAATTGAAATACGATTCTGGAAAGAAAAGAAGAAATACATTAAAATGGTTAAAGAAATGGATAGATGGATTGTTCTTTCTTCCTTTTGGTAGGAAGGAGAGGAAGAAATTAGATGCTTTTTGTTCCATTTTTTTTTTTCATTAAAAGACAAAAATCCTCTTGTCTCGACAGTCGAGCCATATCCCCTTATTATTATTATTATTTTTTTTTTTGATAAGGAGCCACATCCCCTTATTTTGATAAATGATATGACACATTGACACCCGATTTTGTTCTAAATAAAGAATAAAAATATAATGGAGTGTACAACCAATTAACCGAATTGCAATTTGGTACAAGTTTTCAGCAATACTTGATCATATTTGTTTGAATTTGCACAAGTGATGGTTTGTGTTATTTATTGTTACACTATTTATATTGATTTAAATAGAAATATTGCGCTAATAATGTTTTACTTAGCTATTCTTTTTGTATAAGGGTGAGAATTGCAATTAACTAAAAATGAACCCAAACAACAGTCTTGGATACAAAATCAAACAGAAAAAAGAGAAATAAGGAAATAAGAAGGGAATGGATCCAGCAGCACAAGAGGTGCGCGTATCCAGGCGGAACGAAATGAGCCAATTCTGCCGACAATCCCCTGCTACCCGAACAAAAAACGAAACCTACAAACACACACAGAGGCGCAAAAGCGAAGCCAGCGAAGATCCCGACTGAACAGACCAAACTACAGGGTCGAAGCGAAGAGCACAGTTGTTGCAGCTACCAGCCAACGCCACCTCCCAGAGGAAGAAACGGTAGTCAACTGTCATGATTCTGGAGAGCAAGATGCGTTCTCAACCAGCCTGTACCTTGGTCTCTACTGATCTTTTTGTGCCCCACCAGCCACTCAACCGAAGCTCGGATCGCCTTCAGGAAAACAACTTTGGTGTTGCTGCTGGTATCTTGAAATATCCGATTGTTTCTCTCTAACCAGACCTGCCAGCAGACAGCATGAAGAGCACAAAAAGCAATCCACTCACTAAGACAATCGGGGATTTCGTGCTTCCATCTTCGAATGGTGCCAAGGATGTCCCCTTGAGGTGGGATCAAGGTGTTACAAACTTTTTCTCCTTCCGCCAAATCTCTTTTACGAACTCGCAGTCAATAAATAAGTGCTCTACCGTCTCCTCAGCTCTGGCACACAAGCTGCATCTGCTTGCTAAGAACACTCCTCTCTTCTGCAGGTTGTCCATCGTCAGAATCCGTTTATGAGCGACTGTCCACATGAATGCATTCACTTTTGATGGGATGAAATCCCGCCAAACAGATTCACAAGGGAAGTCAGCCACCCCGGGGAATTGGCCTGCAACCAAAAAACTGTACATAGAACGGACCGAGAACACCAAGTTTGGTTCATGCGGCCAAACCAAACAGCTTGGACCACACGACAGCCGATAAGAATCAACATAATTCAGCAAATAAAGAAGACTCAATCTTTCCCTCTCAGGCCCCCCCCCCCCCCTCAACTGGAAATTCAGATCAATGTTCCAAACTAAACTCTCACCTGAATGATTGACCATATCGGAGATCCAAGCGTCGGGTGTGGCTGCGGCAGCAGCCACTCTTGGGAAGGACTCAGCGAGAATCGTATTAGGAATCTAGCAGTCATTCCAAAATGAAACCCATGCACCCCCGCCCGGATTGATGTACCCTGCTTTCCAAAAATCACCATACTCTTTAGAAATGTTGGCCCACACCGAACCCCCAAATCCGTTCCTGCACTTCTTACTTTGCCAAAGCCAGTTACAAGAGGGGTACTTTATGTCAATTAATTCTCTCCACCGGCTACCTCTTTCAACTGCGAACTTCCACAACCATTTGGCCAACATGGATTTGTTAAAACACTTCAGGTCTCTAACACCCAATCCACCGTTGTCTTTGCTAGCTTTACACATATCCCATTGAACGAGAGGAATTTTGGTATAGTCCCCTGCACCACTCCAAATAAACCTTCGCTGCACGTTCTCAATTCTTTTCAAAATAGTTGCAGGAGCGCGAAGGAGAGAAAAGAAGTAGTTAGGCTGACCCGATAGAGTGGAGCAGTTCAGAACCAAACGACCACCGAAAGAGAGATATTGGCCTTTCCAACCCTCCAACCGTTTTTCAACCTTGGCAATGATCGGCTCCCAAGTAGAAATAGCGTTGACCTTAGCTCCGAGAGGGAAGCCGAGGTACTTGGACGGGTCACTACTCCAATTGCAGCTGAAAATCTCAGCGTAGTACTCAGGAATAATGACATCGCCGACTGTAATCATAACCGATTTTTCTAATTTGATTCGAAGGCCAGTAACCGCTTGGAAACAGACCAAGGCTACAAGGATATTCAGAACTTCATCATGGGAGGCTTCGTAGAAAATCAAAGTATCGTCTGCAAACAACAGGTGAGTAACCTCTCCTCTCCCGCCTCATTCATCCATACAGAACCCCGAAATCCTTCCTTCAGCCTTAAGTTTATCCAACATGAATGAGAGAATGTCCATGATGAGAGTGAACAAGCAGGGTGAGAGGGAATCGCCTTGGCGCAAACCCTTTTGTGGTTTGAAATAGCCTTTCGCCTCGCCATTGATAAGAGTAGAGACCATCGGGGAATCGCCTTGGCGCAAACCCTTTTGTGGTTTGAAAAAACCTTTCGCCTCGCCATTAATAAGAGTAGAGACCATCGGGGAGCACATAAGATTTCACATTCTTTTAATTCATCATGTTCATTATTATCTTTGTCGTCGTTCATCATCATCTCTGTTTTGGTCCCCATGATCTAGCTCAATTTCCCTATTACCCTCTTTCTCTCCTTCTATGCCGCGAATTTTTTTATATATAAAAAATGATGACATTTATAGGTTTATCAATAATCTTATTGTTATTTAGAATTTGAATCAAATACGTGATTTCTATATTACTATTTGACGTTTAGAAAGCTGAGATTCAATCTCGCCAATACCAAACGTCCAATAAAAAAACAACATTGACAACCAAATATTAGTCATCGTTAATTCGTTTAACCATACCAACAATCTTAGATTTGCTATTGTTGAATCATGTAATGATGATACACACTCATGCATGTATAACCACTTTCTTCCATGGTATGATGTTTAAGATTTGAAATTGCTAATCTCAAACAAACTAAAATTTCAAAAATGATTTTAGTATCTAAAATTTTTAAAATTTACATATTGATCCAATGTTTAGATGTCAGGTAGATCCATGAATCCAATTCAGTGAATCCACCAATCCATTTAATTCAAATTCAAGAAAACATCAATCCAATTTACCTTCATGAATCCAAATCATTTGCCACATCTAAACACGATTGAACATTTTCTTAACATAAAAACAACAAACAACGAAAAGACGTGTTTACTTTAGCATACGAGAGGGCAAAAAATCCTACTAAGCGGACCAACATCTGATTAGGGAGATCTTGTCTTCGCTAGCATGGTATTATAACCTTTGAAAACTGATAGATCTTGTCTTCGAATTTCGATGATCTTATTTGTTAAGCATGTGATATTTGAACATGTGTAAACTTCAAGCATATATGAGTAGCCTTTCGTTTAAAAAGAGTTTCCGTAAATGATATCAAACCTAAAGGACGAATGCAATTGGTGGTGAAACTTGCAAAAGGCAAAGGCTTGCTGTTGTTTCATTTATATGCAAGAGCAATTTGGCTCTGTTTCCTCCATAGCAAAACGACTTCACGACACAGTCAGGCTTTTATGATAACAAAATGAATTATAGTGTCCTGCCCTAGCAGTCTAGGCACTACGCATTACGCAAGGCGGGGCTTCTGTTAAACTAGCGTCGTTTGCTTAGTGGGTTTGAAAAATGAGGTTTTGGTATAATTTGAATTTTGATAAATCATTGATATTTGAGGGTTTTGGGTCCATTATGAATTTATAAAAATACATGGATTTCATTATGAATTTTTTTTATTAAATTTGTATATATGAAGTGAGCTTTACCTTTATTGCCCTCAATGATATATGAAGAGAAAAAAATGAGGGGTAGGTTAGTAGAAATGATGGACTTTAAAGTCCATAATCAATTCCCACCTAAAGAGGAACGAACTTGAAAATCTCACCTCTTCAGGTGGGAATTGATTATGGACTTTAAAGTGGCCCACGAATTTGGACCCTCAAAGTTCATGGATCCCACGAATTTGATACCTCTAAAATCTAAGAGGTCGTTTGGATGAGGAATTGTAACATATCAAATTTGACACAATTGTCTCATTTTGAGACAATTGTACCAAATTGCCTCGTTTGCCAGCAAAAAATTTGGATGGATCAATCTGCCTGGGGTATTTTGAATTGATCCGTTTTGAGTCAATTTCAATTACCTAGGGTGGGGGCAGGTAATTCGAATGGACTCGTTTTAATTGCCTCGTTTATAAAACGAGACAATTGATCAAATTGACTCATTTCTAAATTGATCCATTCAAACGAATCATAAATATTTAAAGCAAACAATTGATTTTGGACAAAGTCCATCACGAACCCGAATCCATCACCAGTCATTTGCTTTGTGGATTTGAAAAATGAAGGTTTTAGTATAATTTGGGTTTTGAAAAACCATGGATATGTGAGGATTTGGAAATTTTTGCTATTTTGGATTCATGTTGAATTTTAGAAATTGCATGTTTGCTTGTTGGATTTCAAAATGGATTTTGCTATATTGGATTTATGAGTTAAATGATAAGTTTACCTTCTTATCATTGATAAAGTATTTTTGTTTTATTTGTTAAGGATACTTTGGTCATTTCATAATTAGTGGGGTCCACAGATTTTGGTACTTCTCAAAATCTTACTTCATGAAGTGGGATTTTATAATCCGTGGGGTCCACGGATTTTGAGCAAAAGAAAATTCCACATTTGTTGGCGCCACGGATTTAGGCCAACTTCATTTTAATCAACAAACATGGATTTGGACCATAATCCAACCCATATGGGGTTTTGAGACAAAATCCCTCATCAAAATTCTAGAAGCAAACGACCTCTAAATACTTGAAGCAAACAATGGATTTTGGACAAAATCCGGTAAATATGGGGACTTGTTTGTATATATTAATTAGAGTGTGGACTGCTTTGGTGATTGATGTGAATTGTGAAGCTTTGTGGTTAAGCTCCCTACCTATTTACGTCGACTATATAAGAGCCTAACTTTAAGGTTTTATGGTTGATAACTAAATAAGATTTTTTTTTTTTCGGGTAATAAGAGATTATTGTTAATCACAAATTCACAATGGAGTAGGCTTTTTAAGAGTTCGAACCATGTTAAATTTTATGTTTCTTTTTGTTTATGCATGTCTTTTTTGATTGCTTAACATGGTATCATAACCTTTGA